CGTGTATACTGCACATACCGTGCAATAGGCCAATTTGCACAAAAAACCTAGGTGGGTAAAACGCGGAACTCTCATTTTAAAAGGTCTTCTCGGTTGAATTTCGGAAAGAAAAAAATCAGAGGAGTTGTTGAGAATATAATACATTAATCCAGATTAAAATTAAAAGATTGTGACGATTTTTAATGTTGGTTCTGCAACGCTAAAGATGCCTCCTCCTACGGCATCGGAGCCAGTACGTGTATACTGCACATACCGTGCAAAAGGCCAATTTGCACAAAAAACCTAGGTGGGTAAAACGCGGAACTCTCATTTTAAAAGGTCTTCCCGGGTGAATTTCGGAAAGAAAAAAATCACAGGAGTTGTTGAGAATATAATACATTAATCCAGATTAAAATTAAAAGATTGTGACGATTTTTAATGTTGGTTCTGCAGCGCTAAAGATGCCCCCTCCTACGGCATCGGAGCCAGTACGTGTATACTGCACATACCGTGCAATAGGCCAATTTGCACAAAAAAACTAGGTGGGTAAAACGCGGAACTCTCATTTGAAAAGGTCTTCCCGGGTGAATTTCGGAAAGAAAAAAATCAGAGGAGTTGTTGAGAATATAATACATTAATCCAGATTAAAATTAAAAGATTGTGACGATTTTTAATGTTGGTTCTGCAGCGCTATAGATGCCCCCTCCTACGGCATCGGAGCCAGTACGTGTTTACTGCACATACCGTGCAATAGGCCAATTTGCACAAAAAAACTAGGTGGGTAAAACGCGGAACTCTCATTTTAAAAGGTCTTCCCGGGTGAATTTCCAAAAGAAAAAAAATCACAGGAGTTGTTGAGAATATAATACATTAATCCAGATTAAAATTAAAAGATTGTGACGATTTTTAATGTTGGTTCTGCAGCGCTAAACATGCCCCCTCCTACGGCATCGGAGCCAGTACGTGTATACTGCACATACCGTGTAATAGGCCAATTTGCACAAAAAACCTAGGTGGGTAAAACGCGGAACTCTCATTTTAAAAGGTCTTCTCGGGTGAATTTCGGAAAGAAAAAAATCAGAGGAGTTGTTGAGAATATAATACATTAATCCAGATTAAAATTAAAAGATTGTGACGATTTTTAATGTTGGTTCTGCAGCGCTAAAGATGCCCCCTCCTACGGCATCGGAGCCAGTACGTGTTTACTGCACATACCGTGCAATAGGCCAATTTGCACAAAAAAACTAGGTGGGTAAAACGCGGAACTCTCATTTTAAAAGGTCTTCCCGGGTGAATTTCGGAAAGAAAAAAAATCAGAGGAGTTGTTGAGAATATAATACATTTATCCAGATTAAAATTAAAAGATTGTGACGATTTTTAATGTTGGTTCTGCAGCGATAAAGATGCCCCCTCCTACGGCATCGGAGCCAGTACGCGTATACTGCACATACCGTGCAATAGGCCAATTTGCACAAAAAAACCTAGGTGGGTAAAACGCGGAACTCTCATTTTAAAAGGTCTTCCCGGGTGAATTTCGGAAAGAAAAAAATCACAGGAGTTGTTGAGAATATAAAACATTTATCCAGATTAAAATTAAAAGATTGTGACGATTTTTAATGTTGGTTCTGCAGCGCTAAACATGCCCCCTCCTACGGCATCGGAGCCAGTACGTGTATACTGCACATACCGTGCAATAGGCCAATTTGCACAAAAAACCTAGGTGGGTAAAACGCGGAACTCTCATTTTAAAAAATCTTCTCGGGTGAATTTCGGAAAGAAAAAAATCACAGGAGTTGTTGAGAATATAATACATTAATCCAGATGAAAATTAAAAGATTGTGACGATTTTTAATGTTGGTTCTGCAGCGCTAAACATGCCCCCTCCTACGGCATCGGAGCCAGTACGTGTATACTGCACATACCGTGCAATAGGCCAATTTGCACAAAAAACCTAGGTGGGTAAAACGCGGAACTCTCATTTTAAAAGGTCTTCCCGGGTGAATTTCGGAAAGAAAAAAATCACAGGAGTTGTTGAGAATATAATACATTTATCCAGATTAAAATTAAAAGATTGTGACGATTTTTAATGTTGGTTCTGCAGCGCTAAACATGCCCCCTCCTACGGCATCGGAGCCAGTACGTGTATACTGCACATACCGTGCAATAGGCCAATTTGCACAAAAAACCTAGGTGGGTAAAACGCGGAACTCTCATTTTAAAAGGTCTTCCCGGGTGAATTTCGGAAAGAAAAAAATCACAGGAGTTGTTGAGAATATAATACATTAATCCAGATGAAAATTAAAAGATTGTGACGATTTTTAATGTTGGTTCTGCAGCGCTAAACATGCCCCCTCCTACGGCATCGGAGCCAGTACGTGTATACTGCACATACCGTGCAATAGGCCAATTTGCACAAAAAACCTAGGTGGGTAAAACGCGGAACTCTCATTTTAAAAGGTCTTCCCGGGTGAATTTCGGAAAGAAAAAAATCACAGGAGTTGTTGAGAATATAATACATTAATCCAGATGAAAATTAAAAGATTGTGACGATTTTTAATGTTGGTTCTGCAGCGCTAAACATGCCCCCTCCTACGGCATCGGAGCCAGTACGTGTATACTGCACATACCGTGCAATAGGCCAATTTGCACAAAAAACCTAGGTGGGTAAAACGCGGAACTCTCATTTTAAAAGGTCTTCTCGGGTGAATTTCGGAAAGAAAAAAATCAGAGGAGTTGTTGAGAATATAATACATTAATCCAGATTAAAATTAAAAGATTGTGACGATTTTTAATGTTGGTTCTGCAGCGCTAAAGATGCCCCCTCCTACGGCATCGGAGCCAGTACGTGTTTACTGCACATACCGTGCAATAGGCCAATTTGCACAAAAACACTAGGTGGGTAAAACGCGGAACTCTCATTTTAAAAGGTCTTCCCGGGTGAATTTCGGAAAGAAAAAAAATCAGAGGAGTTGTTGAGAATATAATACATTTATCCAGATTAAAATTAAAAGATTGTGACGATTTTTAATGTTGGTTCTGCAGCGATAAAGATGCCCCCTCCTACGGCATCGGAGCCAGTACGCGTATACTGCACATACCGTGCAATAGGCCAATTTGCACAAAAAAACCTAGGTGGGTAAAACGCGGAACTCTCATTTTAAAAGGTCTTCCCGGGTGAATTTCGGAAAGAAAAAAATCACAGGAGTTGTTGAGAATATAAAACATTTATCCAGATTAAAATTAAAAGATTGTGACGATTTTTAATGTTGGTTCTGCAGCGCTAAACATGCCCCCTCCTACGGCATCGGAGCCAGTACGTGTATACTGCACATACCGTGCAATAGGCCAATTTGCACAAAAAACCTAGGTGGGTAAAACGCGGAACTCTCATTTTAAAAAATCTTCTCGGGTGAATTTCGGAAAGAAAAAAATCACAGGAGTTGTTGAGAATATAATACATTAATCCAGATGAAAATTAAAAGATTGTGACGATTTTTAATGTTGGTTCTGCAGCGCTAAACATGCCCCCTCCTACGGCATCGGAGCCAGTACGTGTATACTGCACATACCGTGCAATAGGCCAATTTGCACAAAAAACCTAGGTGGGTAAAACGCGGAACTCTCATTTTAAAAGGTCTTCCCGGGTGAATTTCGGAAAGAAAAAAATCACAGGAGTTGTTGAGAATATAATACATTTATCCAGATTAAAATTAAAAGATTGTGACGATTTTTAATGTTGGTTCTGCAGCGCTAAACATGCCCCCTCCTACGGCATCGGAGCCAGTACGTGTATACTGCACATACCGTGCAATAGGCCAATTTGCACAAAAAACCTAGGTGGGTAAAACGCGGAACTCTCATTTTAAAAGGTCTTCCCGGGTGAATTTCGGAAAGAAAAAAATCACAGGAGTTGTTGAGAATATAATACATTAATCCAGATGAAAATTAAAAGATTGTGACGATTTTTAATGTTGGTTCTGCAGCGCTAAACATGCCCCCTCCTACGGCATCGGAGCCAGTACGTGTATACTGCACATACCGTGCAATAGGCCAATTTGCACAAAAAACCTAGGTGGGTAAAACGCGGAACTCTCATTTTAAAAGGTCTTCCCGGGTGAATTTCGGAAAGAAAAAAATCAGAGGAGTTGTTGAGAATATAATACATTAATCCAGATGAAAATTAAAAGATTGTGACGATTTTTAATGTTGGTTCTGCAGCGCTAAACATGCCCCCTCCTACGGCATCGGAGCCAGTACGTGTATACTGCACATACCGTGCAATAGGCCAATTTGCACAAAAAACCTAGGTGGGTAAAACGCGGAACTCTCATTTTAAAAGGTCTTCCCGGGTGAATTTCGGAAAGAAAAAAATCACAGGAGTTGTTGAGAATATAATACATTAATCCAGATTAAAATTAAAAGATTGTGACGATTTTTAATGTTGGTTCTGTAGCGAAAAAGATGCCCCCTCCCACAGCATCAGAGTACGTACGCGTATACTGCACATACCGTGCAATAGGCCAATTTGCACAAAAAAACCTAGGTGGGTAAAACGCGGAACTCTCATTTTAAAAGGTCTTCCCGGGTGAATTTTGGAAAGAAAAAAATCACAGGAGTTGTTGAGAATATAATACATTTATCCAGATTAAAATTAAAACATTGTGACGATTTTTAATGTTGGTTCTGCAGCGATAAAGATGCCCCCTCCTACGGCATCGTAGCCAGTACGCTTATGCTGCACATACCGTGCATAGGCCTATTTGCACAAAAAAAAAACCTAGGTGGGTAAAACGCGGAACTCTCATTTGAAAAGGGCTTCCCGGGTGAATTTCCGAAAGATAAAAATCACAGGAGTTGTTGAGAATATAATACACTTATCCAGATGAAAATTAAAACATTCTGATGATTTTTAATTTTGATTCTGCCTGTGTAAAACGCGAAATATTAATACAGAGGGCCTTTCCATGAACTTGTGGAGGATGTAAGACACTTGTCGACATTGCAAATAAAACATTACGATCATTCCATAATGTTACTTCGGCAGAATTCGTTCTGCAGCGGTACATTATCCCCCTATCAACTGTTTAAAACACGTGCTTCACAGAGCACTGAGTCAAAGCTGCACCCTTGGTTTGTAAACGGCATGTATCCCTGTACAGCATGTGTTCTGCACTGTTCTGCAAATACTACACACAATTATTATACGACGGCACAAACAGGTGGGAAATCTTTTATTTTCAATTTATTTAAGGGCAGAATGTGACGATTTTGGGACTTAATAATGAGATTGGTCGCTTGCTGTACTTTTGAAGCCAGTATTTCATCTTAATTTAGTGTTTCATTAACAATTCTGCAGAGTTCCGCAGAGTTCTGCACGTTCTGCAAGTTCCGCAAAATACCCACACCCAATTTTTCTCGTAACTTGTACTTGTAGTATTGGCAAAATTTTTTGGAAAATGTTCAATTTTGTCCCCGTTACACACTAATTGCAACTGCAACTCACCCCAAACTTGCCTGGAATAACCATTACACAGGTCCTTGAAGTAAAAAACGATCCACGATGAAGATTCAGCCTACAATTGCAGTGAAAACAGGAGGAATAACCGCTAACTTGACAACCTTGCTGGATTGGCCAGGACCGCAATTGGTTTGTGCACAAAAAAAATTGTGTACAATGAATGGCGGTCGATTAACAGGCACAGAGAGTGATCGCTGTCAACTACTCGTTTTGCCGGCTGCGGTGGCTGTTGGCGTATGACGTCACGCGGAAGCGTAACACCCGATGACTGTTTCATGCACTAATATAAGGTTTACCACTCGCATCACAGCTTTGGTACTGGAACCACAACCAATAGTGCATGAAACAGTCATCGGGTGTTACGCTTCCGCGTGACGTCATGCGCCAACAGCCAGCGCAGCCGGCAAAAACGAGTAGTTGACAGCGATCGCTCTCTGTGCCTGTTAATCGACCGCCATTCATTGTACACAATTTTTTTTGTGCACAAACCAATTTCGGTCCTGGCCAATCCAGCAAGGTTGTCAAGTTAGCGGTTATTCCTCCTGTTTTCACTGCAATTGTAGGCTGAATCTTCATCGTGGATCGTTTTTTACTTCAAGGACCTGTGTAATGGTTATTCCAGGCAAGTTTGGGGTGAGTTGCAGTTGCAATTAGTGTGTAACGGGGACAAAATTGAACATTTTCCAAAATTTTTTGCCAATACTACAAGTTACGAGAAAAATTCGCTCCAGCCCTTATAGACAACCCAATGATAAAACTCAGGGCTGGGTAACTCCAGCTAGGGGCGCTAGAACTCCTTTTTTGACATTTGGGATGTTGGTCTGTTGTACTACAGTAGTACGACAGACCAACATCCCAAATGTCAAAAAAGGAGTTCTAGCGCCACAGTTAGTGGGACTACACTGAACATGCACAGGCCACAGCCAGCTGATGCACACTGACTTTTTGGCAGTTGGGGAACTTTTAGTTTTACTAGGCCCCTACTAGTTTTAGACATTTTTACTTAAAAAATTTAAAGGTTCCGTGCCAACGCTGTCGTTGTGACTTTGAACTCACGAGATGGGTACTACTACTATATTTCCCTTAAAAAATCCTCCATGGCCACAAATCACAAATAGCAAACAAATCTGACATCCATTACTATGATCACATACCAAATACTCACTTGGGTTGATGCCTAAGTAAGAGAAAAACAAAAGTGTTGGGCTCTAAAGTCTAATGTTAATGTTAACTAGTGAATTTAGGCCTTCCCAGGAAAATAGTTTCATTGACCAAATAAAACAAACAATTCCTTTTTGTGACACGAAAACTCCCTATTATGACACTGTCCCAAAACCTGATTCTGTGTGAATTTATTACAGGTCATAGTTTCAACTTCCAAGCAGACACAGTGGCAGTAGCAACACACCAGCTTCAACTGCTGACAAATCTTGGAGACATGTCAGAGAGAGAACCAAAAAGTTACAGTGACTCTAGTCCGGAACTACATCAAGCAACGACTTCATGTATCACTGAAGATAATCAAAAGGACACAAGCACCAGCTTGGAACATTTAAAAGGTAATCAAACAGTGATGGGAAAATTGAGATGCATATCCAAATTACGTTCAAAAAAGTCGGTCAATTTTAACCAATTGTACATGTAGTCATTGTTACCACTGCTAGTTAGAATTCTATTGCCACTCATTTTTTTGCCAATTTTGATACAATGTATCTTCTTGTAGAAGCAGTTGCATTTAAAAAAAAAATTTATGTAAACCAACAGACTCAAGTCATAACTTAAACATGCATTTCTTGCCATCTCTTTAGTTTCTTCCTGCCCAGTATCTTCTGAATTCATACTTATACTATAATAACTCTTTGTTTTTGTACAGGTGAGGCACCTGAACCCAATAAAGAAACTGACTCTGTCACAGAAGGCAGCAAGAAAGCACCCCAGTGCCGTTTCTTTAAGAAAGCTGGCAAGTGTCGCTATGGAGATGGATGCAGGTTTGCTCACGAGATCGCATCACCGGCAGCAGCTCAGAATGAGGAGGCATCGGCAGGAGGAAATGTTGAAGGAGATGAGCAAGATGGCCAGAACAAGACGTCATCTCAAGAGAAGTCGTCTTCTGGCAACAGGGAGCAGAATGTCTGTCGCTTCTTCTCACGCACAGGATGGTGTCGCAACGGCAACAGATGCAGATTCCTTCACGAGAGGGTGAAAACTGAGGCCCAGTCAAAACCTGATCAAGTCAACGCATCAGAAGATGCCAATGCAGAAAGTCCTAAGGAAGTTCCCCAAGGCGTAACATCCAATTCGAAGGCAGAGGATGACAAAAAGAAGCAAGCAAAGCCTAAGAAGATTTGTCGGTACTTCAAAGCCGGACACTGTAATGCGGGAGATCGATGCAAGTTCTCTCATCAGAGGGTTGAGGGTTCGTCAGAACCCAGAACTCGGAGAAATCCTGTCAAATCCAAAGATGAAAGGCACGCAATGGCGCGTCCCGACCCCATCCAGGAAAGTATGAAGATAGCTGATCTGGGCGAGGATGACATGCAGCGGCTGAGAGAGATAGAGATCGCCCAATTGACGAAGCGATTCCTTGGTGATCAGATGACTCCGGTTGAGACAGAAGGAGCTGAAACTGTCTACAGAGTCACCATCAACCCTACTGACCCAGATTGGGTAAGTATATTCTGCAGGGCAAATTCCACTTGACTGCTAACCTCGGAACTCTGCGCTCATGATCATTATTTATTGCTTTACAGCCGTAGCAAACAAATTGTGTGCTAACCTTGTAACCATGGTAGAATTCCATGCTTGCCCATGAAATAGTGAAATAGTATTACCATTTTAAGATTCTTTGCAGACCTTAATAAAAAAAAAAAATGACATTTGTGGGCACAGGATAGCAAAAGTAAAAACTTTTGGACCACAGCACTCATTTTGCTGTCGTAATGTTTTTGAATGAGGCTCAAAAAAGGCACATTCATTTCCTGATGGGTACTTTCTTAATTCAAGCGTAGTCGACCCTCGGATCCAGAAAACACAGATTTGTTCTTTGGAGAAAATCATCATTGGGTGGTTAGGCAAAAGAAATAAAAAATTCTCGGTCTCTGGTGAGCACGCGCGTCGATTTTAATCATGCGCGTCAACCTTCTTTTTTTTCAAATTAACACAGAAGCTACAACAGTGCCCTCTATTGCCGTGCCTCCTCAAATTTTTGTACCAAGGAGCACCAAGGAATGGGGAAATGCACCAAGGCGAATGATAAAGGGCACCAAGGCAAATGATGGAGGACACCAATGTATAATGAGGACACAAAAAAGCAAAATAGTACCCACCTTGTCTGTACAATGCAAGCTTGAAAAAAAAAAAGCCACCAAAAAAAAACGCGTCGCCGCATCAATTCCGGAACTTCGGTCTGACCAGAGATCGACTATTTTTTTTTTTTTTTTTGCCTTAGCTTTAATTTTTCACGTCCCACCCAGTGAGAACACTGCCTGGCCAAACTCTGCTTTGACACTGACCTCGGGTAACTTTTATAAAATTCTTCCGTCTTTTCTTTCTCATTTGTAGCCCTACGATATCCAGGACTTTGAGTTTGAGGTGATGTTTCCTGCAAGCTACCCTGCAGATCCATTCACAGTCTCAATGCCAGAGGATCAAGTGCTTCCTAACTCCATGCTGACGTAAGTGAAAGAAACCCACTTTCAAAAATTCAAACATCCCTCCCCCCTCTCACAAGAAAGTCTTTAACTGTCAACTGTTCCCATTTTGTTGTACAGAATACGCTGTGTGCACACCCATGCTTGTTACCCTGTTGTGGGATAGGGCTGTCCATGTTTGACCAATTTAGTATTTGATTGTGGGCAACTGCACTTGACGGAATATTTGAATATTCAAAACGCGCCAATCAAGTTTTACACACGCCAGCTGCAGCTACCTTCCTCGCTGGTCAAAAATTGCATACAAAGTGCGCCGGTTAAAATGTGCATGCCGTGATGGATGTTATGGAATGCTGGCGGGTTTTGCAGTAATTGCTGTATAACTGTCAAGGGACTTTACCCAGTTTAAAGAATGGTACCAATAAATAGGGGTCGACAAAAATGTTACCATCGAAAAAATACGTGGCATCTGACAATAAAAAACACAACTTTACAAGTAACATAACATCATCAAATAGCATCATCAAATAGCACGTGCATAGTTTTTTCTTTTGGAATATTCAAACTGGCAAATATTTAAAGCTATTCGAATATTCAGGTGATGATGGAATATTCGATGTATTTGGGACAGCGCTATTGTGGGACCACACACAGTCGTGCAGCTGGTTTTGTTGGAAGCAAAGTCATTGTTGGGACAGTTGATAGAACCCCGATAACTCGGTCCAAATTTTTTCAATAGAATTTTTTTCCCAATATTGCAGTCCCAGTCAGGGCAGTTTTAGTGTGTTTGCCAGAAAATACAAAATCAATTGTATGTTAAATATTCTGAAGATATCAAATATCTGAAAATTGATGGAACGTCCACCAAATTTCGAATAGCATTTTACTGTATAGAATATTCAAAAAATTTGAGACGTTTCAAGAAGATCAAGAAATAGGTTGTGATGTAATCTTATTTCTTTAAAGTTGATGAGTGGTCAGTCTTTCTGATTTGAGGCGTGCGATCACACCCCCACACCATCGCACACCTAAAAGCTTCCCGAGAAGTGTGAATAATTGCACGCCTGAATTTGCCTGGACCACAGATCACACACCTAGAAAACCACACACCTAGAAAAAAACACACACCTAGGACTGAGTGGTTTCATTGTTTGTCAAATGCCACATTTCTGTGGACAGCCACTGTACACGCATGATTTGAGAGCGTCCAGTAGTAGCCCTAATGTGCATCTTTATAAAAATATCAGTTACTCAGCTACCAGTATCTCAAATACCTTGATGCATTCATGATATTCGTAAAAAGGTTGGTCAATGTCAATGTTCGAATATCGGAGTGTTCCATCAAACACAAGTTTAAATAATCAAATACTAACTTTTTTAGGGAAAATGCACAAGCACTATAATTAAGCATTATATTTTCCCTTGACTCTGTACTTTCAGGCACATGCAAGAGAGCATTGTGGAATGGATCCTTGCCAGGCACGGCACCAATCAGATCGCTGGCAAAGTGGAGCTGATGTTCCGTCCGTTCCTGAGATGGCTGGATAGAAGTCTGGAGAAGCTGTTCACCGAGGCAGCTAAGCAGGTCAGGAAAAAAACAATGTAGCCTTTCGTCATCCTCCACCATCCACCAGGAGGTGTCGAGGATTGGGCAAGATTGCCCCAAAATGCCCTGCCTGTTACTCCCTGTACCACCAAAACAGCCATACATGTAGCACAGGATGGTTTTTATGGATTAATACCTGAGACAGTTCACCGGTCGAGACAGTATTTGTCTAGTAATGGTCGAGAGCCCGTCAGATCACGTGCATGGTTTTGGGCCGCCGGTCAAACCCCCGGTCACCCACCAGTTTCGAGCACCTGCGTTCCACGCCACATATGCGCATAACGCGCTGCGCGCTCCGATGGCTTGAGAGCCACCGATATGATATTTGTATAAGGAGAGGTGTTTGCACTGGCCTGCGGCATGCACAATAGAAAAGTCCCTGGCACTAACTGGTAGCACAAAAATCGTTGGAAATTTTTCAACTTTTTGACTTTTTATGGTTTTAATCAAAAAAGGTATTGGAATAATAGTGTGCTATGGGTTAAGAAAAGTAAAGCCAAGCAACCTATTAAACTACCTGAGACATGTCCCCATAAAAGATGCGTCATTGGTTTTCCACAGAGTGTTGGATTTCAGAGGAATCAGGACGGTTCTTAGTTCCTTGCAAATTTGAGAATCCTTCAATTGAGAGAATCCTTTTTGGAGAATCCTCCAGAAAAAAATTCTTAGAATTCAAAATTGCTTTTGAAATGGCATTCAAGTCTTGCAAACCAAACTTTTTGGGAAATTTTAATAAGTCATGAGTTGCTCTAAATATCAGTTAAATTTGAGATGTATCTATAAAGTTAATTAAAATGTCATATTATATAGTCTTCCAGATTTTGGAATTATTGATTCATTTCAACTTTACACAGAGTCTAACTTATACTCTGACATGTCCGTGTTTCAAGTATATTTTCGTCTTCTATATTTTCCTGCGTGTAGTTCAAGAAAGTTGTTTATGCCAAGGCAGCAGGCATAGAGTTTGTTCCCTACGCCAAGCAGCAACCGTCCGAACCTCGAGATATCAGACAGTACTATGACATCAATCATCCTAATGAAGCAGAGGGGGTGATGATCAAAGAAGGAACACCCCTTGACCAAGAACCCAACACGGCAAGTGATGCACAATCCGCTGATACAGTAACCAGAGGCACGCCCTCTAAAGAAACGCCCAGCGCAGCTGTGGACAAAACGGAAGGGGGACCGGATGCTAAGGCTTCTGAAGGAAAGGATCCCAACAAATACGCCGACTTGTTTAACGTCCAGCGCCGCGGCACGGAGATCAAATTCAGCAAGATTGAGCTGTCCGAGAGCATCTCTACTTTGGTCGCACAAACCGTCGGCGTTGTCATCCAGTGCTCACGCTGCAAGAACCGCTGCGATGTCATCACGCCACCCAAGCGTGTCAACATGGCCCGCTGCGGCAAGTGCCAGCACCAGCAGCTGATGACGTACAGGCAGAGTCTCATCCATCACTTCACTGCGACCCTGGGATTCCTGGACCTGGAAGGCTGTACGACCTTTGACCTCATTCTGGCTGAGTGCGAGTTTACTCTGGGTTGCCTCAACTGCTCTGAGGAAACCAAAGTCACGGTATGTGAGAAAACAATTTCAAAACTACTTTTGCCCAGTGCCACAATATCAGAGGGTTTGATTATCAACAAATGGTTTCTGCACCTTTTAATTTGTCAACTGTTGAAAAGAAAGTGTATGATGCTCAAAAATCAATTTTTGTAGTTCATTTTATCTTATCTCAAACTCTGCAAAGTAGTGTTTAACAGTCAGCAGAAGAGTTGTGCAAACTACAGAAGAAAACCTATCCTAGCCCTAAGTGTTTTTTGCGGCATAGACATTGCTACAATGTACATTCATTGACTTAATGATTACTGTAATTGCATCATAAGTTTAAGCAAATCCTTCCTCCGAAAGCTAGCATGCTCTTTGTTTGCCACAGTTACATGCAGTGCGTATAACAGTCTCCATGAATCGAATGTTGGCAAGAAATCTTGTGCTCATTGGCAAGTTAGGCCATGCATGTAGCTGTACAAACCACTTTCTCTCAATTACTTTCGAAGGGAAACATTACATTGTGTAGAAAGAAACATGCTAAAAACTTGCAATGCTACAATATTAGAATGTTATGTTACTTTTATCTTTCAATGAATAGGGGTTGCAGTTTGGTCAGAGTAGAACCACATGGTGTGAGAAATGCCACACCAAGATGACCTTGCTGTTGGAGACAGCTAAATTCCATCAACTGCAAATACAAGGAATGGAAACACATGGTAAGGGTTAGTGCTTGATAGTAGGAATCAAGGTTGTGACAATCTTGTCATGTAGCTTGCATGACTGGGAGTGAGCTTTGAGTTTACAAGGTTGAGAAGGAAAAGGGATTGGAGTGTTACCTGTTACAGGAGAACCACCAACTCACTCCAGCCTCTGGCCCTTCAACGCTGTGTTGCTTCCCTTTGAGTTTTTTACCGTTACTAATTCAGTCACTGTTCACAGTTGCTGAATTTTTTTACACACAAATACTTATTCTATATGCCGCCAATGCTCACCCTTTCACAGTCTCAATACCTATATAGGTATACCAGTCCCGCTCTATATCCCACTCATCATCGTTCATTGTCCAAATTGTGGAACTCTCTGCCACAATCGTGCTTCCCACCATCCTACAACCCACAGCCTTTCAAGAGCTTCATCAACAAGCTCCATCTCACATCACTTTTCTAGTCTTATTTCCTGTTTGAAGAGTCTTTTCGGGTTAAAGGTGCTTCCTGCCTTTGTGGTCGTTATCTAGATTAACAAAAAAAAGTGGTATCCACTCACATTTGCACATGTTTTTTTCTGTCTGAGCAGCCGGGCAGAAGGCCCACGTTATCCAAGTCAAGCAGCTTCGCAACCAGGCGCACCCAGACATCCACGAGGGTCACCCGCTGCCAAACAACGGCGCTTGCAAGCACTACAAGAAGAGCTTCCGCTGGTTCCGCTTCCCCTGCTGCGGCAAGTGCTACCCCTGCGACGAGTGCCACGACGAGAGCGAGACGGACCACGAGATGAAGTATGCTACACGTATGATCTGTGGCTTCTGCTGCAAGGAACAGGTGAGGTGTATTGGCTGTGCCCACATACTGTTGAGGGCGCTGTGTGGATTATTGATTGTACCAAATGTCCAAGAATGCTGGTGATTTCTAATCTTGTTCACAACATTTTGTGAAGGAAATGCATAGGTTAAGAAGCATCGTGGGTAGATCACTGTCGTTATCGTTGTGGATATGATGTGTGCACAGAAGTGTTTACCCTATGTCATGAATTAATTACCTGTCCATTGATTCCCATACCCTCCGATTAACCCATCCCTACCCACCCCCCCCCCCCCCAAAAAAATCCTCCAGTAAGGCCACAAAAAAAATAAGCCGGTCTCTGGTCAGCGCGCGTCGATTTTAGTCATGCGCGTCAATCTGGTTTTTTTCTAAAATGTTTCTAAAATTAGCTCCAACAGCGCCCTCTATTGCCGCACCTCCTCAATTTTTTTTACCAAAGAGCACCAAGGAATGGGAAATTGCACCAAGGCAAATGATCGAGAGCACCAAGGCAAATAATGGAGGACAACAATGTACATGAGGACACCAAAAAAGCAAAATAGTACCCCACCTTGTCTGTACAATCCAAGCTTGAAGAAAAGAAGAAAAAAAAAGAAAAAAAAAAAAAAAAGCCGCGTCCCCGCGTCAATTCCGGAACTTTGGTCTGACCAGAGACCAAATATTTTTTTTTTTTGGCCTAACCAAGCAAACACATGTTGGTGTATTTTGTGCCCTATGCCCCCAACCATGCCAACTGAAAATAAATCCTGGCTACGCCACTGATGAGGGGGTAGATGGGTCTTAATAAGCAAGATTTAGGGAACAGCTTTCAGGTAATTTGTCTGAAAACAAAGTTAAGTTTCCGATGCTGATTTGTGCACCCATGTCAAGAGTCAGGTGATTTGGCTAGCTCAATATTGGGTATTGCCCATGACACAAAATGTGGTATTGTCTTGTGTTCCTCTAAACTTTATTGGAGCAAGCTTGTTGATAAGTATTAGACATTGCGTGGTTTTTTTTCTGTACAGCAATACAGCCCTGACAAGCCCTGTATTTCATGCCAGTCAATGACTACCAAGGGACGCACAACTCACTGGGAAGGCGGTTCAGGATGCCGCAACAAGATCAAGATGAGCAGGTATGCATTGCACAATCTCTAGCTTCATACTCTCTTTATATTAAGCAAACGCAGATGAACACATAAGAAAGGGAGCTGAAGTTGTTCACACTGTTAGGGCCACAGCAGGTGCCAGAAAATATATTGCAAACAGGTGCAAGTGCGATACAGACGAATCCAGGCATGGATCACTGTACACTCACAAGGCCCCCTTCAATGGAGAAACCATTGTGCATGCTATTGTACAAAGCAACTAGCCCATGGCAAATCTTCTGGACAATAGCTAGCACAATGCTTTCACCATTGAAGGGGGCCACCGACCTCCTTGACAGAAGTGGTAATATTCTCGGATTAGTCTGTAGGATCATTGGTTATGCCCTTCAACAACATAATGACATGAACACTGCATACTCAGTGCCGACCGAGGGCTTTGCATGAAAAAAATGTGCACGCTGTCTTAGGGGTGGCTGGAACCCATGGCCCGCTGCGTACCAGTGCAGATGTCTCACCACTCGACCAGCTTGCCAGGGTTGGCTGGGCTGGATCAATCTGATTTAGACTTTTTGGCGGGGGTAATCGCAATCAATCACTATTTCTGAGTATGTGTGGTTCTGAAAAAAGCGGAGGGACTCATCATTTCGAACAGTATGCTCTGCCCGTCGTCAGGAGAATGAGGGATTCCAACGATGATGCGATGTTATAAGGATGGGTGCGGTGAAGTGTCAGAAGGATGCAAACTGGTGAAGTTGAAACCGGTGAAGCTGAGCAGGATGCAAGTTGACTGAGGGATGCCGGATGATCACTGGAGTGAGTCAGTACACTGTGAGGGGGCAAAGGGGAAGGAGCTCATGGGTATAGGTGACCCATAGGTGAGAACTGAACGTAAGTTGTCCTAGGGTATAGGAGACCCATTGGACATGGACTTGAGGAGGGGGCACCAGATGTTGCTGATGTTACATCATTATAACATCGCATCATCGTTGGAATCCCTCATTCTCCTGACGACGGGCAGAGCATACTGTTCGAAACATTGAGTTCCTCCGGTTCTTTTCAGAACCACACATACTCACAAAAGAGATTTATTCACATGGTGCTACTGGAAGCTTATCTTGTCTTAGAATCTCTCCACCATGCAAACCTTCAAATTTCAAATCACTATTTCGTTTTCGTGGAATTTGCTTTGGGGTCTGGGCCCAACTTCACAGCGCTGCTAAGCACACGATTTTCTGTAAACAGAGCCTCCGTCTATTTCATGGAGACCGTAACCATATATAAGCACAGCAAAAGGCACGCTTACTTCAGAGGAAAAAATTTGCTTAACTTAGTGACATAACAATAGAAATCTCCATGCACCCATGACCGTTAGCACATCAACGCCGTGAAATAGTGCTTCAGGTTTATAGCAGATTTTTCTGCTATGCTAAGCACAACTTTTCTGCTGACTGTAATAAGCAGCGCCGTGTAATTGGGCCCAGATGTAAGGTTTCATTTAAACGGTGACCGTTGGCTACTACTTGTGGTTGATTCATGGCATACCTTGCTCCTGTTCACAAATGTTTAAAAGCAAAATTCTCCAGTTGAACTGCATTCGAATGCTGGCAAGAAACGTCATGGTCCTGACTTCCTACTTTTCAATCCTGTCCACTCAGCTGTTAATAACTAGCGATAATTGATAACAAGCGATGTGACCAGCTTTTGAATGCTGTCCTCCCAACAATAACACATTTTTCATGAAGGTTAAATAGTCGAACTCTGATCAACCATAGGTCTTGACTGGACATTCCCCGTTTCAGTAGTGCTTTTCTGCGATGAGCTTCATTCGTCAGGGATAATTCGTGTGAAAGGCAAACACGATCAAAACAAAATTTGTAACAACTGCTGCATTTTGTTTATCTTTGCCCATTTTGTCGTTTGCTTTCCAGGAACGACAAGCAGAAGTACTCCAACACTAACAAGACCGTCTCAAAGAAACAACAGAAACTAGCAGAATGACAAGAAAGATTTTTAACAACCCTTCCTCGGCATATGTAAAAATTCAGTTCTTAAGCGATTCGTTATTGCCAACATTGAATTTAATTTACATGTGTATTGCAAAATGGTTTGTGCTTTGAACACATTTGCTTCCTGAATGAACTCTAGACTGAAATAACAAAATATTTACCACAATGGCATTCTATATTTTGCGACAAATAACTGTGAATAGTGTGACTGTTAAATTTGTGAAAGAAAAATTGTTATTTCTTGTACATACATTGTGTATTAACAGATGAAGTTTGGTTTGTCTTGAAAATAAAGGGGAAATTGGCAATGGTTGCCAAGATAATTATTCCACATTTGACAAAGACATATTTTATGTTGTCATTTCACAATTATTTTTTGTTTAAATGTTTAATGAACACAATTGTGTGGGGTACAATGGACAAGGAAGAGATTAATTGTGTAAGAAGGGGAAACAGTAAGTTTATTTAAAAGATTTTAGAAGTGTTGTTTCTTAAACACAAAATGGAATCTACATGATGGTTTCAAGTGTCTTTTTCTGTTTCATCCAAACAATTGCGAATCTGATTGATGTCAGAGAAAACAAATCTTAAGTTATTTCTGTGAGAATTTACCTTCAAAGCGAAAATTTAAACAAATAAGTGTATTTTTGTGAACCAATAAAAGTTTCAATAAATTAGTTTTCACAGAAAATTTCAATCTGTCAAATTTTGTACGGATAAGAAAGGCGTCAGAATTATTTTAGTAAAGTGGGGGACTAGAGTTGTTGGACGTCAACAGATAGATTGCATTCAGCAGCCATCTTTGAGGCGTGTTTTAAGGTAATAGGTCTCTCTCAAAGAGGGTCATCTCTGTAGGAGATCTGTAACTGCGTATTTTACACAATCAAGCATGCATTGTGCAGTGTTGAAAATGTTCCAAACGCATGCGCTTGTAGCTCGAAATGCGTTTGAAATATACGACGCAGCTGATGCGCGTTATGCAAGTTGACGCTCAAAATGCCGATGCACGTGGCTGGTCTGTAGGAAATTACGTCATTTGAGAGAGACCTATTCATCAACAATGAATGCACAAGCCCCATTGAACAAAAACACCTAACAGATGACGGCAGTGCGAACAAGATATGAGCTATCCACCTCATTTTTACTGAAGAAACCATTTATTCCGTGTATAAAATATTAAGTGAAATTATAATTATTTGAAATGTCTAAGACATGCATAAACGAAATTCCTTAGTGCTTGCCCCTTCCCCAGTTTGTTACAAACTGCAAAATAATTCTGATTATGCATGTGAAGTCTGGTCATATTTTGCCCGAGGAAAGCTCAATTTTTCTCTCTGAAAGTAAAGTGTTTATTTTACAATGCTGTAACGATTGTATTGTTGGTTCTTTGGTTGGGTGAGAACTTTTATCTCTAGCAACTGTGCGTACAATTTTTTGAAAAATCAACATAAAATTTCGAGCACACGGTATTGTGAGTGACTTGAAAGTGCATAGCAATAATTAATAGGAACAGAGAATATACAAAAGAAATAATTTATATTTACAACTATTATAGAAATGGACGGAATGCACCTGCAAGTAAGATAACAGCTTCATTTGTACAATTAAAGATTCAACCAACAAAAATTAGTACACTGTATGTACAAATATACAGTTATCACTATATAGTACACAGAAAGACGAGAAATTAAATTTACACAAGTTGTTCTATATATATATACCGTACATAAAACAGAATTTGATCAAAATGCTCTTGCTGAAACAAACAGGCCGGAATATGAAATCTGGCATAATTGACAGAACCAATTGCCCCAGACGCCTGGTAGGTTCGAGTAATGAAATCGGAACCAACACTTCACTGCAATGCCACTGCATTGTCACTTTACAATTACAGATTGCTTGGATGGTTGTATTATATGGAACAAATGAACCCTTTCAGTACCATACATAACCTTTTGAGAGTAAAAGAAGGGTGCATTACAGGACCGGTGCCGATGGGCTTCCACAGTTTTCCTATAGCTGTTGTTTCCAAAACTGATTTCCCATTGGATTCCAATGGGTTTCCTATCTGTGGCTCCATTTCCGATGCAGGTTTCCATTTTTTCCATGTAGGTTTTAATTTTCCCATGTAGGTTTCCATGTGCATATGGGTTTCCCATGTAGGTTTTCCTATTGTATTTGCTATTGGATTCAAATGAGTTCCCATCTACGGCTCCATTTCCGATGCAGGTTTCCAGTTTTTCCCATCTAGGTTTAAATTTTCCCATAGGTTTCCTGTAAGGGGGTTTCCCTTTAAGTTTTCCTATCGTAGCTAATGGATTTCAATGAGTTCCCATTTTCCGATGCAGGTTTCCATTTTCCCCACATACGTTTCCATGTGCATAAAGGGGTTTCCCATGTAGGTTTTCCGCTGTCCCACGTAGGTTCCAATACGGGTTCATGTGCATTTCTATGGGTTTCCCTCCTGGGGTTCCACTTCTGCACCACACTTTTCCAGAAGTTTGTCTGGTTTTCCTTGGCATTATTTAGCTTCCTCGTCCTCTGGCCGATCCATATTTTGGATTGTGGTTCCGAGGATTCCTTCAATATCCTCGATTGCAGCCTGCAAAGACATTTTTAAAAAAATATAAATCACAAGCTGTTAACCAAATGGAATAAACTGAAGTACACAATTTTAAAAAATTTTGCAAGGCTTATTTTTTTCTGAACTTTTACAATAGCTGAGCTCCAAATGTAGGGCCTCTCAATTTTCCGAACCTAAAAATTACTGAGATACAGGAAATCATGTTCAATAGCATTTACTTCCCTTTTTTTTTCTAATTTGAAATTATGCAGTAAAGCTTGTGAATGGCATTTTTGCAAGCAATTTTCCTAAATCATCCAAAATCAACCACACTACCGGAATCCATTTGCAAAATCCTTGTACTTTAACCTTTAGGGTGCATCATGTCCCATGCCCACTAATTTTGGCTTGGCACTACTTTCCTAAATCCAGAGAAATCTTTAAAAAAAAATAATAAACGGTGCATTTTGAAGCGTCTCAGAGGGTGAGGATTAATGTTTACTTGTATGTCTTCCAAATGGAACAGATGTATGAAAACTCTAAATTTTTGAGTGCCTGCTTACCTGAAAGTTGGACTGTCCCTGCATGTTGGGCGCCGATATCTCTTGATGGATGACCGACAAGTTACGAGCAAACGACGCTAGCGTTCCCTGCAGCTCCTCTCCTACCGTCAGCATGCCGATACCCTCACGCTTGTAGCTGTCAATCAAGGTGAAGGCCGTGCCTTGCTTCTCCTGGGATTTGAAAACAAGGACAATTAATATATTTTTGTCTTGCAGTGATTCTTTGACTCACTAAACTAATTGCCTCAATTAGATGAATTCAAAACAATGTGTAATTAAAGGTATAGTCCATCATTTGTAATTTGTGCATTTTGTTCGTTTGAAGCAACAAACGTGCTCTGAAGAAGGATGCTGAACAACCAATCTGATGAAGTTTTCAGCTTAGCTTCAGCTGCATTTTTCGAGAAAAACAACTAGGACTTTGATTTCAAATCAAAAGTTGCTGAATCATGTTTTGAATTGGGCATGAATCCAGCGTCCGAGACACGTTCTCACTAGCTGATTGCAGCTATGCAATGTCGCGCACTGATCCAACGAATTATAGCAACCGCGCACGCGCGCGTGTGCGTCGTGCCAATGCTTGCGTGCGCTTCGCCGAATAACATAACAAACTACTAATTTGAATTTCCTACGGTGCTTCTTAAGAATCACCGTTGGAAAGGCCTTCTTTTGTTGATTTCTTCAAAATGACAGCTTGCCAGAAAGAATAATTTCACAGGGAGTTTAGTCCCCTTACTATCTTTCAACCAAGTATGTTTTTCAACAATAATTACGCCAGTTACTATTTGGATAGCTGCAAATGATGGACTCTGGCTTTAATGCTTTGAGTTGGGTGAACAGATATATTGGCTCGAAATGGCACCTGCAAGGGATTACAAAGTTGTTACATTACATTGTTTGATTTCGTCTAATAATTATTTTGAAGTGTCAATGTTGAGCTAAGTAATATTTGTATCACTCATCTTAAGCTGGATCAACTTTTTGAGTAGGTCACAACTGTGTCATTAAGAATATCTGCAGAGCATCTGCTGATTCAGCAACGGAGGGTATAATTGGACATGAAAGCAAACTACCACACTCAATTAACTTTTGAGCTGTATCAGCATACAGTCAAATTTCTTCAGTCACTTAGGGCAAGCTAATAAAAAATCTGTCAACTCCATATTTCACCCACAGCAACTCTTACTCTGTACAATCATTCATACCTTGATGTCAAATCCGATGCCGTGAGCTCGACACATCTGGAAGAAGACGCTGTAGTGGACTACGGCTAGATTGGTGTGTAACAGGCGGGTACTCATGACGGCATAGCGACTCGTGTTGGGAGGCTCCTGAAAAATGACAAAGCAAAGTTGAGGTTTGATTCTCATCAAGGAAAGTGGCCTTTTGGATCTGGTTCCTGACTGCAAGGAGTCTGGCTCAATATGGGTTCACGCTCTGCCTCAGGAACATCAAGTCCTGCAATGTCAAGAATGTTGCTACAGTAAACTCTGGCTAAACCGACATCGTACAACTCGTCAAATCGCTCAAGTCGGCCGTCTGACTAAGTCCCGATTGTCCGTAATGCATTTCCATTGATTTTTTTATTTCTAAGTCGGCTTTTATAAGTCGCCATTTCGCTCAAGTCGTCGTGTTACTCTCGGTCCCCTTTCCATAAAAAGCATTACAAAATCCTTTGTGTAAGTCGGCATTCAACAAATCACGCATTGGCATCGACTTCCTGTACTGCAGTTGGCAAAGTGTCGAGTGAAAAGAGGTTTCGCACAGCCCGTGATCGCAGCATGCATCGGTGTCGAAAAAGGGTGTCCTACTGCATACAACACATCGCATATGCATCGTGAGCATATCAATACCAGTACCCCCTCTAAGCTGTACGCATGCGCTCTGTCCATTTTGGGGGTCGTCTTATTGAAGGACTACTGCTGAAGTCAATGCCTCCATGGTATATACCGGACCATGCACGCATTTAATTTGTTACTGTGCATGTACATGTATCGTGGTCTCCACTATCAATACCCCAAACGTGATGATACAATTGGAGGATTAATTTGCTGGATTCAACTCAAGCATTAAGGAGATCCTCCAGGGTAAATCGATGCCAATTAGTGCAATGAATCATGTGTGCAAAAGACCATTTATGTAAGTCGGCAAAATAACGACTTATAGCATATATCGGCATTCGCATAAGTCGTCACGAATTCTCAGGTCCCGAGAGTGCCGGTTTAGCCGGAGTTTACTGTATCTGGTTTGGACACTAAAAGCTTCATGATTCTAGATCCATAAATGAAGCCACATGCAGCCAGTGAACTTTTCTATACTCACTTCTGGTTCTAGATCCTCATATCTCCTCCTGATGCTCTTCTTTCGTTCCTTCTTGGGAGGCGGTACGTGAAACTCGCAGGTCTTGTTGTTCAGGGTTCCTCCTGAGACATACAGCATCAGGCCTGTCGTGGAGACCGTGTCATCGTACCACAGATTGAGGTCCACCGCCCAGAGCTTTTGGTCTCTCTGCAAGACCATTGGTGAGGGGCAAGGGATGCATTATTAGAGTGGGGTTGGCTCAACTGCCAGTACTATAGTCAAAACCTTTCCAGACATCATTATTTGATGAAAGAATAAATGAATGAAAGAAAGTCAATACTGCCATGTAAAAATGCTTTCTTTTTAAGTCAGGAACTCACAGAGATTTTTTTTAGACCACTTTGAGATCCAGTTTTTATGTTTAATCCTACATTTACAGGAAAACAAGGTCACTGTTCTATATGTTCAAAGCCAAAGTACTGTTAGTCTTTTTCTTATTCACAAAGGACTTCAGTCATATGAAGTCCGTTGTATGAGCTAGTTGAGTGATGTCCCAGAAGAGGTCTCGACTGCAACACTATCAACTGCACATTAAGTCTCAACACACAATACCACAGAATTTTAATCAAGTCCTTCCAAATCATAACAAGTTAGTCACAAGTCCTTAAAGACTATAGAGTAGCAAGCTTTTATCAAACGAACTTAACCAAAGGCATTCCTGTCACTGTCAGTCCCTGCCTTGTGACCTTACTTATAATTCAACTTGAATTTGACTTGTGATTGACGTTTTTTGATTGATTCCATAACAACTCTGCAAAACCATCAGCTATTTTGGATACTGCACAGAATGCATGAACCAAGCAGAGAAAAAGATTGCATAAATGTCGTAACCCCCCAAAAATCAACATTAAATGATGATAAAGGTGGTATTTGAGTGAGTGTTGACACTAACGTCACATGCGTTTTTACAAACTCAACATGTGACCATTCCAGACCAATGAAATTACAGACACGACATAAGAAAATAACATACATGTACATGTAGGTAACAGACAGTGCAAACAAAATCTGACTAATGCCTTACCGTGTTGGGATCAATGAAGGTGACAAAGTCCACAGCGAAGTATCCCATGACACTACGCTGCAGGCAGCTCTTGGCTACCTTGGCGCAGGCCCGGTTGAGCTGGCCGGGGTCCACGGAGGACTGAGGGACAGACAGACCCCAACAGGTGAAAGGGCTGTGGGCGTGGATCTGATCCCCCGAGGAGACTAGGGTCACCTTGCCGTCCGGGGTGATCAGGATGTTGACTGTGATGGCTGTTACGCTGTCAGAGGGCGGGCAGGCTTCTATGACACCCCCTGTGGAAAATAAACAGAACATTGGATGTACACTGTCATGGCTGTTACGCTGTCAGAGAATGGGTGACACCCCCTATGGAAAATGAATACAGATAAAAAGAATGCCCTCAATGATGAAGATGTTGACAGTACAGCAGCTGACACAAAACTTGGAAAAATCAAGGTCTGGGGTCCCTGCTGTACATATGAGGTCTAGTGTGATACTGTGTGTGGTGTGACGCGGAAGGAAGTTTACAAAATCTAATACTATTTGGTTTACTGAATCTCATTCATATTTTGTTTTAATTATTAACTGATTTCCAAAGTGTAGACAAAATTTTAAAATCCCACCAACGGAAAAATTATACCGACTGCATATGCTTTACCGTGTAACCTATCTGTCGTGAGGGTTTTAGTATGGTACCACCTGTCACCTGACTTACAAACCTATTGTTGCATGATAGCGAGTCTAGGAGCTAAATCTTGAGGTGCTTCTTCCATCATAGTACTATTAGACTAGCGCAGAGCGTCATGCCGCATGACTGGTATGCTACTTTACTGTCCAGACACATTGGAGCATTAACCAATGAAAGAAGCATGTTTCAGTTCGTAAAATGTCACAAGATGGAATGAGAAACTCTCAAGATGGAATCTTGGAACCTACCCTGACTGAGGAATGCTTCCAGGAACTTGGGCCAGGAGGAGTAGAGTTTCTTGTTGATAGGCGTGGCGTTGTTGGCAAGAATGTCTGGCACCTCGGCTCTTATCTTGATGTAGGCTGGTTCCTGTGTGGGTACATAAAAGCAATACTACATTAAACAGTGAAATTGAGGGAATGAGAATATGTGATGCGATCAAGCTAAATGAGTCGTTTGTCGACCCCGGTCAAATTTTTCTTATAACAGATTTGAAATGAGCACAATCTCAGCATTATTGCTGTGAAAACCGCATGCTGATACCATCTTTAATTCAAAAATTATGGAAGTCGGAACACCAAGAGATGTGGCCCTATTTTGGCCTGTATCTCCAAATGAAAATTCCCGACAAACGACTCATGTAGCTTGATCGCATCACATATGTCTTAAAACAATAAATGTTTGTTTGTAGAAATTGTCTTGAAAGGCATTATAGGATCATTTGCTATTCATGCATTTTGTTCGTTTCCCATAATAACACCACTCAAAATCCAAAGAAGACTGTTCAAAATTACTGTTGACGTTTCAGCTCATTGGATATTACACTTTTGGAGAAAACAGTGAAAAACCGTGCTCAACATTTTGATCACGAAACATGTTTCATCTATAGAACGTTTTATTTTAAAAAATCAGTCCATTGACTGATCGTTGGAAATCACCCACATTTTTTGATTTTCTTCATTATCACAGCAAGCCAGACGGAATAACTTCATGGGGATTTTTAGTACTACGATCTTTAATCCAAGTAAGCTCTCTGACAAAAATTCAGTCGGTTACTTCTGGGATAAAGTGCAAATGATCCTATATGCCTTTAAAACACTGATCAATTTAGACATGTCACCTGTGAAATGTACATTTTCAAACAGCCACAAAAATACAGATGCATCTGTAAAAGTTAAAATAGACTGGAGAAATAATACGCAGGCAATAATGCACGCAATGCCAAAAAATACACCCGAGATGCATTACACAAAATGTTTAGTGAAATCATAAGAACCAATCATAGCCACAACTGAATGTACGTAGCCGTCCATTGTAAATCCTACTATTGATCCATACCCAGTAGATTTTGTACCATCCACAAGCACCCTGTCTGTCCCCTATGGCCCAACACTGCCCAGCACTTTTTGTTTTTTACAGATTCATCAAGGAGTATACCGTAATTCACCGAACAACATTAGAAGCCATTTTTGAGGTGGTGCCAAACTCACGCGCATGCCGCATTCATTCTTAAAGACAAGGTGTGCACGCATCTTGGTAACCCTATCGGTCGAAGGAGCCCGGAGTGCATGCATATAGTCGTGTTCCCTAACGTGGCGCACTTCGAAGCTTACCCAACTTTCCTCGGGTAGTGTTGCCAAACTTCTTTGTTGACAAACCTCAAATTCATGCAGTGAAATACTGGTACTTTGACCTTATTAATGCTTGCTATTTAATATCTGTGAACAATTTCGGTGTCATAAAATTTAAGCCGAAATTAAAAAACGGTGGCGTCCGGAAATTGGGCACAAATTGGCGGAGTGTTCCCTAACGTGGCGCACTTGAATAAATCTCGGAAAATTCCAAATTAACATTTAAGAATTTCTGTAAACTTGATAAATTCTGATAAAACATTATTATCTCTAATTACATACCCAGCCAGATGTTTGTCAGAAAATTATTTCCTTATTTTCGGGGCATTTTCAAAGGGTTCACTTTGCACTTGAAAATAAAATCAGAAAATCACGCCAAAATAATATTTTCTTTTAACTTTGTAGCGGGTAAATAAACTCGCGATTTATGAACGGTTATGTTTAGAACTTGATGAAATTTCACTTTCTGTAAAATTTCAGTTAAAACTTTTGCGCTAGCTAGGCGCTACAGCCGAAAAATCAAAGTGCGCCACGTTAGGGGCCGCGCCACGTTAGGGTACATCAACAATACTACCTGAGCGCGACTTGCGCGAGCCTGGTGCCACCAGTCGCTGATATGTAATACAGTGTAATAACAGTGATAAAGGCTAAAGTTACAATGTCACATTTACCTGTGCCCATTTTTTGGCCCACTTCTCCCCGTATCGCGCCGCCTCCTTCTTGGCCCAGCTGTGGCACCTCAGATGGGGGGTGATGTCGCAGTAGGCAATGCCCCGCCCATCAAACTCATCATCTAGCTTGAAGAGGTAGCGCTTGACGTCTAGGTTGTCTGTTACCAGCTGGGCAAGACTCTCATGTAGCTTTAAGGAAGATACAAAACAGTTCCAAGATGCTGAATATGAGGCGTGTATTCAAGTTTTTTTGGTTTAACCATCTTTTGTTTAAAAAAAGTTGCCTAACTTTTGGGTCATCTGTGTGATAGAATTTCTATTTGGAGGAAATATATTTGATATCTGGTTTTGCCCTTCACAGACATGATTGATGGCAATATCCGCTGTAAAATTAGATTGAACTGGCAGGCCAATCCTAACAAACTTAGATGTTCAGTGGTTAAAATCCTCTGCACTACTAACCAGGCCACAATTTCATGGCACTGGTTAGCGGCAAACAATTATCTGCTATTAGAACCTGTCTATTTCATGGAGACCGTAAGCAGTAGGCACAGCAAAAGGCAGGCATACCTCAGAGAAAAAGAAAATACAAAAATAAAATTTGCCGTGCGCGTGCAACTGTAAGCACATCCACGCAATGAAATAGTGCTGAAGGTTAGCGCAATTTTTCTGCTATATAGTAAGCACAATTTTCTGCTGAAAAAGAAGTGCCATGAAACTTGGTCCTGGAGGTCAGGGGTTCATATCCCACCCAAGCAAGCTTGGAAACTTTTCTTCATACTGTTCATTTATAATGATGATAATGTGGTGCTAATGCTTCAGGTAATGGGATAAATTTGCATTCAGCATTTCAAAATCAGGGCAATCATTTCTCTTCACTTGCAAATACTCACTCACACTCAAGGTATAGAGAGACAATTGTAATAAAGGGTCTTGCCCAAGAACACAAGCATCATGATCCCTGTCAGGGTATGAACCCACACACAATCACATTTTTGACCACGGTGGTCTATGGGATGTTAACACGTCTTACCTGTTCCAGACTATAGACATCAAAGTCGGAAGGTGGAACGTCCACTTCAGCACTGGCAAAGATTCTCTTGGAGCCAGACTTGGTGGAGTATAGATGGGACACCTCTGGCTCGCAGCCTAGTATCGGAAGATCTGACCCACAGAAATAATACAATTTAGTACTTTTACACTGAGGAACAAAGTCAACTTGGAAATTCCTTAACTGCGTCCAGCGCTAAGCTTTAAGATATCCAGTCATTCAAAAATTAAGCTCATTTCATTTCCAGATTGACAAAAATGACTGAGAAATATTTCCTCTGAATGGGATGCTGGTGCAACAGAGACTTCTCCCCAGCTTATGCTGGTACCCATTTATACTCTTGGTTTTGGGGCATTCGGGAGTAAAGTGGCTTGCCCAAGGATACAACATATGGCCAGCAGCTGGATTTAAACCTCTGACCCTCTGCTCATGAGTCACAGACCCTAACCGCTAAGCCTACAGCCCACTTGACGTGTATAGCTTTTTCCGATGTCAAGAAAAAAGACTAGCTGTATGGACTTACTCAATTCATGCGCAAGTGATAAGTCATCTTTGTGCATGACTCCTGGTACGATGTAGGCTTCCTTTCCAGCCGTCAGATTCTGTATTCTCTGCAGGGCTCGAGGGCTGTACTTCAAGAGCGTGGACAGGCACATGCTGTGGGTCTGTGCAGTCATGATGAGAGAAGAAAAATATTATCGGGTATGACACAATTTGGTTAAACAGACTACACTCGACTCTCGTTAGTACAAACTCTGTTAATACAAATTCTGGTTTTAACAAACATAAGGCCTTGGTCCCGACTGTGCATTTATGTGCACAATGAATGGGACTGATATTCCTCTTAATACAAAATTCTGATATAACAAAGAATTTGGCTAGGTCCGAACAAGTTTGTAATAACGAGACTCGACTGTATAATAAAGGGGAGTGCATCAGAATCAGGTATCCGAGTACCCAACCACCGATGTCAGGAACCAGTTCCAGATTAAGATATCGGGTACCCGTAATGTAAAGTTTAATTTTGTGACTTTTGGACCGAAGAGTTGTGACTTTTGGACCGAAAACTTTCAAAAATTCGCCTCGGGTAGTTATCAGCATTCCAGACTCCAACCAGTCTTAAACATAGTATTTAACACCTCCCAAGAACACATTTATTCCCTTACTAATTGTGCGTTCTTTGCACACATGCAATGTGTCCCTCCTAGGCGCTCTTATGATTGGTTACGAAGTGCGAGTCAATGATGATCATTTGGCTAAGAACATGCCCTTTGGCTTCAAAATCTATGATTAATTATACCAGGGATTGGTGGCTGAAAATCATTTTTACAAATGAACAACCGATACTGAATATTTTTTTTTTGTGGAACCTATTTCAACACAACCATCTCTACGCTCATGGAGAAAAGCGATAGGTGACAAAGTGATAACAATAATATATTTTTTTGGGGGGGAGGGGGGCTAATCATCCTTACTCACAGCTGAGAAGCTGAATTGCGAAGGACGCAGCTACAACGTGGTCGAGCCGAAGGTATGTAAAGGCGCCTTAGGCAGCCGTCATCCGACCCATGTCTGACCATGGAGCACAGCCAGTTCTAAATTGCTGATTTAATTTTGCAGAGCGCCCAGAGAAAATAAACCATGTTGGCACAGGAGAGAATCAACGAACAACTCGACTCACACATGACCCGAGTCGGAAATCAAACCCGGGCTACATTGGTGAGAGGCACTTTACGCACTAGCCACCCATGCCACCCGACAAATGCGACAAAGTTTGTCGCCCAAGAATAAATGCCACACTATTACTCTCGCAGGATGGACTCAAACCTAACATCTCCACAATTATCCACGAGATCTTGAGCTCGAGACTACACAGCTGCAGTACTCCATGAAGAAAGACACTTACAGGGAAACTATTGATAGCTTCAGGCACGATGATCTTGAAGCGGTCAGACATGTCCCTCTGATCCTCCACATTACCACTCTCCACGGCCGGTCTCAGTCCCAGCAGCTTGTTGTAGTATTGCAGAGTTTCGTCGTTGATGTTGACCGGGGAAACATAGATGACTTCAACATTGGGATCTTGACAAGGGGAAAATTGTAAAGACCATCAAGTTTTGTCAGATGCGACACGTGTTATCAGCAGTAAAGAAATAACTCTGGAAAATCACATTACAGTATTGTCGGGCTAAAATCAAGAAAAAGGTTTGAGAATGCAAGATTTAGAGAGGTAGAGTCTAGCCAATGTTAATTTGAACACGGAACTTAACACACCTTGACGAATAAAATACAAAAGACGTGCAAAGATGAGAATAGTCCTCTCCAAAAATATAGTCCTCTCCAAAAAAAAATAGTTTATGCGGTACCCGCTGCTATGCACATCAGATTCGAACCGATCCCGTTAGCTTGGTGGTCGAGTGGTAAGACATCTGCACTAGAAAGCAGGAGGTCATGGGTTCGAGTCCCACCCGAGTGATTTTTTCCAACTTTCACTCGGGAGGTAACACACTGAGTATACAGTGTTTAAAAACGTCGGTGAAGGGCAAAACCTAATTTGATCCAAAAATATTGTTTGACAGAGCTTAGTAGTTTGTGAATTTGGCCCAGGGAACAATGATTAAAATTTAGAACTCCGGTACAAAAAGTTCCCCAGAAACTGTAGCTCTTACCATGTAAATCACACAGCCGAGCCATCTGCTGGTTTTGCTGAATGTTGAAGTCTCCAATGGTGGTTCTAATCTTTTGAGAGTAACCCAAGGAGGGGATGTGGACGATAACGCGACGGTTCCTCTGGATGCGATCCCAGGAGGCTGAAAAGTCCTACAGTCAAGGGAAGGGGGGGGGGGGGGAGAGAAGCAACAAATGAAAAACCTTCTTAAAACATTTTGTTGTTACTCATCGTTCCTTGAGGTCCATAGTTGTGTCCCAATGCCCTAATGGAGGCACCGCTCCTTGGTATTCTGACCAATCACAGCCGTGATTTATGTCCGACATGCGTGCACAAAAGTCCGACATGCATGCACGGGCGTATGATGCGCGCGGCAGGAAAATGCAGTGTGGCATTGGAGAGGAGCACGTGTTAATTTGCCCACGTGCGCAGTGGGAGGGGCTTACTGGATCGGTCCATTGGTGGCAGCCAATATATGGACTTTGTATCTTAACCTCACAGATTGATTTTTATTTATGGAGTGTTTATACAGAGGGTATCAATATTACCGACAGAAAAGAAACGGTTAAGGACCACAAAGAAAGGCACCACTGAAAAAATCACAATCAAGAACTACAGTTAACCATTATTTGACAAATCGCAATCTAATACATGCTAGTCAATGAAGGTTGGACTAGTCTAGTAGACTGCCTCGTAAGACCAGCCTCGTAAGATTGGCTACACAGTTGGTTTCCAATGGTCATGCTGATCATGATGTACAGCAGACAGCCAGGACCATGGGATTTAGGGACACTAGACCCCAATGGTTCTGGACTGCTGCCGTACATTTTTGATACACAGGGCTTTTTTAATCCAGTGTTGCAACCAAACGCATGTAGCTTTATTAGACTACAGTTGACAAGCATCAGTTTGTGTGAAGGTTGTCAAACTATGGTTAACCACATTTCCAGCTCAAACTTGCTCTTGTTTGTGCTTAAAGCTGGAATCCATCATTTGCAGCTATCCAAAAAGTAACTGGCGTTATTCTTGTTGAAAAACATACTTGGTTGAAAGATAGTAAGGGGACTAAACTCCCTGTGAAATTATTCTTTCTGGAAAGCTGTCATTTTGAAGAAATCAACAACCTTTCCAACGGTGCTTCTTAAGATGCACCGTAGGAAATTTATATTAGTAGTTCGTTTTGTTTGCAGCGAAGCGCGCGCAAGCATTGGCACGACGCACACGTGCGCGCGGTTGCTATAATTTGTCAGATCAGTGCGCGACATCGCGTAGCTGCAATCGGCTCAGTGAGAACGGTTCTCGGACGCTGAATTCAGGCTCAATTCAATACATGATTCAGCAACTTTTGATTTGAAATCAAGATCCTAGAATGCTGTTTTTCTCGGGATATACAGCTGAAGCTTAGCTGAAACTTCATCAGGTTAGTTGTTCAATACCCTTCTTTAGATTTTGAGCACGTTTGTTGCTTCAAACGAACAAAATGCACAAATTACAAATGATGGACTATACCTTTAAACTTGCTCTGAGACAGCTTCACTTGTAGTCAATTCATAGTGAAAAGTGAAAATGGTGAAAATAAAAGAGCATGCAGCACACACCTTTGTCCTCCGGCGAAACTCCTCCAGCTGTATCTTCCTGGTCTCCTTCAGCTGCTTGCGCACCATAGCCATCTTGACGTGCATGACCCATGAGATGGCGATGACCCCCGCCGCCCACTTCTTGCGCCGGTACTCCAGGTACTGGGACCGGTCTTTGTACCGTCGCCACGTGGACTGGATCTTGGTCGCGGCCACGTCTTCCCCATCGGGACCCAGGAACCGCCTGCCGGGGCGGTTGAGGAGGGCCATGACGTCGTCGATGTTCATGATGACGCCCAGGAGGGCTTTGGTTGTTGGGGGTTTGTCCAGCTCAAACTCCACAGCAAGATCAGCCAATCTGTAACAAATAAGTTGAAATCATTGACTTGATCCTAACAAGACTTTTGTCCTAGCTAGACACTTACCATCTTCAGTAAGGGTTTGTGTGTTTTTATAGTTTATTTCAGTTCTATGTACATGAGTAAGGGAATTACTTAAGGTGTTGTTCCTTTTTTGTTTTTGACGTTTCAAAAAGAACCCAATTCGATTGTTCTTTTACTCAAGTAACTTCAATATATGTACGGTGGGGGATATTGCATTGTTTTCGAAATGTTTCTACCATTTTAACATTTTTCTGTATTTTAATACCACTGAATATTTTTTTTCTAAATAAGCGGATGGCTCATTTAATTTTTGTACGTAAATAGCTAGTTTGGAATAGAAACCCTTCATGATCAGGAGCACGTTTTGGCGGCCCTTGAACTGGAACATGTTTGTGACGTCACAGCCGTGACCTGAAACATGTTTCCTGTGCACCGCGAAAACGACTGACCGGAAAATTGTTCATGACGTCATGTTACTGCCTACGTGACTGCCCACAACCCAAACAAAATCACGCGGCGACCGGACATGATTTACAATAACATTCAAAGGAAAAGTTGGAATTTTTTTTATAGCTTTTCTCCTAAAGTTCTAAAAAGAGTAGGCCTGATATTCTGTATCAACTTTCGTACCAATTGAAGGTAAAAACCCACTATTTAAACCCCGTTTATGGTAAAAAGTAACGTCGTCTGCTAAGCTTGTTTACCTTTCCGCCATCTTGAAACATAAGTGAACCGACCGGAAACCTCGGTTCAACTTTGGTCGAAACAATGACGTCATTTCAGTGTAACCGAAGCGCCAAAACGGCCGCGAACCAGAAACATGTTTACGGTCACAGCGCCAAAACATGCTCCAGGTCACAGTTGTTCTAAAGTTTGTTTGTGTAACACTATGGTAATAGAGTCAGTCATAGTTTAATCAATGTTTCCCACATTTAGTGAATTACAACTCGTCAGCTATCAGATATTACAGATCAACTTACTTGTCACCGTTGATGAACGCCAATGGCACAGCGTAGTTACCGAGGAGTTTCTCTAGGTGCCTGAGCATGGTGACGATGTTGCCCCAAGACAGGCAGTAATGCTGCTTGAAGGCAGCAAAGTCCTTGGAGGACTCCCGTAGCCTGCCGTGCTGGATGGCGAAGCGATGGTGGAGGTGCTTGAACTCACTGGCCGGGGTGGTGGGAGGGGGCTGTATGTGCAGACAACAGGCAGGGTTGATCAGTTTTAAGAAGTTCAACTCATTTCTTCTTATGGTATTTTGGTGATCGGGGGTTAGATTAAAGCCAGAGTCCATCATTTGCAGCAATCCAAAAAGTAACTGGCGTAATTTTGTTGAAAAACATACTTGGTTGAAAGATAATAAGGGGACTAAACTCCCTCGGAAATTATCCTTTTTGGCAAGCCGTCATTTTGAAGAAATCAACGAAAGAAGGCCTTTCCAATGGTGCGTCTTAAGAAGCACCGTAGAAAATTCAAATAAGTAGTTCGTTTTGTTATTCGGCGAAGCGCACACAAGCATTGGCACAACGCACACACGGGCAAGGTTGCTATAATTCGTCGGATCAGTAGCTGCAATCGGCTCAGTGAGAACGTGTCTCTGACCCTGAATTCAGGCCCAAATCAAAACATGATTCAGCAACTTTTGATTTGAAATCGAGATCCTAGAATGTTGTTTTTCTCGAAAAATACAGCTGAAGCTGAGCTGAAACTTCATCAGGTTAGTTATTCAGCATCCTTCTTTAGATATTGAGCACTTTTGTTGCTTCAAACGAACAAAATGCACAAATTACAAGTGATGGACTATACCTTTAACGAGACCAATTATATGCAGAAAATCTATATATAATGCCAGAGTTGCATTTGAGTCCATCATAAGTCCAACACAAGTCCTTTCAAAAGTTATGCCCCGGCCTTTCACAAATTACACTGGAGTAAAATCCTCATCAGTCAATCACAAGTCTGTCACAAGTCAATCAGTCTAAAGTCAACGTACAAGCTAACGACGTATGATTTGACATGTGACTTGACTATAGGTCTGTTAGAAAAGCTTTGATGTCTTTTTTTCCAGGTTATTCAACAAAACATATAAACAATAATACTGTCTATTGATGGTAACTCTTTCCCCTTGGAAATTAAAAGATGTCAATATCTGAGTGGACGCTGGTTCATAATCTACGCAAATGTGAATGCAAGACAAATTACATGTTTAATATAAAACAGTTGCAGTAAAAATCACCAGAGTTAAAATGTGATGTGACAAAGTTACATTCACCTATGCTTGGTATGCAAACAGCCTTTAAGTACAGAGAAAAAAACACAGACACACACAAAAAATTGGTTTCTGACTCACCAGTGGTTCCATATTCTTGACAGGCACCAGTGACCTGGCCGACTTGGCCGACGTGGCACCAGACCTGGGCGAGACCCAGGCAGGCTCGGGTGATTCAGCCAGGCTTGCTGACCTTGGGCGACGCGCTACTATGGGCCTAGTGGGCATGGGCTCCATGGGGTAAGGGTCTAGGTCCAGCTTGACTGAGGCAAGATTGAAACTGCCATCTGGAATTCAGACATTCAACAAGAAAGGTTAATCAGAATAACTTAAAACGGACAAACCTAAGGAAAATTGTTGTCTCTGGTAATGTTTGGTGGGATTTCAGATTAACTGCTAGATTATTTGGCTGAAAAAACCGAGAACTATGTATCCTGAACTGAAAGTGTAAACAGTGTTCACTGGTTGCATTACATATATTTGTATTTACATACACATGCGTATAATGTTTGCCACGATTATAATGGATCATTTTTAATATGCCATAACCCCACACACAGCACGTACTGTGGGCAACAGCACATGCATCTACCCAACCCCAAAGTGCAAGTTCAAGCCCCACGTATCATGCGTAAGTGCTCACATGTCGAACGTCCAAAACTTGGTTGGGCAGTCACGGCTGTGATTGATCGGTATTTATTCCCAGCCAAGTTTTGGATTATCAGTAATTCTTTCTTTTTTCCCCGCACTCACCGCCAAAGCCCAGGGGTGGGCCCTTGGGAATGTTCTTCTTGTCCTGCGCGTCGTGTAAGGTCTGCAGCTTCTGTCGGACCGGGCTGGGGTCAAGGGTCAGCTCGGCAGCCGGCGGGATCAGACCCCGCTCCATCAGGCTCAGAATGCCCTTCCTGGCGTCCTTCTCTGAGATTGGAGGCGGGATCAGCTGAGGAGGCGGGAAAACCAAAAAAAGAAGAGGATAAAGACACAAAAGCTACTCAAAACTCAACTCTGCAATCAGAATTTTCTTATAGTACAAAATCAGATATGAACACACAGAAGCATTTTGTTCATCAAGATTACATTAAACCTACCTGAGGGTCTACTCTGTTGGCCTTGGGCAAGACAGCTAAGTGTTCCACGTTGGATCCCATCACTACTTTTTGCGTCGGTACCTGTAATCAAAGTCATGCGATCAGTATGTTGATAAACTGAACACAAGAATGCATTCAACAAAGACTCTACAGAGACAGAAGACATCTGATTTCTGCTTTCATGAGGAAAACAGCAGCAATTCAAAGAAACAAGGGTATTTAGCGGTTGGTATTTTGTAATTTAATTTTTTGTACATTACATGCAGTGTCGCACCAGTGTTTCACTGAAATAGGCCCATTTTCAAATTTACCGTCTTTCATATACTTTACTGCAGTTATTCATCTGTCCTTTGGTGGTGACATACGAATGATGACAGTTTATGAGTGCAATGGTAAGAATAATCCCATGAGGTGACAGATGGGATGTTCGTCAATTTGTCAGCGAATTAAATTATTCTCTCAATTGTTAAACATTCTTTATTTGTTTTATACAACCCCTGAGTAAATCCTTCATCTAATTAGTCCAAGCCACCAAAAGTGTGACCGCGCATTGGAACTTCCATTTACAGTGGAATAGAACTTCTATTTTTGCGGTACGGCTGGGCCGTGGGTTGGGGCAAATAATTCAATGACACGTGATCAACGACTGACCAATCAGATGCCAGGGATTCATTCAGGCGTTGTACAAAATGTTCCATTCCACGAGGCAAAGGCCAGTGGAAGTGAACATGTCACCGAATACAATTATTCTCTTTATTGCAGTTATTATCCTTTTTATTGCAACTTTTATAAAATGATTCTTTTTATTGAATATGAAACTTCATTATTTGAATAAACCCTCTTCATCTGATTGGAAAATTGTAAAATTGTAAATGAATGTACAGCATCAGCACCATCAGAGTAATGTTATATTACTACCAATAGTATGACAGTGCAATGGAATTTCTATTTTAAATTTTGTGGTGCGGCAGCGCCGTGCATTGGGACGAATAATTCAATGACACGCATAGAGCTATATTAAATTACTAGAGCGCTAACTCGTCATTCTGCGCGAGGAGACGCTTTGAAGCCGTCCTGGGCGCAGACATTTTGAATTCATGTGCGTGTTTGTAGAACATAATGATATTAGATAGATTGAATTTTAAAAGTGTACTCTACAGGCAACGCGCTAGTAGAACATACGCAAACAACTTAAGCGCGTCATTGACGGTTAAAAAAAACGTGACGGCAAGAAGCATCTGCAGCGAATACGTGCACGCGTTGCGCTGTTTGCGTAGAGCAAAATGACACGCTCATTTGCTGATCGTGCATTTCGGTTTTGGGCGTATTGGCTTCGATAACGCACCGGTATGGAAAACAAACGCAGATATGCAAATAGCCGTACAAAAGCCGTACAAAATTTCTAGGTCTCCATAGGTTTGTGCACAAACATGGATGCACCCAGCAGACATTACTTTTGGACGAAGTTAGCGCTCTAGTAATTTAATACAGCTTTATGATGACACGTGATCAACGACCCACCCATCAGATGACAGGGAATTTATTCAGGCATTGTGTAACATTCAATACCCCACAATCACAAATGCATTACATGTAATTTCTGCAACTGTTCAAGTACGGAACATGATTGGTTTGTCTTACCTTGTGTTGCCTTGTGCCTTTTGTCCACTATGAGGGGCAAGGAGACGCCATAGTTGTCGCTAACAACCTTTCTATTCAGCGTGCTGGTAGGATCTTGTATGGCTTTCAAATTATACAGTAACTTTGCCTGTAAAAAGGAACATAAAACTCCTTTAAAACTGTTGACATTTTGTTACAGAATTTTTGTCACACAGTTTCTCTGAATAGTTGTAAGAACAGCTTTCGTTTCGGAAAAACACTTTGTAGTCTTTAAAAAAAATATATTAAAAAAAATATATTGAAGAGGTTGAGAGGGTAATTAAAGACAGTTTCAAATTTAACAGAAGAATTTGAAGGAAAAGCAAATTGCTTGAATTTCCTTCATAAACAGAAACATTGTTGTTTTCTGGTTAACAGTGTACGTATTAACTCAAGAGCAGGCTTACCTGTTGGCCTGGTGATGGCCCACATGGTCCCCCGCCACCACCCAGTGGATCAACAGCAGTGTAGCGGGACACCAGTTTCCTGTGACAAAACAAAAATACTTTGCAATGAGATGGATGATGAGTAGCTCACATTAAGACTTGTCACATCAACCTTATTTCAACTTTGTTGAAGCCAAGAAAATGTATTTATTTATTATTTGTTATTTTTTTTTTTGAGGGGGGGGTAGGGTTTGTTTTGAGAACCCTTTCTTTACACAGTTTGGCTATGAAAAAGAGCAACACCGTTCACACTATGGAATTTTCGATTTTTTCGACAAGGGTTACATAACTGTTTTGGATTTTCGATCTGAATTTTGATTGTAATTGAGGCTTGGTTTTAATCCTAGTTTTGAATCCTTTTTTTTTTTTGAAGCCAACTTAGAATTGACATATTTTGAGCGTAAAGGGAATGAACCTGATCTCTCCCTAGGGTAAGGTCAAAAGGCAACTGATTCAAGTAGACAAAACTATGCCGAAGGGGTTACTTACTTGTCTGCTAAGCCTTTGTTGCTGATCCTTCTCAAAGGCAAATCAGATCCCAGTCCACTCAGATCAAACACAGACTCCCTGATACAGGAAAATAATAAACAAAGGTGCTGGATTGAAAACTGATGGATGTATCTGCTCAAATATGTAGCGTTCCAATTGAAAACAATGAGAAAAGTACAATCCAAGTTGGTTCTAAATTTAAAGTCCAGTTTAAAGATATAGTTCATCACTGGTAATTTGTGAATTTTGTTTGTTTGAAGCAACAAAAGTGCTCAAAATCTAAAGAAGGGTACTGAACAACTAACCTGATGAAGTTTCAGCTCAGCTTCAGCTGTTTATTCCGAGAAAAACAGCATTCTAGGATCTCAATTTCAAATCAAAAGTTGCTGAATCATGTTTTGAATTGGGCCTGAATTCAGCGTCTGAGACACGTTCTCACTGAGCCGATTGCAGCTACGCGATGTCACGCACTGATCTCACGAATTATAGCAACCGCGCGTGCGTGTGCGTCGTGCCAATGCTTGCACGTGCTTCGCCGAACAACAAAACGAACTACTAATTTAAATTTCCTACGGTGCGTCTTAAGAAGCACCGTTGGAAAGGCCTTCTTTCGTTGATTACTTCAAAATGACAGCTTGCCAGAAAGAATAATTTCACAGGGAGTTTAGTCCCCTTACTATCTTTCAACCAAGTAAGTTTTTCAACAATAATTACGCCAGTTACTTTTCTGATAGCTGCAAAAGATGGACTATAGCTTTAAGCTCCAGTTCATATTCCATGTGAATTTACGGTGTGGCATATTCATCAGGGTAATGGTGAATGTCATTAACAAAGTTAAAACTTGGTATTAGATCTGCTCTTGTGAATATGCATCAGTTAATGCATGTCAAATGTGCATCGGATCATCTTCATTAGTCATGAACGGTCAAACTCACTGAGAAAAAGATGACGGCTCCATTGTCTTGGCCTTTGAAGAAGCGTCAACCGAGGGCAGAGTTGTGACTCGGTTGTTGACAACCTGAATGATTTTCTCTGACTGGGCCTGGGAAATAGCAAATGGATCCAACAGTTTAATGAAACAGACCACAGAACAATCTTAAAGAAAACTATATAAGAAGTTAAAGCATGTAACCGATAAATCTCATTAAAAAACCTGCTTCTTGTATGCGTCTTGTAACTTATCAACGTTCAAACGAAGTATCTCTTTTGTCTCTTACTTGCTTCTTTATTTCTTATTTATACTAACCACCTCACTGGCCTTTGGCTTTGTGTTTGGTGATTCTCCTTTTAAAAAAATGCCATATTTTTAACATTGGGTTTTACCCTTCAAAGATTTAATATCATAAGCATTGAATACTCAATGCTGTTTCATTTCATTCCTAACTTGCAACAAAAAATCACAAGCCTGTTCTTATGGGACACCAACTCAAAACTTCCTGCTTCAACTCAAAACTTCCTGCTTAATTGTGCAGATGTCTCAACCACTCAACCACAAAGCTTGACAGGGTCAGCTGGCCGATTTGAATGAAATACACCAGCAGGCGACGATATTTGCTGCTGAATACAGCAATTGTATCGATTCTGTTCCATTTCAGAATTAACTGTGAAGCAGTGGGTCTTAAGCATTGGGTCTTCCCATACAAAGACCACACTGGCACAAACCTTGATCCCATCTTCAGTTTTCTGAATGGCATTCTGTAGCGCCGTTAAATCAATCAGCTCCCTGTGTCCATCGGATAAGCTCTTCTGCATCAGATGCTCCTTCAGATGGTGCAGATCTTCTTGCACCTGCAAGACAAGACCAATTCAATTCAAAATTCAAATCAAATTCCATCTTTAACACTGGTAATGCGGCCTCACCAAGCGTGCAACAATGATTTAGTGCAGCGCTCCTATGCTGACTGAAAAATTAAAGAATTGCTCCCTACTCATACAAAAAATTTGCATGCAACTAACTGCAAGTCTATGCTCCACCTGAAATGATCCTAGCATATTGTTGATGTACCCTAGCGTGGCGCACTTTGATTTTTTGCCGGTAGCGCAAAAAAACACTTTTAACTGAAATTTCACAGGAAGTGTTCTTAACACTCCCGTTCATAAATCTTGAGTTTATTTACCTGTTACAAAGTTAGAAGAACAATTTATTTCAGCGTGATTTTCCGATTTTATTTCAAAGTGCACAGTGAACCCTTTGAAAATGTCCCCCAAAATAAGAAAATAATTTTCTGACACACTTCTAGTGGGAGTTGGGTATGTAAGTAGAGATAATTCAAGTTTCAAGTTTGGTTATTTCCACTTTGACACAACAAATAAGTAGATAAATACACTGCGCGAGAGCAATAATAATATAAAGATACTTTAGACTAAAGAGAGACTCTCTTTGAAAGAAAACTGGTGACATATCAGAGGGGACCACATTTAGAAGCAGGGCTTGTGAGATATGGGTCCCCTATTGTTACATAATAAAGTTACATAACACAAAATGCAAGAATGTTTACAATGTGAAACACAGAGAGACAGAACACAAAGACGGAGAAAACAAATTCAACATGGAATTAAATACAAAGGGGAGGTAAACAAATAATTTTAAGTAGATAATAACTAGGCTAAGAATACAGAGAACAAAGGGCATTTTTTAGCTTTTTGTTGAAAGCAAACACAGTTTTGGAACATTTAAGATTAGGAGCTTGGGAGTTCCAGTATTTAGGGCCACAGTATCTGATTGATTTTTGGGCAAAATATGTACGAGTATAGGGGATAAGAAACTGAGAGGCTTGTCTAGTTTGGTTTATCAGAATGTATCAGCTAAGTTACCGCTTGGCTACTCATCAGTAGTCATGGTAGTAGTATTAACGTTACTGTAATGGCAATTGCAGTGCACACAAAGTGCAAGTTCAAGTTCCATATGATTTCCCAAGCTAGAGTAGAAGAAAACTCTGCCTCTCTTGTCATTGGTTGTTGCTTGTGAGTCTCTCACTCTCTGCCACTCTGGAAATTCATGACAATTGACGCAATTGACGTTTTAACGCAAAAAAAAATAACAAAGGGGGAGCAGACAATAAATATCGTTGCTATGGTCACATTATTTCAGTATCAGTTGAAAACAACAATAAAGAGGAAGCGGGAAATCGTTTCTATGGTAACATTTTATCAAGAGTCGTGTAGAGAATTACGTAGGGAGACAAGCCTTTCAGCAAAGCGTTTGTATTGCCTGCCGGCCGACTGAGCAACAACAAGTCACGACCTTGTAAAATAAAATCAACAACATTGAGGCGAAATGTACTACGTGCAAGATGACTTGATTAATTAATAAATAGGCACAACTAGTCCGGCATTCGTTGGGAATAGGGAAAGATTTCCATATACGAAGTTCACTCAACACTCTGTGTACAAACCCTATGAGAGTGGACTTAAAAATTCTAAGTGTTTTCTAAGAAAATGCTTGTATTTTCTCACTGCTCAAATTGACTTTGATGATATGAAATTGCTATCTATATCTGGGGGCTTGTTAGTCAATACAGAGGAAAATCAGTGAACTTCGCATATGGTAATCTTGCCGGGAAGAGCATTGGTTATTATTCATGCCTCACAGTCACATAATTATTTTGTCGGAAAAAACACTATACGATGGAGCGCCAGGATTTTCCCCTGTGTCACCCAGCAACCACACATTTTGAAAAGGGAAAACCGTCCAACAAATGGGTGCTGTTCAAGGCGGACTAAATGGGTCCTCCCCTTCCCTCGTCCCCCCCCCCCCCCCCCCCCCCCCCCCCCCCCCCCCCCCCCCCCACCCCCCCACCCCCACGAGCGAAAAATCACACGGGCTTGTCTGCTTGTCCGGAAACTAGGCAACTCAACTTACCTTCACCAGAATCTCACCAACTTCCTCTGGCCTTCTCTCGACCTCAGTCATTCTGGAATTGGATGGACACTAAATTTACACGATTAAAGGTACAAACTCATCATAAACTGCCACACAAACAATACACAACGGTTGCAAGAAAGTTACATTAAGTGTTATTTCGGTCCGTTCAGCGGAAAGACTCCATCTTTGCCGTGCAAAGGTTTCTCGGCAACCTCTAAACAATCTCGTGCGCACGCGCACAGCCAGAGCAAAGTTTCTGTTAAACTTGTACAAGTCTAGCGGCTGTAATTATCGTTGAACGGTCATGACGGTTAATTGGAGCTGAGGGTGTGGGGGGGGGGGGGGGGTAGGATTGGGGGAGGGCTGCAGAAGTATCCCAATGCGGCTATGGGATAGTTCTTTGATAAATATGAGTCATTTATATAATCATAAAGTCACATGTTTAATAACAATAGGGAGAGGGGCGGGGCGTGTAACGAGAAACAAATTCAATTTTTCGTGGAGGTGGGGCGGGCATGGTCGGATAAACAATTTAAGTGCCCTTTTTTAACTGAAGTGCGCCATTCAGTGTCTTCCCGCGAATTTCAATTTAAGTCACGACGCTGGCATTTATATGTCCCTTAATTTGTTTATTGCAGAGATTCGAAGAATGTTACTTCTCGAAGGGCCACCGGGCTATATACCCTTTCTGTTGTCATGATCAATTTGAAGTTCCTTGCCTTACTATTAAGTTATGATAAGTTAATCCTATACTGAAATAATAGGCGTGGGCTTTAGGTTTTCTTTTACTACAATACCAAACATTATTTATTCGAAAATACAGTACAGATCTACGGTTATACACCTTTAAATTACGAAGAATTTAATGAATTCAATATGTTATGATTTCTGAAACCAAACTGTGGTACTTCTTCAGCAAGTTGGTGCAATCTAAACAGATTTAACAGTAAAACTTTGTGACAATAGATAATAGCATTAATAAATAAATGAATGAATCAAATAATATCTCAGTTGTCCATCTATAGTTACCGCTAACACGAGGGCCCAAATGGAGAACACAGTTCTTTGATAAAATGTCGGGCTACGAAATAAATAAATAAATTTGACCTTAGTGGTTTTGTTTTCGGGTATCAATGCTCACAACCAGTTTGAAAGTACACTAATACAACTGTGTATAAGGCCGGCCTCAACCTCGACCTGCGATTCGCCGTTACGAACAAATCGGCGACTGAATGTTCGACGGTCGTATAGCTCAGGCGCAGCTTGACGGCTGAAAAGTCAGTCTCCGTTGTTCTGTGTCGTCGCCGCAAAGGGCGCTATGAACGGGAGTACGAGTGCAACCTTTAGCAAAGTGATCGTGTAAAACTGATTCAAGAGCGATTCACAATCACACTTATTTACTAAACTAGAAACACATGAAATCAATAAAGAGAATTTAGGCAATAATCATTTGAAATAACACTGACTACATCTTATATAACACTTTTCGTCATAATTTTGACATTTGCATGCATGCACTAAAAACTCGAGCATAAGGCCAGATACATGACGTCACGCTTCGTTACATGGTTGATTGTGTGCTTTCTAACAGGGAGATTGGTGGGCACTCATTCCCACCTGGCCACCGTATAAGAAAGCGAAAAAGTCAATAAAGCGTGACGTCACTGTGTCTCTGGGTTTTTTGCGAATGTACAATGCCTTGATACTCCAATGATGCACTAAGCTTTAAAACGAATTAAAATTACCATGATATCTTTGTACAATCAATTTTCAACAATTAAGCAAACACCGATTTGAAGAAAGGGGTAAGTAAAAAGTTAATGCCATGGAATGACCGTTTACCAAAGTAAATATTTGATTAATGTAGCGTTTGTCATTTAAAAAGAGTTAAATTCAACATTCTAACATGATTTTTTTAACTCATTCATGTTTATAGTTTCAATATTTTGTATTAAGAACTGACTTGATCCTTTAATTTGTACAACATATTTACAAACTCAATGGGTATAATTTCTTGCGAATTTACAAGCAGACTCGCGCAGCTTCAAGCAAAATACAATTCATTAACAGTAACTGTTACACTCACGAAAGTAAACTATATATATATTTACGCAATCACGATAAATGTAAATGTACTCGTGTTTCCAAAGTTGCGATTACACTGTTTCCAGATTAAACATGGTGACAAGAATTGGTATTGAAAGGCACAGAATTCCATGTTTTACCATCTATTAGAAAAAAAGTCGAACGAATGTCATATGCAATGAAAGTATTCTTTTTAATCGAATTCTCATTGTTTTGATACAGGTCAGGGGTAGGGGGTGGCGCGGATCGGGGGTGGGGCCAATGCCCCCACCTCAGAAAAGTTAACCACCCCCCTTCACTTTTGGCAAATTTAGCTGTTGGGGCCTTATCGCCTTTCAACCTCCCCCCCCCCCCCCCCCCCCCACGCATCAAAAAAAAAGAGAAATATGTCAATTTAATAATTAATCAAGCCGCCGCAGATACCGATTATTGCTCACTTTACCGCAAAAAGCCATTGGTTGCCTTTCTTTTCTAGCTAGTGAGAGTGAAAACAGCGAATTTGTTTGTCATGTCTTAACATAATTTACGAATCGGTTAAACTTAATGTTTTATGAAGTCAGTTCAAGGTTCTAGACTATACGCCTCCGAGATTGTTCCATTATTCATGTCTGGTGCAGTCTTTAGAGTAGATGCAGAAATAATCAGTGTTTTGAAACTTATTGTTTTTGGAGTTTGTGGTGTTTCAAGGGGTTTTCGTGACGTTTAATGAGCGACATCCGGGTTCATTGGCGCAGCTCAAGCCGCAGGCGGCCACGCCCTTGGTGATGAACTCCCGGATGATGCGGTCAAGGAGGCAGGCTGAGTTGAGAATACGGCCGTGGGTCACGGTGAGTGTCGGTAGATGGGCATTAGTGACGGACTTGGATAAGGCCGTGAGTGCATGCAGGTTGACAAAAACAAATGGCCCAGAAAGGCAGAGTGCAGATATCGTCATCCATTCTGTCATCGTGTACATCGGCTATTTGAACGCAATTTTGATTGCCGTGGTTATTATTTGGTTGGTAATCATCCCATGCAAGGAAGGGCTCGGTCCCTTCCTGACCGTCACACTCCCAAGTTCCTTCAACGTTCTTGTCATTGCATGCAATCCAGAGGTTATAGCCACTGTCCGCGTTTCGTACCATCGCCACCATGAAGCTCATTTCCTCGAGCGACCGAGGAGCGGCCATCTTGCCGCCCATGTCTTCGCAAGCTGACTTGGCGTCATCCCAGCTTTTTCGTGAAGGAGTGAGGCGATAACACTCGTTTCCCCACAATTGCCACTGTGGCGGGCAAGAGCATTGGACAGTGAGTCGAGAGTGGCAGGAACTCGATCTAAATTGAGCACTGACTGCTGCAGTGATTGCTGCAATGCCTAAAACTTTGAACAAGTACATGTTCATATTTCTTCAGTATGACGGTCGGTAGCAGACTAGTGAAGAGGATCAGATGTGTTCCCTTTACGTCCTTCCAGTGTCTCAGCAATAAAGCCAAATGATGCAAACGGAATTCGAAGACGCAAATGATGTAATTGAAAGACGTGGGTTTTAACGCAAAAAAAATAACAAAGGGGAGCAGACAATAGATATCGTTGCTTCAGTATGACGGTCGGTAGCAGACTAGTGAAGAGGATCAGATGTGTTCCCTTTACGTCCTTCCAGTGTCTCAGCAATAAAGCCAAATGATGCAAACGAAATTCGAAGACGCGAATGATGTAATTGAAAGACGTGGGTTTTAACGCAAAAAAAATAACAAAGGGGGAGCAGACAATAGATATCGTTGCTATGGTCACATTATTTCAGTATCAGTTGAAAACAACAATTAAGAGGAAGCGGTAAATCGTTTCTATGGTAACATTTTATCAAGAATCGTGTAGAGAATTACGTAGGGAGACAAGCCTTTCAGCAAGGCGTTTGTATTACCTGCCTGCCGACTGAGCAACAAGTCACGACCTTGTAAAATAACATCAACCACATTGGAGGCGAAATGTACTACGTGCAAGATGACTTGATTAATTAATAAACAGGCACAACTAGTCCGGCATTCGCTGGGAATAGCATTGGTTATTATTCATGCCTCACATAATTATTTTGTCGGAAAAAAACACTATACGATGGAGCGCCAGGATTTTCCCCCGAGTCACCCAGCAACCACACATTTTGAAAAGGGAAAACCGTCCAACAAATGGGGTGCTGTTCAAGGCGGACTAAATGGGTCCTCCCCTTTGCTCGTACCCCCCCCCCCCCTACGAGCGAAGTCCAACCCCGTACGAGCGAAGTCCTCCCCCATAATTATGAGCGCACACCTGTAAATAGGCCTTAACCCATATTAGAGAGTTCTGAGAGCCATAAAATTGGGGAATTGAAGAGATACATTGTAATTTAATTATGGCAACGAACCTCTGTCCCGCACTTGGGGCTTCCAATTCTGAGTATTTTGGAACTATATAGGCTAATTTGGCTCGAAAGTGGCGCTATTTTTCCAAGTTGTGGAGGGATCGCTTTTCAAGATGGCTACTTTTCTGCTTTTGAAAAAATATGGATGCACCTCTGTATTAAAATTGTCATATACACCAGTGGAAATTGCAATGTATCATGGTGAGATTTTCTCGAAAGTCAATGGTCAACCCACCAAAAATTTAAAAGAAAATGAAAGATGACATGTTGATCGTCATATTTCTGTGCAGCTTAATTTCAAATATCTGTGTCATGGAGTTCTGAGTATTTTTAAAAGAATTTTGAAGTGTGAGCATCATAGCAGTGGTGTCTACATGGGAATTTTAATATAACGGTGCATCCTTTAAAAAAGATGAACACTTAACCACATGGCTACAAAAAAACCCCGGACTCTTGTCATTATCACTGGGCGAGATCGCCAGTGTCTCCACTCTCCGGAAAGGCAATGTGTAAGCATTTCAACTGCATGTAGCGTTCAAACTACTAAAAGTAGTGGCGCTCTCCTTATCGATAGTTGCCCGAGACACTTTCTACTTCAGCGAAAATCGAAGCTCATCACCGCACAAACTGGTAGCCGTTGTTGCCATTTTGCAAAAGGCTGGTTCCGAGCTAACATTATTGTTGTGATTGTGTACTCAGGGTGCGGGAACCAGACATATAGGCTATATAGTCTTTCAGTGTGCAGACCAGTAAATACACTGCCGTACATCTTATGGGCACTTACCGAAATTGTAGGTGTTCAAGACACCCATCAAATTAAAGCTTATTTCATTTTCTTTCATTTTCTCTTCAATTTTCGGGAGTAATCCGATTACTTTTGGGAGAAATTTTCATCCGAAGATAAAAACTGGTTCAATTAAGTTCTCTGAAGTGAAAAAAGTCAATTATGCAGTCCAAAGGCACCAGTCCATAATCTGCGTAATAGGCCTATTGCTGGATATTAGGAAAGAAATCGCTCAGAAAACTACCTGCCTATGATGCATTCCCCGTGCCGTGCAACTTTCAAGTTTCTCTTTAGGTTTCCTAGCAATATAAAAGGGAGTATTCACGAACAGAACACTAACGTTTATTCATTGAATAAACTCTTTACTAATTTGATGTACGATTTGCAGCCCGTACAAGGCGGGTTCATTGTTTTTGTGGGCAAAAAAAACACCTTTAATTCAGAGGGTTTCAAATGCCAAATCGCCGGGAACAAAAGTATAGGGTGGGTTTTTTTCGTTAAAACAAAATGTACACATTTGTTTGAAGAACACGTGGGCACACATCTTTAATTAAGCATCACAGTGTTTATTTGGTAACAAAAATCTCTTTTTTTTGTAAATGTATTAAAAATAGCGAATAATATTCGCTAAAAACTAAAGTAAAAATTATTGTCCTAATTGATCCTCAAAAAAGGTGCTGGTGATAGCTAAGTCATATACCCTTCAACATACGAAGTTTCATAGTGAAACTCGAGCTTCTATAAACTTGTTTAGTGAAGCCGAACAAGTAAGCGACATGGGACCATGCAGCACTGAATGGCTTCTAATTCTAAAGATGCGTGAAGTTCAAAGTTCACCGCGGCCAGCAGAAGTACACTGTGGATTGTGCACTTGGTCGACGTACAGTGTAGCCTTTAGTCAAGTCCCCCGCGTTTATACCGGACCATCCGGACACGTAACGCACCCCGGATGCTGGCACGTAAAAAGACAAGCACGAGCGGCGAAGCCGCGAGGGCCTTTACTATTTCGTGGAACTAATCACTTATTCATTTATTCACGTAATATAAATCAAGCAATATAAACCAATCATCTAACGGTGGTTTGCAGTTACCAGCAGACGACGCCAGACGACGGCTGAGTTACGTTAGCAATTCTGCATTTTCATTGGTCAATTCACAACGGGTATAATGCATGTCTACCAAATCGGTAGACAAATGTAAGGAAAAACATAAGCGTTCTCTGCGAGATGGTAAAGGCCCTCTGGTAAAGGCCCTCGCGGCTTTGCCGCTCGTGCTAGTCTTTTTACGTGTCAGATACGGGGTGCGTCACGTGTCCGGGTAGGCGCGTAGGACTTGACTAAAGTCTACGTACAGTGGGATGATCCGCCCGCACGCACGCACGCACCCACGCACCCACGCACCCAAGTATAATTTATAAAAACACTTGTACCATAGAACTAGGACCCATGCTTGTACACATACACGTCACAGTACTGTTCACTTCCAGTTTGCAAGAGGCTTCATATATAGGTCTTCAGTATTTGTGACTAGTGTTTCCCAGCTTGTGCAAAATGTCAGGTAGGTTAGATGAAATTGTAGCCATTCACGTGACATGCACTTGTGTATGTTGTGATTAATATGCAAGTTAATTCGTCGATCTACTCATGATCTACTATGGCCTAGCGCGGAAGCTGTTCCGCAATTCCATGACTTTATTTGCACTAAGATTATATAAGCCGTTGTGCATGCCCATGCATATGGAACAAACAAAAATGCACCATAAGTGCGTTCATGCACAAAATTAATATGGATGGCAAAATCATAGCATTATGTTGCAGTTCGTTTTGGACTTCTTACACGAAGATTTAACCCTTGAGACCTAGAGTTTCAATTATGTCATTGGGTATACTAGTACTTGTACTTACGTATGGGTGAGGCTGGGCCGGAGGGGGGCGGGGCAGGAGCTGAACAAAATCAACGGATGTACTGAAGTCGCAGCTCCTTGTCCTTTTGAAATCCTCCTGACCCTATTTCGTGGCGCTGCTTTAAGCAGAAAATAATGCTTGGATAGAATGTAGTATCCAGACACCAGTTGTATACAATTTACAAAGCCTATGTAGAGTCGAGTGAATTTTCAAGGTATTTTCTGAAAGGCAATGAAACTGGAATGTTTATCAGTCCCAGATTCATACCTTTACTAACATTTTGAAATGACTGTCCTTCATTGAGATGTTTTATACGATGACAAAAGTGGCGTCAGAAAGCAACAATATTCTTTCCTATTGCTTAATGTATGGGACAAGTTAAACTCTGCTAAAACCACTCACAGCAGTACCTATATTGCCTGACATGATTCCCAGTGTGTTTCTGCTGAGCAAACTATTATTTCCAATGCTTGCTGGGGCCTATAGCTTCACGGGATTGACCCCTGTCCATTTGTGTCTGTGTGCCCTAGCAGAGCTACGTCAGGCGATCGACAAACAGAATGCTGAATTTGAGAAACACTTTGCAGCCAACGACATGGAGGCTTTGAAGAAACTGTACACGGATGACTGCCGTCTCATGCCACATGGCAAGGACACCCAGATTGGGAGCCAGTGTAAGGTTTGGGGCATGACCTTTGATCTTTCAACTCATGAACTCTTCAGGAAGACCGATTTCCACACGTGGAAAATTAATGTTCTGACAGGTGGAAGCTTTTTAAAAGTTTTCAGGTCCCATTAGAATATATTGGTCATAAACTATTTTGAAAAGTGAACAAACGGGTTTTTTTTACAGTTTAACAATTTAAAGAATCTGTATTTTTTTGAAAACCAAATTTAACTTGGAGCGCCGTCTGGAAAATTATCAGCTTAGATCAAGTAGGGCCTACGTAGCCTATAAACAAGCACAAAGCAGACCAAAGTTCTAACAAGTTGATGTCCTGGAGTGCACAGTTGTCTGGGGTTAATGTTTTTAATCAGTTTGGACCGTGATCTCTAGTCATGTTAAATGGGCCGTCGTTAAAAAACTTGTGCAAACTTATTTGTTTTTCTTGATAAATGTTACAGATATTGACGTGACATGTAGCGGGGGTCATGGAAAAAGTCGATATTGTGAAACGGGATACGGCATTCATCCTTCACAATGCATTTTTTGGGGGCGTTACGGCAGTTGATTAGGCCTAGTTGAATGTGCGACAATGCATTTGGTAGGAAGTCTACCATGAGGGCGAAAACTTGACTTTAATGGATTGCGGGTCACGGTCTTCAGATCAGGCTACAGACAACCTCGTTCCCAGGGTGTCGAGCAGTACGCGCCCACCACTACCTGCTCTCTCACCCTGGTATTGGATCATTTGCATGTGCAAGATTTTTGCACATGTTTGCAAATGAGGAACAGTCTGGTGCCTGGATATGCGTTACACATTAGCGTTTGTTTTTGTATGCAGTGTCTGGGGTAAAAACAGAGTCAATTCGTAGCAGCACGAGCACGGCGTGAGTTACGAAAACACGATTTTTGAAATCAAACTGTTACGATCTTATCGAGACAACATGCAGTATCATATTTCATATTAATATGAGCAAATTGGAAAGGAAATTAGTATTTTCGAGAAGGCGTGGACGAATGATCGCGAAAACACGTACTGCACGTTGTGAATATATAGCACCAAGTACACGATAAAAATCCATTACTAGCCAATTGCGGTATCCAATCAGGATTCAGGAAGAAAGTTTCCTATCCAGGGTTTACTATTGGAAACGCGGTTGGAAATAAAGTAAGCACTGGGGACGAGGTTGGGCTACAGACGAATCTGGGCACGTGATCACATATACACTCACAAGGCCCCCTTCAGCGGATGAACCATTGTGAACGCTATTGTAAACTAAGAAACTGCCCCGTGGGTCATCTGAACAAAAGCGCAATACTTTCGCCATTGAAGGGGGCCTTCGTGATAGAGTTGTTAGCGTGTTCGGATTTGTGTATAAACGTGATGTTTGCTCAGTACGGAAGCGTAGGGGGGGGGCACAAACAATTAAAAAAATATCCGAGTCACTATCTCAAAGCGAAGAATTATCTTGATTTTTTTTTTACTGTGGCCCTTCTATACTTCCGTAGCTCAATGCTTCTTTTCAAGCTGAAATTTGTAGGCTGGGATTTGGCTTTTTTTACAGTGGGATATCGGTCAAAGACGCACACGGGAAATTACACTTTCTAACATTGAATGGAAACCTAAATACGGAACCTGTCAGTCCACAATGGACTGATCCAAATTTGGCCATTATCCCTGTCGTCCTAAGCAGCACATTTTGAAATTTCTTAAGAAGTAAACGTATGTTCCGTACGCGGCGCTAAACAGAACCCATTGTATTTTGTAAAAAAAAATTCTGACCGAGTTCGACCGAACTAGTGGCGGACCACATTTAAAGCAACTGTTGTTAAGTCGCCTGACCAAAAAGACGTAATCTAATTGGTCCGATGGTCACTATTTGATTGTCAGGCCGGAAAGGGCAGTTAATATTGTTCAGACAAGGAAAGCACCACTATACCAATCTTATTATCCATACACTTTAACAATACTATGGGAATAGAGACTCCGGTATAGCTATTTGTATAGCTATTTCACATCTTTAACGATGACACCTCTTTCTCAACTCCAGCCATTCCCGAGATATTTGGCGAAGTCATTAAGGCCGGAGGCACGTCCCTGAGTCTGGTAGCCGACGAAGTCGGGCCGCTCGGACCGGTAGGAACTGGTGACATGGTCTTCGAGAGAGGTCATTACAAGTTCAGCAAGCCTGATGGTTCGGCTTTTGCAGTGGGAAAGTACGTATGGACAACGATTGAGCTCTGGTAATTGTATCCAACTACCTGTTTCAACCATGGTTGGCGAATGCTGTTTGCACAAAATTGAAAATAAACACCCCCAGTATTCGAGTGCATGTGTTTGAATTCTGACTTGGTTGGATCCTACCTTTATTATTACCAATGTATTTCAAAGTATTAATCATGCCAGCGCCATCACTAGTCATCACAAGAAATTACAAGTCATCACAAGTCATCACAAGTCATCACAAGTCATCACAAGTCATCACAAGTCAATCACAAGTCAATCACAAGTCAATCATAAGTCTTCCAGTCTCAAGCCAATTAACTATAGCCATTCAAATATAAAGAACATTTACCCGTGACCTGACTGTGTGATTAGACCTAAGTTTGGTGTGTGATTCATTTCTCCGTAATTTCCCTCAATACCGCCGTTGCCCGGTGAAATTGATGCGTAACAGTCAGGATAGTTGATATGTCTCGTTTCAAGTCGTCGTCAGCCGATATTTTGAGCAAGCCTGTCAACCATTCTAGTTTTAACCCTTAAACTAGATTTTATCTCTTGTCTGTTTGTCTTTCCAGGCACGTGGTCATCTGGAAAAAGACCAGCGAGGGATACAAGTTGTACATTGACATCTTCAACGACAACTAAGACTCTTGTATTCGTGATTGATAAGTTCTAGACTAATGAAGTAAAATTTCAATCCGGCTAATCAGAAGTCTATACAGGTAACTGGGTAGGATTTGTTTAAGTCCTTTACAGTGTTGCCTTGTAAGCAAACAACAGATCCCGAAACTTTGGTGAATGATTAAAACCTTCCAAGCACTTCGCTTGATTTGAGCGGTGGAACACTTCAAAAATAAGCGTGCAAAAATGGCCACACTTATAAAAACTAGCAGAGGTTTTAAAAATTGGTAAATAATTGACTATACGTTTTCGAAGTGGTTAATTACATCAACACTATGTCGAAATGAATGAGAGTCATTTTGTTTGTTGCCACACATTGATTGGTATGCATTGCACATTATTATAATATTTTCGACCTAAGAGGCTAAATGCGATTTTGCAGTCCTAAGTATTGATTTGAAATATAGTAGCCACTTTTGTCTTCGTTAATAAATAACGAATTAAAAAGAACGGTTGAAATGTAAGTTTAAGCAATGACCATGTGTCCTGTCATTCTTAAAATAACGTCGCAGAAAGTCACAATGCACGAAGCGACGCATTAACGATATTTTCCGCGCGGCATGTTTCCGATTTCCAGAGTACCGGTAGGTCGTTATAGACCAAACAAACTGTCTATTTTACTCCAGATTACACAAAGGTATTCAAATATAAATTGTATTTAAATAGTTTCAGTCAAGAATGAAACGTTATTTTTACTCTCAGATTTTGTGTTTTGAGTATGAGGAACAAGTCAACTCTTTCTTTTTTTGTGAAATAGTGATGGTCATTTCTGTCTGCAGTGGTTTCCTTCGCAAGTTTTCGTTCATTCATGGAGGTGGGAAAATGCCATGTTTCATTGTTCTAATGAGGATTGATCAGCTCGTAGAACGGTGAATGATCAGTGGTAGACAGCTGAATTTTGTGGTATTTTTTATGAAAATATACACAACTTGGGAATAGAGTATGCGAATGACGTGAAAATCTACCTGAAAGCGGAGTAAAATCTTTATTTTTGGAACTTGCGAATTAGAGAAAGGAAACAATTAATAAAGTTAATTACAAATTAATACCTGTCTGCTCTGATGAATAATTTTGAATTTGTAATTAAACATACCCTAATGTTTTAAGCCACACTTCAACACAGATTTTTATTTGTTTTTATATTTTTTTTTTTTTTTTTTGGGGGGGGGCTATTTTGACGTTGGTGGTGTCATTTACACCACTAGTATGCCACTCTGGAAAAAGCCACATACATATCACCATGGTCAAACCGAGGGACTAAAAAGAAAAAAAATTGACAACCTCTGGGCCTCAAGCCCCCCGCCACTGATTCCGAATCAGTGGGATAGAATTTGATGCGCTCAGGGATCAGCTTTACTGGGCTGGCCTTGTCTTGTTATATTTTTGTAAAAAGTTCCCTGAAATTTTGGGGAAATTTTGTTTTGCCAAATCATATATGATGGCGCCTTATACCCGTACCCTCGAGAAAATTCTTCAAAATGTTCCTCAAAGACAGTCCCCGATCCCTAGAAAATGTTGTGTTCAGTTTCACCTACAGAAACAACGGGCTGCAAGTGCAGCAATCATCATTTGCACATACATATACGTAGATTGAAGTCTGTTGTTTATTAATTGGTATTGGATAGCATCGCACCATAACATGTATCAAAAACCAGGTCAAACATGAAGTTCATTTCAGCTTTTGACTAAATTGTTTTTATCTTTTATGTCATGAACAACGGTATTTTCTTTTGTTTATTATCATTAGTTATTGCTTAATCACTTTTTTGCAAAGATTCGTCATCTGTTTTAAAGTCCAGACGGCAACATCTATTTGTGTTTCTTTTCCATTTCCGCCTGCATCAGCCAGCCGCTGACGATCTTTTCAATCTCCTAAAACAGACAAGAAGAAACAAATAAACAGATCCTGAATCCTGCATGCAGGGCCCCAATGGAAAATTGGGGTGTTTTTTTACTGTTTGGGCGTACCCTGGGTAAGAAATGGAATAATATATACATAAATAAATACAGCACACTGAGAATAACTGCCAGACGAAGTTATCTCAGTCAAGGGGAAGTTTATAACAATTACTTTCTTTACATCAAAGGAGTTTTTGTTCATTACGTTAGTTTAACCATTATACCATATTACAATGAACGGTCCTTACCAGTCTTCCTGCCTTGAGTGCCGGTGGAGCGTCAGGGTCATTGGGCGCCATATCCGCGCAGTGAGAAGTGCCTTTCATGAATACGGACTTGAGACCTTCCGGAAGATCCTTCAGAACGCTGAGGGCGTGCCACGGATCAATGGTACCTGTAAATATAAACAACAGAACACGAGTGATGTCACTGCATTTGTTCAAGTTCGACTGTTCATGAGTTATTTGTATTTTACAAATTATTTTGCAGTAGCTTTTGGTCTTCAAATATTTATTGTTTAGAGATATCGTTATTGGCCAAAAGTGGGCCAAAAATGTTTTTAAAAAAAATTGTAAGCACCCACTTGTGATAACCGTAGCGCAACCAAATGACGTCTTATTTCTGCCAAAATAATAGAAAAATCGGCGGATGAATATTGAATCTATGGGGCCGGGCTGAGGAAACATAATTGTTGTTGGAAAGTTGAAAACCGGATACAATGTACTTGCTAAACGCGCGCCTGACATGCACACCTGCAAGCAGCAACTAACATTGGTCGACAGGCTTACCATCAACAAAAATCACCCTGGTTCCCCTGGGGTTGTCCGCTCCGTAGTACGCGTTGGTGAAGTTCACTTGTTCCAGTACATCAGAGGATGGGATGTTGTATCCACCCTTACACCAGGCAAAGTAGTAGTCCAGATCGACTTCTGGTAGGAACATGCACGTTGTGTTCTTGTCACAAGTCTGATCTGCAAGACAAGATAGCGAGAAAAACTAACATCTAATGTTTGGGTAAACCAAAGGTATCAGACACACAGTTACTGATGACGTGTAATCGTTGAAGGAGACACCAAAGAGAAAGTGCTTCGTCATTTGGTTTTTAATTTTGGATATTTCTTGAAGTGATCTTGCTTTTGAAGGATGATGAGGGAAACACTTACAGTATCCGAACTGAGTGCAAGTCTGATAGAACCACTGTCGGGACATTGCGCCGGGATCAAAGGTGACGTCTGTCAGTAATTTGAGGAAGTCTTTAAATGAAACATCCGAACAGGTCGATCCCGGCTGGAAGAAAACAAAAGCAAATTTGATAAAATTACAAATTGATATAGTTGGCACTTTTAATATTGATTAGCATTTAGCCACTTTTTGAGCCAAAAGACTTTTATAGTAAAATTAAGTGGAAGTTCCTTTTCATTTCCCCCAAACACGTTCGACATTTCTTCAAAGATTTAACAACATCAATTAAAGAAGCCTTACGTTAAACATTTTGACCAGAGCCTGATACGGATCTGGAACCATCATTTGTTGACACAATGTCCCGATGCTCGAGGAGTTTCCTTCGATATAATTGTACTGTGCAGCACTCATGAAAGTGCCTTGGAGATCACTGGCGAAGGTCTTGAAGTCGTTGGGGTCAGTCATATCCTGGCAGGTATTGAAATCTTTCACGATTTGGGCGAGTTGGCCTGCCTGCTTCATTTGCTCAATCTTGCTAAAGCCTTGTCTGATGCTGGCGACGCACTGTACCAAAAACAGGAGTAAAGAAATCAAAAAGACTGAGCGGGACTAGTAGAGCTGGTCCCAGGCAAATTTGGTCTAAGAAGTCAAGGAAGACATCGGAGTAATTGCCTTGGGCCAAGACGAGGCTTAAACAAGTGTAATTCACAAGTGACAGTCATGCAGTACAGTCAGTGAGTAATTCAGAGAGTCCGTCAGTGAGAAAGATACATAGAGAACTGCAGACCGGCCCTCGGGGACCAGCAAGAAAAGTTCCCAGGCATCGCTGCAACGGTTCACAAAAAAGGAAGCATCAGAAAAAGTAAGTCAGCGTCGTATTGACTCCATTCACAAGTACGCCCTCAACGGTGGAATAAAAGAGAGAGGCTTATAGGTCCATTTTCCCTACGATGTTAGAAAAAGCAGGCCATGACAGGCGATTTGTGACTGACTCATTTTGCTCGAATAGTCAACAAGCAAAACTTGAGGCAAAGACTGAGAATAACCCTGAGGAATGACGGTAAAATGCATTTGAGTACCTTTTCCGAACCAAACACGATCGGGTCTGCAAAGCTGGCGGCTACCACTTCGTTGTACCCTTCGAAGTTGGCCTGAGCGCGCACGGGAGCTGACGAGGCTACAGAGCCATACACCAGATGGGGGTACTGTACAAATGTAGATGATAAATCAGATGAAAAGGCTAAAATGTCGACATCCATGACCCACCCTGACAATCAATAACAGATGACGAAGACGAGGCAGTGATCTCAAAAGGGATCTCAAAACCGAAGGGGTAGGGGGGGTGAACATACCTTCAATCTAAACCAAGCTGACAAGGCGCCTGCGTACGAACCTCCAATCACAATCCAAGTGTTGGTGCCGGACATGCCCAACTTCTTCTCTGCGAAGACGCGAAACACCGCCAGATCGGCCAGTCTGTAAGGACAAATAACACAAATCGGAGGTTTCGAAGTCTGTACAGGACAAGAAAGAGCTTCTTTTAATTGCCTGAAGGAGGTGGTAATGAACTCCTGAAAAAAAGATAATAATTAAATCACTCAACTGTTTTGCATGGATAACGTCTGGTCAATATCAGATGGTCAAACAGCGACATAATTATTGTCCCCTCGCAATAGACATCCCTGGAATAACTTGAAAGTTTTGGTGGTGACTTACTGTTGCTGGCTGGAGAGATATTGCAATTCGCTCAGTAACAGTCCTTCCTTGGTGGTGCTGTTGCCATAGAAACGGTGCTCAAGTCCAAGGATGAGGGCGCCATGAGCTTGAGCCATTTCGGCGTGGTGGCCTGTGACATCGACATAAAAGGGACATTAAATTTTATTTACAAACTTTGATTTTGCATGAACAGTTTACCGTCCAGGTTGATTTGAAAAGAAAGGTTAGTTCAATGCAGATAAGAAATTTTCTCCCGCAAATTTGTCCAATGTTCATAATATATAAAGATACTTTTTCGATAATATTTTAAAACTGAGCCAGTCACCCGATAACTTCCTTGGGCCTTCTGGTATGTTGTCTATTAATGCAATGTTTCATACCATATGCTACCTCTCCCAACTCCAATTCTGCTTCCTCTCCCTCGTATAGGAAGACTGGATGGCTCTTGGATTTCCAGTACTTGTCAACGACCCAGTAGCGCTGGTTGAAATGCTTGTTGATCAGAGGGTCAAAGTGGTCCATGGGTTGAGTCAGGTAACCAAAATAGCCCTGGGGGTCATCGTCAAGGTGATACTTGTGGAGGTCATTGACATCCACGCTGCTCCACCATCTCTTCTTGTGAAGCTGGGATCTTCCCACGCCTATACATAATACGTAACACAAATAGACGGAGTTCAATTAACTTATCTGTATCGACAACATGAACAAGAAATTCTGCAATATTTACAATCAAAGGTGATGTCTGTACGTGTTTCCTTCGCAAATGACAAGGACCACAAATTATCAGCCCCAGACAGTTTTCTCACAATTACCCCAAGCTTCCAAGGCGCGGTCCCAGATGGTGTCCGGGGACTAGCTCACGGAATTGTTTCTTTTTTACCCTATAGCCTTGGCTCAAAACTGATTTGGATTATGTTTCCCAACTTGGTACTTTGAGCCAAGGCTCCTTGGTTGGTTTCCTCCTGAAACATCCTCTAGAGATCTTGACTAGGAGGTCAAGATCCCTAGAGGACGGCTCTTGGCAAACGCATGCATGCAAGCGATGTCAACGGTGGAGGGCACTATCATATAGCACCCTCACCTTCTACCATCACAAAGCACAACGCCACAGCGCATCATCCTCATCAGCTCAGCAAATCGCCGCAGTATTACCGATATTGAAGTAAGACCAGGCAAGCTAGTAACACTGATCCCAGAGAACACGAAATTATATTCCATCGATTCAGAATGGATTTAGATGAGATTTGAAGGTTTGCATGGTGGAAAGATACTAATACAAGATAAGTTTGCGGTAGCACCGTGTGAATAAATCTCTTTTGTGAGTATATGTGTGGTTCTGAAAAGAACCGTAGCTTTTCAGATTCACACATACTCACAAAAGAGATTTACACGGTGCTACCGCAAACTTATCTTGTATTAGAATGGATTTAAACCTTTCTAAAACTTTTGGGCCAAGGAGAAACTTAAGGAAGTATCATATCCACAAGTGTCAGTCAGTCATAAGCAGTCAGTCAGTCAGGTATTTATAGTAGAGGACAACATGCTGGCCCTAAGCTTCGGGAACTAGCAAAAAGAATGTAACTGCACTTACTGCAGCGCCCTAGCTTACCAATTGGTGATATTGCACTTGCATGGATGCTGAAGCACGCAGCGACACAGACTACAGCTAACACTGTTGCCTTCATCGTGACAAGAATTAGCTCTCGATCGACGGTGCAAATTGCTGCTTTACTGTCAAATCTGTATTCCCCAATCCCGGGTTTTTTAGACCAGCCTGCTCAGTAGGCTTGTTTAGAGTGAATCAAACTTCACGCCGCAGGCCTATAATATTCAGTGCACTATTTATACAAGGCAGCGCAAACATGAAACCAGTAGTTGGTCACGTGTGTCCACTTCAGTGAGCGGTCACAGGATCGACTTGGAACTTGGCCAGTCACGAGTAGGGGAGTTTCCAGAAAGGAATGGCGGCGGGAGGAGAGGGCAAATCTGACATTTCTAATATTTTTTAAATGTGACATGTTTTTTTTTCTTCACATTAATGAAACTTGTATCAGCACTCCCTCTTTTCTGTTGAATAAGGGCGAATACAGTTGGAGCTTTTAATGAAAGAAAAATCCCCATTACTCTCCTTGTAATAAACGGATATACGTCATTGGTCACGAGCTTCTGTAGTTATCAGCAAGTACATAGTACACTGCAATTAAAGCGAAGGAACATCAGCAAGTTTCAAAGTACGCTGTGAATTGTCATAATTTATGGCCGAGTTAATTACAAACTTGTTGAAATATGACATTATGCCGTTAATCATTCTCTCATCAGCCACACCGAGGAATCAACAATCTCGCATTCTATTCGGCTTATTTCTATTATAATATACTTCAAATAGGCTGCATTATAAACTCGATTATATAGTAAAATAGCCTGCCCGTCGGTGCATGTACGCGGTGGCTCGGTTTAGGCAATTATACCGACTGGAAATTAAGTCAACAGATTCATGGTCACTTCGGCCGGTGTAACGGTCTCAGTTGTTTTGGTATGCTGATACTTCCGGACGAATTCAATGATATTCTAAAGTTAGCAGTATTTCCTTCCTAGGCCTACATCCCCTCCATTTGCAATTATAATTGGTCCATTTTTCTTTAAGAGAACAATAAATTGCCATTAGGAACAGTGGCGATTCTACGGGGGGATCGAGGGGGGCTAGGGGGAGCTTTTGCCCCCCAAAAATCTTGTCTAGCTCCCCCCCCCCCCAAAAAATGCCAACAAAAAAACAATGCACTAGCAAAATGTAAGAATTTAACGTACATAGGAACGGTCTCCCCCTTAATGAGAAGGGTGCATTTGTACACTTTTAGTTAATAGGCCTATAGTGTGCCTGATTCTAGGATTTTATCGGCGCTCCCCATTGAAAACATGGCACGAGCCAGTGGTCCATGGGTTGAGTCAGTTAACCAGAGTAGCCCTGGGGGTCCTCTTGAAGGTCATTCTTGCTCCACCATCGTTTCTTGTGAAGCTTTGGAAGACCTTTAACACAATGATAAACCATGGATAAACTAAATCCAGTTATTGGATTTTAATTTCAAGCTGAAATTCAAAGGCGATGTGTGCTTGGGGTGAGAGAAATGTGGGTCCCCATCTACATCTTTCAACCATGAGGGGCGTGTCAGCTCCCTCCCCCGCTTAAATCCAAAAAGACGTGCTTCCAGATAGTTTGCTTTTGTGCAAAATGCTGATTTTTGAGTTCCCATTTCCATCGTTTTCAAGCTGTTTCCCGAGACATTAATTTTCAGGAATGTTGCCTTCCTTTCCAAAGCGTCTAAAAAAATTGATAAAACAGTGTCCTGGCATATATCATGTCCTGGCTCGTAACATACTTTCAATGGGGGCGCTGTTCAAATCCGACGATCCGACGAGCTAGCTCTGTACGTATTTGATGCAAGGCGGACATTATTACTAGAAAAAAAATTTGGTGTCGGAGTTTTTTCATCAATTTCTATGGGGAAAAAATAGGGGGGGGGCAGAGCTGGGGGGGGGGGTTGACCCCCAAACTTCACCTCCCTATGGATCCGCGCCTGTATACCTTAGAGCTCATGATTATACATCACGAATACTTACCGAACGGGGATAATGCACTTGCATGGATGCTTAAGCATGCAGCGACACAGACCACAGCCAAGACTGTTGTTGCCTTCATCGTGACTATAGGAGCTCTCTCTGGACGGTGCAATTTTCGTGGATGGTGTAAGGTTGACAGTGAAGCTGACTATACTGGCCTCGCTACATATACCTTGTGGAGGCCCAAAACATAGAACTGTCGTCCTCACGTGAGTCCATTTCGTCTAGTCACGAGTCTATACAAAAATAACACGGCCAAGTTCACTCATTGTTGTCAGTTATTGAGGCGAGCAGACCACACCGACGTGGTGTGGAAGGAGCATCACAAAAGCAAGGTACAAAGTACACACCGAACAGCAGAAATTGTCAAAGAAATAAATAAGCGCGGGTTGCAAGAAAGTGTGTAAATTTCAACAAAGACGAGTCAGGTGCTTAGTGTTTCAACCCAAATGACCGTTGCACCAGGACTAATACTACGGGGAAAAATCCGGGATAGTTTAAACTTCCATAGCCGGAAAGTTTATGTCAGTTTCTAGGCCGGGAATTATTTTCCCTTTTGCGAACGGTGGGCCTATAACCACCTCTACCCTTCCCCGATGCCATTATTGAGGTTCATCCTTTGAGGTATTGAGGTATCGAGCCTGTGTCATCAGGGGCGACGATTTCTCCAGTGTCAACGTCTCTTTGAAGAGGGAAGGGAGAGAGGGGTGTCTAGCTTCAGAATTTCGAGAATCGAAGGGGGGATGGGGGTGTGGCAGGACATTAAATCTGCAAGTTTATAAACTGTTGCAACATAACTTTGGACTTAGCGAGAAGTTACGTTATTAAATAAGGGGCTGTGGCGGACCGAGGGGTGGGTCGTCGGGGGCTTCAAGCCCCAATAGGCCACTCTCTCCCTCATTCCTTTCTCCAAAATCTCCCCGTAGACCCATCCCCACTCCCCCGCCCCCCCCCCTATTCCCCCCCCCCCAAAAAAAGTCTCCGGTTTCTGGTATGCGCGCGCGTCGCCGTAGCCATGCGCGTCGGCAAAATGAAAACGTTTTTTTTTTCAATGAAAGATGATGTCTCAAAACCGCCAAACTCACTGGTTTGACTGGAATCCTGCTACTGCACAATTTTAACGTGTTTTTAGATGGGGTTATGATCGAGAATAAGCTTTATGTGGCCTCTCTGGACTCCCATATATTTGCACTATTAAAGTTTAGTCGGGCACCATTTGCAGTCATCAGCCGACATTTGAAGCAAAAAAGTCAGGTAAAAAAAAAAAAAAAGCCGCGTCGCCGCACCACTTTTTGGACAAGCTCCATACCAGAAACCGGAGACTTATTTTTTTTGGCCTAAGCACGGCCAAGTTCACTTATTATTAGTGACTAGAGCAGACCACACTTGTTGGAAGGAGCATCACAAATTAAAGCAAGGTACAAAGTACACATCTAACAGCACCGATTTTGAAGAAATAAAAAAGCGGGCGGGTTGACAGAAAGCGGGTCAATTTCGTCAATCTGGAATCAGGTGCCTGGTGCATCTTTGACCCCACGACGAGTACCGACTGGACAAAACAAATAATTCATATTGACACAAGGAGTATGAAAGATAGCAATAAGAATAAAATGGCCTAGATATCAATTAGAATATAATGCCCTATTCAATTTTATTTTCAATTCTCGTTTTGCCATTTTCAAAGTTTTTGGGGGTGTTTTTTATATTTATGCCAATTTTCATATTCATGAGCGAAAGTGTGACATCATTTAAGGCAGCCACCTATTAAAATGTTATACCTATTTCAGCACCAAAAGTTGTTAGAATTTTGAATATTTTGCTGACGTATTTTCTTCTTTCCTTTGGTAGTTCTCAATTGTTTTCAATGCGCAAAGTTTTGGGTTCACAATTTGGAAAGAAAACCCCTAATCTGAACAGTGCCTGCCTAAAATGACATCACAGCAGGAGCGTGCTCAGTTGTCACGGAAGTTGTTGAATGTTTTAGATGTGCGATTTTCAATGAAATTTGAAAAAGATTTCAGATTTTGACATTTGATGTCTCATTCTATAGTGGAAAGGCGTATCTTTCAAACCATTATTATCTGTGTTGGGTACTCATTCTACGTCTGGCATTCCGTTGTATTTTGTTTGCATTTTTTTTTTATACACACTGTATATTCCTCGCCTTTACTTGCAGTGGATTAGGCCAAAAAAAAAAGTCTCCGGTTTCTGGTATGCGCGCGCGTCGCCGTAGCCATGCGCGTCGGCAAAATGAAAATAGTTTTTTTTCAATGAAAGATGATGCCTCAAAACCGCCAAACTCACTGGTTTGACTGGAATTCTGCTGCTGCGCAATTTCAACGTGTTTTTAGATGGGGTTATGATCGAGAATAAGCTTTATGTGGCCTCTCTGGACTCCCATATATTTGCGCTAAGTTTAGTCGGGCACCATTTGCAGTCACCAGCCGACATTTGAAGCAAAAAAGTCAGGTAAAAAACAAAGTCAGGTAAAAAAAAAAAAAAGCCGCGTCGCCGCACCACTTTTTGGACAAGCTCCATACCAGAAACCGGAGACTTTTTTTTGGCCTTATGAACTGACGTGCAGTTTGCAGCCGGTGATGTATAAAACTGGATTTTGTTTTGTTTTGCTGGCCCCCGAGGGGCCAGCCTAGTCGTCGTTGCACCTGACTGACTCACTGACTGACTGAATGACTCCCCGACTCCCACTTGTGAATTACACTTGCTTAAGTCTCTCATCACTGACTGTCACTTATTAATTAGACTGGTTACCAATCTCACTCATTCACTGTCACTAATGTTAAGACTGGTTACCAGTCTCACTCACTGGCTGTCAATTGTGAATTAGACTTGTTTAAGTCTCTCACTGACTGACTGCACTTTCGAATTAGACTGGTTACCTATCTCAATCACCAGACTTTTACTTGTGAATTAGATGGATTACCAATCTAACTTACTGACTGCCACTAATGAATTAGACTGGTTACCAATCCCACTCAGTGATAGTCACTTATAAATAAGACTGGTCACCAGTATCACTCACTTATTGCCAAAATAATGTGAATTAGACTTTTTCTAAAGTCTCTCACCGACCGACTGAACTTGTGAATTAGACTGCTTACCTATCTCACTCACTAGATTCTTAATTGTGAATTAGACTGATTACCTATCCCACTGACTGCTGGCGGGTGTGCATTAGAGTAGCGCCGCTTGTTTCATGTTCTTTCGCGGTCGGCAAAAATAGATTTTCATTTCCTTCATATTAGGTACCATAACAATTTCTTCTACAAACCTTTGAACCATTCTTCATTAATTGAATAGATTGTTGCGTGCTCTGGGACCAGCTTTACTGTGCATGCCTAGTCTTGTGTTTTCAAAGTTGTGTTGCGATTGGTGTCGCTTTTGAAATATTCTAGAAGAAAAAAGCCAAAATGTTGTACAGTCCCCATCCTACTCTGGCACACCCAGCTAGATAGGCAAATACTAGTCGACTGTTGTCCAAAGTTCATCATGCATGATTTGACTCATATGACGGTCAAACCATGGAGCTATAAAAAGGAACCGGTTTAACGGTACACGTGAGCCGCAGATCAGTATTGCGATTTAGCGCTATATATAGGCTGGCAGAACAAGAATTTCACCCCTAACAAGCCTACTAGAGCAGGCAGTTTTTAAAAGCAGTGTTTCACACTTGCGGATTTGACAACCATTTGGCCGTCGATCGAGAGATTATTTTTATCACGATGAAAGCAACAGTAATGGCTGTAGTCTGTGTCGCTGCGTGCTTGAGCATCCGTGCAAGTGCAATATCGCCGTACGGTGAGTACAAAAGTCATACGGCACCACAGCTTTACATAAACTATATTCCACAATGACCGAGATTTACAGGGTGTATCCGGAGGAAAAAAACCCACGGTCATCCAAAAGTAATGGATACAGTTGTTTAAATGTTGAGTGTGAACACTGTTTGTGTGGTTGCATACGAAGGAATGGTTTATCAGCTTACTATTGATACCCTATTTTGCATATCCTGACAGTTATAGATGAGGATTTCAAATCAGGATTCCAATGCACCGTGTAGATTGTACATTGCGTGTTGTAAGGAGAGGTCACACAACGACGATGGGCATTGTTTACACATGCAAGCTCGTGCAACCAATGAATCATACCAACTTCACGAAAAAGGTTCTAGCTTTATATTGGAATTCTACGGAAGCGTATTTAGGACATGACCGAAAAGTTTTTTTAGGCCCACTACTTCGCCCGGGCGGATTACCATTTCGCCCGGGCGGATTACCATTTCGCCCGGGCGGATTACCATTTCGCCCGGGCGGATTACCATTTCGCCGGGCGGATTAGCATTTCGCCCAGGCGGATTACTATTCCGCCCGGGCGGATTACTCTTCCGCCTGGGCGGATAACTATTCCGCCTGGGCGGATTACTAATTCGCCCGGGCAGACTACTTATTACCGCCAGGGCAGATTACTAATTCTCCCGGCCGGGCAGACTACTTATCCGCCCGGGCGAGAAAGTAATCCGCCCGAGCGACATAGTAATTCGCCCGGGCGAATTAGTTACCCGCCCAGGCGAAATAATAATTCGCCCGGGCGAAATAATAATTCGCCGGGCGTATTAGTAGTCCGCCCGGGCGAAATAGAGGGCCGGAATTTTTTTTTTGGTCATGTCCTCAATACACTTCCGTAGAATTCAATGGTGCACAGTCATTCATGACCGTTGGGGTGTAAGGTATTACCATATAATTTGTATTACCGTATAATATAGTATTACCATATAACTGATTTTGGAAAATGTTTTGAAAATGCTTTGCTTTCGCTATTAAAGGCTGGGGCCTCCGTAAGTATAGACGGTCACCGCATGCCCGGATTTGTCTAAGGCAACTTGTAGTGAGAAAGTTAGGAGCTTCAGCTCCGATTCCGAAGAGGAATTTTCTGGGGGAAAAGTCAACATCTCAACGTTCTCTCTGTTACAGGATTAGAAAGGTCGGGCATGGTCGGGGATTGTCACTTAAATTTTGCCCGAGGGGTGGGGATTTTGTCACTTCGAAAGTGACAATCCCCACGTCTTGGGTGAGGCAGCCGGGGGGGGGGGGTGAAACAATTGATAGGTGCATTACACTTGCTTAAGTCTCTCATCACTGACTGTCACTTATTAATTAGACTGCTTACCAATCTCACTCATTGACTGTCACTTACGTTTAGACTGCATGGTTACCAGTCTCACTCACTGGCTGTCAATTGTGAATTAGACTTGTTTAAGTCTCTCACTGACTGACTGCACTTTCGAATTAGACTGGTTACCTATCTAAATCAACAGACTCTTACTTGTGAATTATACGGATTACCAATCTCACTCACTGACTGCCACTAATGAACTAGACTGGTTCATTTTTCGATTTGATAACAAAGATGGAGATCGACCCATGTTCTCTCTGTTACAGGATTAGAAAGGTCGCGGTTTCACAAGAAACGATTGTGGAACAGTGTCGATGTTAATGACCTCCACAAGTATGACCTTGACGATGACCCCCAGGGCTATTGTGGTTACCTAACTCAACCCATGGACCACTTTGACCCTCTGGTCAACAAGCATTTCAACCAGCGCTACTGGGTCGTTGACAAGTACTGGAAATCCAAGAGCCATCCAGTCTTCCTGTACGAGGGAGCGGAAGGGGAACTGTTGTTGGACGAGGTGGCAAATGGTAAAGGCAAAATGACCAGAACAGTCAGAGCATCAAGAAGCATTACTTTAAAACAGCTACTGAACTGTTAAGTGTCATTCATACCACAGGCTGGCAAAGTCATTGAAAAACACAACGCAAAAAAACAAACACTTGTTATTTTATAGAGATCATTTAAGAGTTTCATAAGATGGAATGTGCGTCGAGGTGACGTAAATTCAAGATCGGGTTTTCCCTTCTCCGACGTATTTCATAGGCATTGTAGGCCTTTCCTCGGTCTTGTGTGATCGTAAAAAAAAACACAAACTACCCGAGATAAAGTCAAGACAAATTTAAAAACGGAAAATTTCATCAAAAGTGAATCACAGTGTTTGAAAAAAGTGAACGACGACGCAAGCCTGACCTTCTTCCTAACACGTCACTAATTTCAGACAACATGTCTCACAGCTCATCACGGTACCAGCAACGCAATAAAAGTTGTTGTGTCTGGATTAGGAGTCCAAACAAGCAAACGTAAATTATCATATCAGTGGCGGCTGAAATTGATGTCAGAAAGGAACAATAACAAAGTGAACTCTATTGATACAAAATATAATGTCCTTTTACACCAGGCCATCACGCTGAAATGGCGCAAGCTCATGGCGCCCTCATCCTTGGGTTTGAGCACCGTTTCTATGGCAACAGCACCACCAAGGAAGGACTGTTACTGAGCGAATTGCAGTACCTCTCCAGCCAGCAGCAGTAAGTCACAGCTTGAAAACTTCCAATTTATTCACGGGATGTCTCTTTCTCTGAGGATATGTTGCTTTTCGAATGTATGATATTCACGTGACGTTACATTCTAACTGTGCAAAACAATTGAGTGGTTTAATTGTCAACATTGTTTGCTGGAGGAATTCAGTACTACCTCATTCAGACAATTCTGTCTAAAATCTTAAGGAGGCTCTTACTTAGCTGTGCCGTACAGACTGATCTTTTATGGGAAACTCTTTCATTTGCTTTTATTTTTCCCGTACAGACTGGCCGATCTGTCGGTGTTTCGCGTCTTCGCAGAGAAGAAGTTGGGCATGTCCGGCACCAACACTTGGATTGTGATTGGGGGTTCGTACGCAGGCGCCTTGTCAGCTTGGTTTAGATTGAAGGTATGTTCAACCCGCCCCCCCCCCCCACCCCTTCGGTTTTGAGATCCCTTTTGAGATCACTGCCTCGTCTTCGTCATCTGTTATTGATTGTGAGGGTCTGTCATGGTTGTCGACATTTTAGCCTTTTCATCTGATTTATCATCTACATTTGTACAGTACCCCCATCTAGTGTATGGCTCTGTAGCCTCGTCAGCTCCCGTGCGCGCTCAGGCCAACTTCGAAGGGTACAACGAAGTGGTAGCCGCCAGCTTTGCAGACCCGATCGTGTTTGGTTCGGAACAGGTAACTCAAATGCATTTTATCGTCATTCGTCAGGGTTATTCTCTTTGTCTCAAGTTTTGCTGGTGGAGCGAATGAGTCGGTCACAAATCGCCTGTCAATGCCCGTTGGGTCGGGCATCGTAGGGAAAATGGCGCCTAAACCCCGGTTCATACTGCATGCGAATGCAAATGCGAAGCGAATTTGACTTCATGAAACATTCGCTGCGAAATTCGCCCGAGTTGAAATATGTTCAACTTTTACGAATTCTCAGCACGAATACTTGCCATGACGTCACAAATTCGCGTTCGCTTTCGCTTTCGCGCCAAGTATGAACAGGGCTTAAATTGTCCCTTTTCACCCTTTCATTATATCCACCGTTGAAAGCGTATTTGTGAGTGAAGTGGACTGAATAAGACCGTAGACTTGGGTTTTTCCCCTGATACCCGGTACTTTCTTTTGTCTCAACTATAGCAGCAACGCCTGGGAAAACTTTCTGTTTGCTGGCCCCAGAGGGCCAGGCTACAGTCCTCTTTGTAACTTTCTCACTGACTGACTGACTCTCTCCCCGACTGACTGTCATTTGCGAATTACGCTTTCTCGTCTTGGCCCACAAATCGACTCAATGTCTTCCTTGACCCCTTTGACCAATTGGTATGGGACCAGCTTACCAAGTCTTGTTTAGCCTTTGGGTGATTTCTTAAACTTCCTGATCTCTTTACTCCTGTTTTGGCACAGTGCGTCGCCAGCATCAGACAAGGCTTTGGCAAGATTGAGCAAATGAAACAGGCAGGCGAACTCGCCCAAATCGTCAAAGACTTCAACACCTGCCAGAATATGACTGACCCCAACGACTTCAAGACCTTCGCCAGCGATCTCCAAGGCAATTTCATGAGTGCTGCACAGTTCAATCAAGTCGAAGGAAACGTCTCAAGCATCGGGTCATTGTGTCAACAAATGATGGTTCCAGATCCGTATCAGGCTCTAGTCAAAATGTTTAACGTAAGCTTTTGTTTTGTGGGTGTTTTGGGGAAATGAAAAAAAGGAATTTCCACTTATAATAATTCTACTATAAAATTATTTTCGTTCAAAAGTTGGTAAATGCTGATAAATATAGGTTTTCCCGGCTATTTTAAAACTTTTTTTTTCATTCAAATTCACCAAATCTAACATTCAATTTCGTCCGAGAAAAAAATTCACACGCTTTACCAAATTAATTTAGTCAGTTTGGTCACCCTTTTTAGTCACCGGGTCGAGAATATTCGTTATTACAGATCAAATCCGTCTGGGCTGTTGCAGAATGGCAGCATTCAAAGATCAAATTCGTCTTTTATTAATCAATTTAAAACTTGTATAAAGTAAATTTGTCAGGTGTGCTCAAAAGCATTTTCCTTGTGTCCCCAAGAACAATTTGGCACATTCGCTTGCACGATATTTGGACCAAAGGAGAGTACTTAACTGAAAGAAGAGTTGCCCAAACAGTAAAGATTACCAATATCAACAATACAATGTTATTTAAAATGAACAAAATAAAAGAAAAAGTCTTACAATGAAAAAAGAAATGTCAAAAGCCACGAATCGATAACCCATAAATCCCCGTGTAATATGCCTAAAATATTGAGTGTAACATATTTTAAGGAGAATCGAAAGAAATAACACATTTATGAAGAAATAAGGGGAAAAAACTTATTTATTCTTAAGATTTATTCTTCTTAGAGGCCTATAATATATATGCTTTTGAAGATATTGCGATGAAGTATGACGAAATTGAACAAAACTATGGTTAAATTGTGTGGAATTAGACGAATTTAATTTCTGAATAACACGATCCGGCGTAGACGAGACGAAATTGAATACTCCGGGTTGAAAATGTGCTAATTGTTTGAATTTGTTTGGACAAAATTTGAAATTGTCTGACAAAAGACGAAATTAAACATTGGAAGTACACTAAATCGATGTTGCTGGACGAATTTGAATATATTTAAATGTTTTTAAATAGCCGGGGAAACCTATACTAAAAGTGCCAACTATCAATTTGTAATTTTATCAATTTTATACTTTTTCAGTCAGGAAACTGTTTGGATGTTTCATTTAAAGACTTCCTCACAATGCTGACAGACGTCACCTTTGATCCCGGCGATTTTTATCGACAGTGGTTCTATCAAACTTGCACTCAGTTCGGATACTGTAAGTGTTTCCAACATCATCCTTAGAGAGCAAGAGAGGTGGGAGAGAGATGTTGCTTTCTTCCAAAGCAATATCACTTCAAGGAATGTTTGGGGGAAAAAACTGATGTCTTTTTGTCTTTAGTGTCTTCTTCAACGACTACACATCATCAGTATTTGTCTGATACCTTTGGTATACCCAAACATTAGATGTTGTTTTTCTCGCTATCTTGTCTTGCAGATCATACTTGTGACAAGAACACAACGTGCATGTTCCTACCAGAAGTCGATCTGGACTACTACTTTGCCTGGTGTAAAGGTGGATACAACATCCCGTCCTTTGATGTATTGGAACAAGTGAACTTCACCAATGCGTACTACGGAGCGGACAACCCTACAGGAACAAGAGTGGTCTTTGTTGATGGTAAAGCCTGCCAACCTATCAACCTGACGATATTTTAGTTCTTCTGTCGACCTTCATTTCCTTATCCTAGGTCGAATTGTTTAACATTTGGCGGAAATGTTGTTTATTTTTTTCAGCACTCTTTTATATGAGTCACTGCAGCTGTACTTTTTCTGGTAAATTTTTTTTTTATCTGATTACGAAAAATTGTATACAAGTGCCAAAGGGTAATGCTGAGTGGATAATTTACAGAGCTTGATATACGCATGTAATGACATAACACCTGTTTTGCTTTGTTTTAAGGTACCATTGATCCGTGGCACGCCCTGAGCGTACTGAAAGATCTACCAGAGGGTCTCAAGTCCGTATTCATGAAAGGCACCTCTCACTGCGCGGATATGCATCCCTCTCTGCCTGGCGATGCCCCGGCACTCAAGGCGGGCAGACTGGTAAGAACCGCTGAAATGGCTTACGGTAATATAATTATTTGTATGTTTTAGCAACAAATCTATCGCACTTTTAACAAAACGTTTACTAGGTGGTCTGCAAAATTCTCCACTGATGAGATAATTAATTCGTCTGAGGGTATGCTGTCTTTTATGAGACACCCTTAACTTCGTAACGAAACATTCATATAATGACGATCCCCTGGCCAAGGCATCATTCGTATATAAAGATCGTCAGAAAAATCATGTTTAAAGTTTGATGTAACGGTACTTATAAAATGAAACTAGTAAAAAATGACGGTGGCTTCTAAATCCATAATGAAAGCTAAAGAAAGAAAGAAAGACGAAAAGATGATCGTCGAGCGCTCTTTTCACGCTCCGCCTTAGGCATGCAGAGCCTCGATCTGGCAAGTTGACACAAGGAAAATAGCAAGTTCAGTGATCTGAACCCCCACACGGGAATTACTGAACCGGCTATATTTATTGTGTAAACTTGCCAGATCGAGGCTGTGCATGTCAGTGGCGGAAGCGTGAAAAGAGCGAGTAAACGCGAGTTGCCTGCCATGTACAGCGCCCCCATTTTCGGACTGATAATTAAGTTTGTTTTTCTTGTCTGTTTTAATAGGAGATTGAAAAGATCGTCAGCGGCTGGCTGATGCAGGCGGAAATGGAAAAGAGACAAAAATAGATGCGCTCTTCGTTAAGAAATGAGAAGAAGTTTAACATTGCGACATAATGTAGCCTAACTGCAACCTAATTATTCAGGTGACTGAGCAAGAATTAATTGAAATAATCGATCGACTCTAATTTCTCTTGATATAGCACATATCCTTAACACTAGAGTAAACGCTCACAAGTGTCTATGCGAGATAGGTACAGCGAGATAGGCACAGAGGACACTAGAACACTACAGGATTTCCCTCTCTGACATGGGCTTCGATAGCTGCAAGGGGTGTGCTTGCCCCCCCCCCCCCAAAAAGGAGAAAAAAGAGGCGCGAAGTCATATTGCTGTTAGTTTGATGGGTTGGGGGGGGGGCAAATGTCCCTACCCACCCTCGAAAATGAAAATTGAGAACATGCTGGAAAAATACGGGAATTCGCGGGGGGGGGTGGGCTGTGCTTTGCACCCGGCTAGATCCTGGCGACACCCATTCTCTCCGACCAACCAAAAACCCGCTATTATTATGATTATTTTTCAGCATCTATTTTTGTAGATGTGACTCTCTAAATTGTTAGGTGTCTTGTGGCAGATCTTTTGTCGAGGAATATAACGAATAATTATTTTGATTGCTTTGCATCATCAAGACAATAATTCAGGATTGTATTACGTTAATGCCGTATTCGCCAACTTAATTGTTTTAACAACTGAAAATAAATATGTAAATATGTAAGCGAGGAATGTAAATAATCATGAAATAAATTGATAGTGCCGTTTCTTAAAAGTATAGTCTCTTGAAATCACAATTGCAAAAGAGAACACAAGATATACTTCCATCAGACTGGCACAAATGATTGACTTTTATAACAGTATCGGCTAGAACCGTTTTGAAACCATATCTGACGTCCCAAGAAACCTACTTCAGACGGAGAGGAGTAAGAGTCTGTGATGTTGGAAGAGGTCTAGCACTTGATTGGCCTAATATGTCAAATGACGTAGGGTCAATTTAATTTACATAACCACCGGCGCCCGAATAGGGCACGCCTCTTTGAATGTTAAATATTCAGATTATATTTCAAAAAAATAATATTTTAAAAGCCAAGAAAACAGTGGTTACTCTGTTGAAAATTATTAACACATGTGACACTACATTTAACAAATAGAAGTACTTCATTTTTGTTTGAACATTCACCTTGTCATAATTATCAACCAACAAATTAATTGAAATATCAGGTAAATTACATGATTTCTTCTCCTTTATTGAGGCCAAATAGAAAAGTGTTCCCATGTTACCGATGTTACTGATACAAACATTTTAGACTAATGAGATATTCAACAATGAAAGAAAATATTAAGCAAATATAAAATATCGGCGAATAAATTTAGAACTTTAGCTGACAGGCTTTCATCTTCAAATTTTTGGGTTTTTTTTATATATATATATATATTCTTATTACAAACTAAGTCAGCCCAAGAATTGTTCTTTCTCCCTAATGCCAATATTGTAATATTGATTCAAAGAATAATTGAAGTGTCACAGAAAGTGTCCATATTAGCGAGATACTGTTTGCAATGCAAGCTCATCGATCTTGATCAAAACATTACAAGCTCAAAAGAAAGACGAATCTCACACCCGTGCATTCATTCTTTCATTTATATATCCGTGTCTTAACAAATGGCATTGAGTAGGACAGGCTATCTGTAAGTTTGAATACGGAAAGGTCTTTCCTCCAACCACCTTACATTGCCTGCTGAATACATGTATCTACAAAATGAAATGAGCTTGTTGCCAGATTTATCCCATTGAAATCGTGGGGAAACTCGAAAAAATTATCGGTGCCGGTATCGGAATCGCAATCAGCATCGGTATCGATACCGACGATGTTGCTTTTACCATTACAGTTTCTGTAACATGAATTATGTGGCATTTATTCATGTGTTGAGGGTTTACGGCACATCAGATGCAGTGCATCTGTCGTCACTTCAATAACAGACACAACCTCAAACTTGAACTTCTCCAGCATCTTCTGAACCTCCTCCCGCCCCCAGAATGCACCAAACCCATCCCCTCCCTCCCAGACCAACGAGGTGGGCATGCAGTTGTACAGACTGTAAGTGTACTCAACGTTGACTCTGCCCTGGTCCTCGTACTTGGTGAGATTGTCACTCAGTTTGGAGTAGCCGTTGGTCTCGATGAGTGAGAGCGTCCCGCCAGGCCAAAGCACCCGGTACATCTCCCGTACGGCCTTGGCTGGGTACGGTAGATCGTGCAGCACAAAGTTCATGAACACGTACCCGAACTTGCCGGCCCAGTCTGCGGGCATCTCGCCCAGGTCTCCCCGGGTGAACTCGACGTTGGTCAGGCCGGACTGCGCTGCCGCTTCCCTGGCACTGCCGATGGCGTGCTCAGAGAAATCGAGCCCGTAAAATCGACTCTTGGGGAAGTGACTGGCCATGATTCTGGTGGAGTCGCCAATTCCGCAACCGGCATCCAGTACCTCGATCCCATCATCTACAAGGTCAATTGAATTCATTAAATGCACTGTGAAACAATTTCCTCTTTTCGATTGAAGATTTTTTTTGTTTTAACGAGCAGTGGTAACTAGTGATAACACGTCCTCCTTTTCCAACTTCACATATATACAAAAATCTAAAAGATAGAAAATCACATAAACAAGACCACACGCACCAATCGACAAGGGTGCTGATGACCGCTCTTCTCTTCCACAGAATTTGGGGAGGAAACGCAGACTTCACAAAGACTTACAAATTAAGATTTACTTGTGATTGTGTACTTGTCATCACACGGGGGAGGGGCGGTTAGCAAAACCTAAGAGGGCCCACTCACTCAGTTGCTTGAGGAGCTGTGGCATTGAAGGGATCACCTTCTGTACAAGCTCGTCACGAAAGAACGGGCCTTGCATGAAGCCCATCAGCTCGTCAAACTTGGGATAATGTTCTGATGAAACACCTGCGGAATAAACAAAACAAGGATGGAACAACATATTTGAAATGACGAGTGCAAAACAAACTCTCAAAATGAACTTCGTCGATGGATTCTTAGAATTTCTGTCACGTCATCGACGTTTTCAATTACGGATTGACAGTAGTCGACCACTCAAATTAAACTGGTTCTAGAGGCCAAACTTGAAATCTAGTCTGTTTTAATATGAATCTAGAAAACGAAAGACAATCGTTATAGCTTTCTACGAGCTGAAGTTTTATTTACAGAAGAATTCCAGTCAATAAGCTTTGTTTTTGAAAGTCTACAGACCCAATAAAGACCATGATTTTGTACTGATAATTTAATTAATGTTTTAATATTTATGAAACTTGTATTCGAATCTTTGCCCTATATACCATGTTTAAGACAGCGCAGCTTAGCAGGGGCAGCCGAACGCTTTTCAAATGGGGGGGGGGACACCAAAAAAGGTGCACTTGCTTATTTCATCATCTTTCATTTTCTTTCAATTTATGGGGGTCAACTAATGACTTTTAGGAGAAATTTCTATCCGAAGATGATCACCCCTTGAAATAGTCCTGAAGCTCTTCGCCATTTTGAAAAACGATGCCTACACTCCATAGCAAAATAGAGCGCTTTTAGGGCCCCATTTTCATCCAAATTAAACGTACAAGCTCACAGTCCTGTGCATGGCTTCCACCCATATTTTTTACAAACCCTCTAGTTCATGGCCCACAGTATGCTCAAATATTGAGGATTTTGAGGGCATGAAAATCGTGATTTGGCCGGCGTAGGCAATTTTGGACTGATTTACTGGTCTGCAGTCATAATTATGAAGATGAACAACTTATGAATACGTTGTCCATCTTGCTCTTTGTGTTTCTTTTACACAGTTATGTAGGAAGACTTTTGTTATCGCGAGAGGGCACTGTTGCTTTTGATGGCCAATTCAGTGACCGTTTCATTCGCGTGAAGAGCACAATTCTTTTTTTATGGGCCAGTTTTCCATCTTGAGAGGGGCACAATTTTAATGTTGCGAGCGGGGCACTAATTGTGCTTTCGAGGGGCATTTTTCCATCTCGAGAAGTTATCGTGAGAGGAACACTAATGTTTTTGATGGCCAATGTTCCATCTCGAGAGTCGAACAATTTTATTATTCCGCGAGGGGTAATTGCGTTTTTGAGGGGCAGTTTTGCATTACAAGAGAGGAGACAATTTGTATTGTAGCGCGATCATTATGCTTTCATATACGTGTGCATGAGCCTCATGCACACGTATGAAAGCATAATGATCGCGCTAGCTAGAGGGGCAGTTTTGTTTTCATCTCGAGGGGGCACATTTATAACTGCGAGAGGGGCACTTTTGTTGGGCTTGGCCTGGGAAAATCTGGGGGAGGCCAAGTCCCCCCCCCCCCCCCCCCCCCCCCCCCCGGTTCTGCCGCCTCTACAAGATAACACTGGAGAGAGTGCTGCCCCCAGTTTATGATGAAACCATATTAAAAGTCAACAGCTCATTCATATTTTCCCTTTGTTTGTGGGTTACCTTTCTTGGAACATCCTGTATAATAGCTGTTTGTTGATTTGTCTTTTCTTCGAGCATGAAAGTTCGTTTACTGTCCCATTATTATATCAATTAAATAAAAGATACCTTTTTAAAACTTAAGTTACAGAGCTCGTATCGGGAGATGGAGGGTACGAGCTGGCCCACGTGTACGACCGTCTCATGTTGTGTGACCAAGCCTGGTCACGTGACGAGTCACGTGAGAGCCTAAACAACACCAATTGATAAAGACACCGTGATGGTGTCGCAAGCTCCTAATACGAGCTCTGTATTAAACTCAAGTCTCAAACAGGTATCTTTTATTTAATATTATACTCTTGTTTATGAGTAATTAATATGCAGTATATACCCGACGGTCCGTCTCGCTTGAAACACTCGGCCACTTGATGGAACCCCCCGTACAGAATGGGCGGGGTTAGCGCCAGTCCTTTCAGCTCCAGGATGCCCGATCGGTGGGCGGGGAGCCAGAATCGCTCCGCCTCCGAGTCAAAGCTGACGATCCGCGCACTGGTCATGCATCCCAGCCACTCCCTCACATATCTGTAATTTCAACCAAAACTCTGAAAATGTTTAACGGGCATTTGAAATAGATAAATGTGCAAAAAAAAATCACAACTCTCCATACATTTGGGGCAAAAATCATCCAAGATTACTTCAAAGCAAATATTTTAATTCAAAAACACAAGCCAAGTTCAAGATCTCATTTTGAATTTTCAAATCGCGTTTTCGTTATCTTATTTAGTGATTCACGGATTGACTTCGTATAGATCTCGTCAGTGAGATTTTAGAAACCAGAATCTGCGTTCAAACAACACAAGGACGTGCGATGCCACAAATAACACTAAGAGCAGAATGTTCTTCACGAACCACAATAAAGCCTGAAATTAGGTTCCCACTGGTAGCGCTTCCGGAACCCTTAAATCGGAAAATTAACGTGTACAAATTTGCAGTTAATTTTGGTACACTGATTTCTTAAGAAAATCACTCTCAAAAAACGTGCTCGGCGTTCTGTCAGTAAAACGAAAACAATTCACATGCATCCCTGTAACAATTGAATTCGTTTTGCTGAAAGAACACTTACTCTTTTTGTGATCCGTGGACAAAACTTTAAAACAGTGTTTGTGTTCAACATTTGAAAAGTACATAAGTGACCTGAATGATTCTTGTGCTAAAGAAAGTTTAGTGACCGGGCTTTCATATCCCGGATTTTGAAAGTGCTACAGGCAATAGCTCATTCAAATATTGGTTCTGCCATCTGGGATGCGTTAGTTTGTACTCACCCTCTATGTGGGGTGGTACGTGGTAAGTGAATGACCCAATATAATAAGGACGTGAATGGGTATAGCACGTGCGTTGGAAATAACGTGAGGAAAGGGCAAATGGGTTTTTTTGTTGAGTAAAAAATATATATAGCACTGTGCATGCTGTGTGCAGAGGCCAGGGCCAGGGAGAGTTGACATTATAATTTGAATAACACACTACCACACACTTTCTCAAATTTGTATCCTTGTGGAGTCATTCCTTTGTTCTCGTGTAGTAAAGTGTTCAATTTTGAAAGTGAAGTTTCAAAATGCTCTTATTTTAACCAGAATTAGTTTCCTTGGCTGAAATTTGGACTTAATATCCCTTTTCTAAAACTCTTCCATTTGTGACAAATCAACCCACCTTGGAAATTCCTAGTTTTTGAGTAAAACCCATATATCTATTTCGTGAAAACCTTGAGGAGACCTATTAGAAATTGCCCTGTGGAGACCTTTACAATGTTTTGTTCCCTATTGTGTGTGAGTCTCCTATAGGGTGCAGACCAGTAAATCAGTCCGAAATTCCCTGCGCCTGCCAAATCACGATTTGCATGCCCTCAAAATCTTCGGTATTTGAGCATGCTGTGGGCCATGAACTTGAGGGTTTGTAAAAAATATGGGTGGAAAACGTGCACAGGACTTGGAGCTTAATTGCAGTTCTGTGTAATTTTGATGTAATTTGGACCCTAAAAGCGCTCTACTTTGTAATGGAGTGTAGGCATCGGTTTTCAAAATGGCGATGGGCTTCAGGACTATTTTCAGGGGTGATCATCTTCAGATGGAAATTTCTCCTAAAAGTCATCAGTTGACCCCCAGAAAATTGAAAAGAAAATGAAAGATGATGAAATAAGCTTTAATTTGATGTGTGTCTCGAACACCTTGGAGAGTTGTGAGTATTTTTCCCGAATTTTTGAAGTGGGAGCATTTACCATTGGGGTCTATGGAAGTTTATTTACTGGTCTGCTACCTATAATAGGGTGCAGACCAGTAAATCGGTCCGAAATTGCCTGCGCCTGCCAAATCACGATTTGCATGCCCTCAAAATCTTCGGTATTTGAGCATGCTGTGGGCCATGAACTTGAGGGTTTGTAAAAAATATGGGTGGAAACCGTGCACAGGACTTGGAGCTTGCAGTTCTGTGTAATTTTGATGTAATTTGGACCCTAAAAGCGCTCTACTTTGCAATGGAGTGTAGGCATCGTTTTTCAAAATGGCGATAGGCTTCAGGACTATTTTCAGGGGTGATCATCTTCAGATGGAAATTTCTCCTAAAAGTCATCAGTTGACCCCCCGAAAATTGAAAAGAAAATGAAAGATGATGAAATAAGCTTTAATTTGATGTGTGTCTCGAACACCTTGGAGAGTTGTGAGTATTTTTCCCGAATTTTTGAAGTGGGAGCATTTACCATTGGGGTCTATGGAAGTTTATTTACTGGTCTGCTACCACAAGGATACGAATTTGTGGTCAATATTCGCCGAGTGGAATAGAACATTCAATCTGTCACCGAATGAAATTATTCTTTCCATCGCACGAACGTAAAACATTCGTTATTTGTTTTATACAACGCCTGAATAAATTCTCGTCATTTGATTGGTAAATTATAAACTACAATTTATTTTGATTTTAAAGATGTTGAACTACCCCTTCACGAAAATGTTTGAACCCAACGCTGTAGCGCTGGCTCTTTGGAACAATACACGCTACGCTGAACGCGCACACCAGCATGCATTTTGCACGCAAATACCGCGTCATGGAACAAGCGCAAAGTGAAACGGTATAACGCATGGGTATAACGCATGGTCGCACCGTGCATTATACCGAATAATAATATGTCACGTGATCTACAATTCACCAATCAGATGACGGGGATTTATTCAGGTGGTGTATAAAACGCATTAACGCACAACATTCAGCTTTGGAACATTCCATTATTAAGTACGGGTAAAACACATGAATACTAGTTGAAAATATCACACTGGACAACTTTTTGGCCAATGTGGACACCAATGGTCAGCAGCGAGTTCAGCGACTATCCAAGGAAAAGTCTGTTTTCAAAGGCACGGCGATCGATATCATGCAGCATGAAATTATGAAGTTGAACTCGTACAATAAAAAACGTCAGCTATTTAAAACTTCTATCCAAAGGTCGCCGAACTTTGGTTCTCGATCTAGGCCATGGCCCTTCTTCTGGCCCTATGCCCTATCAGCCGGTAAAACCCGCCTCACCTTTCCTTATAATTGCCAGCATCAGCGATCTCCTGGCTGGTCTTGGGTTCCCCTCCCAGCGAGATCATGACCTCAAACAGCCCAGTCTCCAGCCCCATAGCAATACCCATGCCCACTACCCCATCCAAGAGCTGCTGCGTTGTGTGAGCCAGGAACTCGGCCGCGGTTTCGTTGCTGTCGTTGGCTGCCATTTTCTGTAGCCGTTTCTTTCCAAAGGTCACGTCGGGACATACATTTAAACGCACCTGCGCAAACCGCCAAGGGTCGCTCGTGAACTGCAAATGCCAACCTCGTTCTCATAGTGTTGAGCAGTACGCTCCCACCTCTACTTGCTCTTTCAGAGCTGCAGTACGATCTCGCCACTACCTGCTCTCTCACCCTGTTATTGAATCGTTTACATATCCACGCTTCTTTGAAACGGATGCAAATTAAGAATGGTCTGTTGCCTGGTTGTGCTTATATTAACATCAGTATCTGTTTTGTTAAAACAACATCAATTTGTCGTGGCGTTAGTAACGAAAACACAATATTTGTTGTCCAATTTAAAATATTGCAATCTTATCCGGAAAATATAAAGTATCACATTTCATAATTAATATGAGCAAAATGGAAAGGGGATAATTATTTTTCAGAGTGTGTGGACGTAATAATTTCAATGATCGTTAAAACAAGACACGTTGGAAATAACACAACCAAGTACACAATATAAATCCATTACTTGCTAATTGCGGTATCGAATCAGGACACAGGAAGCAAGTTCCAAACCGAGGGCTTACTGCTGACTAAACAGTAAGCAAATTAGTAAGTAAATGTACAATGGTTCAAACCACAGAGTAATTAAAGATTTAAAGGAACAGTTCATGGTCCTCTAAAAGGGATAATTTGGGAAATTTGCATTTATTGCAAACAAGGGCGGATCCAGAACACAATTTTGGGAGGGGCCCCAAAAAAATTTGGACCCCCCCAAAAAAGTGGGTCAAAAAAATAACGGCGTGGGGTTCGGGGCCCGCTTAAGGGCCCCGAAAATTTTTTGAATTCTAGATGCTCTGTGGTGCGATCTGAGGCAATTTCTGACCACTTAACCAATGGTTTTTTGATGAAAAGATGATGGTGTACTCATAGCCTGGCTTTATTGCGATGTCACATAAAAAAATTTAAAAAATTGGTCTCGTTTTTTTGGGGGCCATGGCCCCCTTTGGCCCCCCCCCCTGGATCCGCCCTTGATTGCAAAAGTACCTACCGAATTATTATCCGAGAGTTGTTACTTTTTATCATAATTTTGAGAAGTGGGGGTATTTATCACTGAGGTCTATTTATTGTTGACTGCTGTGATGTGGGATATGACATTTTGAACATTCATGACAATCGAAAAACTACTCACATGCAGGTTGCGAGCTCGAAACAGCTGATTGTCTGCCAGTTCGCTGCTCCCACTCATGTGTGAAAACATAGTGAAAATAGCTTGGGTACGAACCATTCAAGCGTTTCACATCGTACGTACCGTACACGTGTACGTGATATCCCACAGAGAGTGTGCCATGACATTTTTATAAACTTAACACATGATCGTTCTAGGCCAATGAAAATACAGTATTCAAGACAGAGGTTTTACACAAAGCAGTTTAGATCCAGGTTTGGCTCAAGAGGGGGCGGTTCAGCTGTCAATTTGTGCTATTCCTTTCTATAACTATAAAAAAAACGTATAGATCTGCCATTAACGCATATAGAGAGGTACCACATACTGAGGTACCTTTTGGCCAATGACGTATAGGGGTCAATATAATTTACATGACCACCAGAGCCCGAATAGTGCACTCCTCTTTGCATTTTAAAGAATCAGATGCATATTTCAAAAAAATATTATTTTAACACCCAAGAAAACAGTGGGCACTTTGTTTAAAAAAAATATTAACACAAATCATGTGACACTGCATTATACACCTGTTGCGGTTTTTTAGTCTTCGCCAACAAAATAGAAGAGTAACATTTTTATTGCGACATTCGCCTTGTCATTATTATCAACCAACAAATTAATTGACATATCAGGGAAATTACATGATTTATTTTCCTTTATTGAAGCAAAATAGAAAAAGTGTTCTCATGTTACCAATGTTACGTTAAGATTCAGAGAGGAACAATTGTAAACTGGCAAATAAAAAGACAAAATAAGTACGATACCTTTTGCAATGCAAGGTCATCGACCTTAGTCAAAAAAAATATTACAAGCTGAAAAGTAAGACGAAGCTCACACGGTATTTATTTATTTATTTATTTATTGATTTCTTCTTTATACTGGGTGGCCCATTCTGTCCTTTTATCAGAACTGATCTCCCATGGGTCCCAGTAGGAGAAATAATACAATAAAACATGATATGAACATTAAAATTGATAAAATTTCATCTAGCAGCTAGTGCCCAACAAAAGGCACATTATTCAATCCCTCAGACATCATTGTTGCATATTTGATGATCAAAATTAAAGAAAATCAATTTAATAATCATCATCAATAGCCCAGCTAGTTAAGAGTCAAATAAAATGGTTGATAATGGTCTGGACAGTTGTGGAAAATGGATATTTCAACCTTGCTGGCAGGCTTGGGCACCCCCATATTGGACAGCTTTCCTGCCAGATTCGGTTTTGGGACGTGGCAGAATAACATTCCCCATAATACTAGATCTTGTGCGATGCGAATGCTGTGAACGGTACATTCATTCTTTCGTTTATACATGTATATCCGTAACTTAACGAATGGCGTTAAGTAGGACTAAGAATCTGTTATTTTAAGCACGGAGTGTCTTTGATAGAAGCACCTAACATTGCCTGCTGAATACATGTATCTACGATATGAACTTGTACCCAGATTTATGAAATCATTTGACTCGTAAAAAGTTACAACCAACAGAAATTTATCTGTGCGATTTTTAGAAAGTAAGAAAAAAATATCGGCATCGGTATCGGAATCGCAATCAGTATCTCTATCGATACCGATACTCCACCATGCAAAGTATCGGATCATATCGAGGTTGCTTTATAGGCCTAGCATTACATTTTATGTAACGTGAATTTTATGGCATTAAATCATGTGTTGAGGGTTTACGGCACATCAGATGCAATAAATCTGTCGTAACCTCACTAAGGCCAAAAAAAAAAGTCTCCGGTTTCTGGTATGCGCGCGCGTCGCCGTAGCCATGCGCGTCGGCAAAATGAAAAAGTTTTTTTTTTAATGAAAGATGATGTCCCAAAACCGCCAAACTCACTGGTTTGACTGGAATACTGCTGCTGCACAATTTTAACGTGTTTTTAGATTGGGTTATGGTCGAGAATAAGCTTTATGTGGCCTCTCTGGACTCCCATATATTTGCACTAAGTTTAGTCGGGCACCATTTGCAGTCATCAGCACACATTTGAAGCAAAAAAGTCAGGTAAAAAAAAAAAAAACCGCGTCGCCGCATCACTTTTTGGGCAAGCTCCATACCAGAAACCGGAGTCTTATTTTTTTTGGCCTAACAGACACAACCTCAAACTTAAAGTTCATTCATCGAGGTTGCTTTAGGCGTAGCATTACATTTTATGTAACGTGAATTGTATGGCATTAAATCATGTGTTGAGGGTTTACGGCACATCAGATGCAATAAATCTGTCGTAACCTCACTAACAGACACAACCTCAAACTTAAAGTTCATTCATCGAGGTTGCTTTAGGCGTAGCATTACATTTTATGTAACGTGAATTTTGTGGCGTTTAATCATGTGTTGAGGGTTTACGGCACATCAGATGCATTAAATCTGACGTAACCTCACTAACAGACACAACCTCAAACTTGAACTTCTCCAGCATCTTTTGAGCCTCCTCCCGCCCCCAGAACGCCCCGAAACCCGCCCCTCCCTCTAAGAAGAGCGAGGTGGGCATGCAGTTGTACAGACTGAAAGTGTAAGAAACGTTGACTTTGCCCTGGTCCTCGTACTTGGTGAGGTTGTCCCTCAGTTTGGAGTAACCGTTGATCTCGATGAGTGAGAGGGTCCCGCCAGGCCGAAGCAACCGGTACATCTCCCGTATGGCCTTGGCTGGGTACGGTAGATCGTGCAGCACCAAGTTCATGTACACGTACCCGAACTTGCCGGCCCAGTCTGCGGGCATCTCGCCCAGGTCTCCCCGGGTGAACTCGACGTTGGTCAGGCCGGACTGCGCTGCCGCTTCCCTGGCACTGCCGACGGCGTGCTCAGAGAAATCGAGCCCGTAAAATCGACTCTTGGGGAAGCGACTGGCCATGATTCTGGTGGAGTCGCCAATGCCGCAACCGGCATCCAGTACCTCGATCCCATCATCTACAAAGTCAATGGAATTCATTAAATGCACTGTGAAACAATTTCCTCTTTTCGATTTAAGATTTTTTTGTTTTAACGAGCAGTGGTAACTAGTGATAATACGTCCTCCTTTTCCAACTTCACATAATTTTATATACAAAAATCAAAAAGATAGAAAATCATATAAACAGAACCACACGCAACAATCGCCAAGGGTGCTGATGACCACTTTACTCTCTTCAACAACATTTGGGGAGTAAACGCAGACTTCACAAAGACTTACAAATTAAGATTTACTTGTGATTGTGTACTTGTCATCACTAGGGGGAGGGGGCGGTTAGCAAAACCTAAGAGGGCCCACTCACTCAGTTGTTTGAGTAGCTGTGGCATTGAAGGGATCACCTTCTGTACAAGCTCGTCACGAAAGAACGGGCCTTGCATGAAACCCATCAGCTCGTCAAACTTGGGATAATGTTCTGATGAAACACCTGCGGAATAAACAAAACAAGGATGGAACAACATATTTGAATGACGAGTGGAAAACAAACTCTCAAAACGAACGTCGTCGATGGATTCTTAGAATTTCTTTCACGTCATCACCGTTTTCAAAGACATGACGTCGGATAGTACGGATTGAAAGTAGTCAACCACTCAAATTAAACTGGTTCTAGAGGTCCAACTTGAAATCGAGTCTGTTCTAATATGAATCTAGAAAACGAAAGACGATCGTTATAGCTTTCTACGAGCTGAAGTTATATTTACAGAATTTCAGTCAATAAGCTTTGTTTTTGAAAGTCTGCAGACCCAATAAAGACCATAATTTTGTACCGATAATTTAATTAATGTTTCAATATTTATGCAACTTGTATTCGAATCTTTGCCCTATACCATGTTTAAGACAGCGCAGCTTAGCAGGGTCGGTGGAACGCTTTTCAAACGGGGGGGGGGGACACCAAAAAGGTGCACTTGCTTATTTCATCATCTTTCATTTTCTTTCAATTTATGGGGGTCAACTGATGACTTTTAGGAGAAAGTTCCATCCGAAGATGACCCCCCCCCCCCCTTGAAATAGTCCTGAGGCCCTTTGCCATTTTGAAAAACGATGTCTACACTCCATTGCAAAATAGAGCGCTTTTAGGGCCCTAATTTCATCCAAATTAAACGGAAATACAAGCTCACAATCCTGTGCACGGCTTCCACCCATATTTTTTTACAAACCCTCTAGTTCATTGCCCACAGTATGCTCAAATACTGAGGATTTTGAGGGCATGCAAATCGTGATTCGGCCGGCGTAGGCAATTTTGGACCGATTTACTGGTCTGCAGAATACGTTGTCCATCTTGCTCTTTGTGTTTCTTTTACACAGTTATGTAGGAAGACCTTTTTATCGCGAGAGGGCTCTGTTGCTTTTGATGGCCAATTCAGTGACCGTTTCATTCGCGTGAAGAGCACTATTATTTTTTTATGGGCCAGTTTTCCATCTTGAGAGGGGGTACAATATTAAATGTTGCGAGCGGGGCATTATTATAATTGTGCTTTCGACGGGCATTTTTCCATCTCGAGAAGTTATCGTGAGAGGAACACTAATGTTTTTGATGGCCAATGTTCCATCTCGAGAGTCGAACAATTTTATTATTGCGCGAGGGGTAATTGCGTTTTTGAGGGGCAGTTTTGCATTACAAGAGAGGAGACAATTTGTATTTGTACTAAATAATTGTAGCGCGATCATTATGCTTTCATACGTGTGCATGAGCCTCATGCACATGTATGAAAGCATAATGATCGCGCTAGAGGGGCAGTTTTGTTTTCACCTCGGGGGGGCACATTTATAACCGCGAGAGGGGCACTTTTGTTGGGCTTGGCCTGGGAAAATCTGGGAGGAGGCCAAGTCCCCCCCCCCCGGTTCTGCCGCCTCTACAAGATAACACTGGAAAGCGTGCTGCCCCCAGTTCATGATGAAACCATATTAAAAGTCAACAGCATATTCATATTTTCCCTTTGTTTGTGGGTTACCTTTCTTGGAACATCCTGTATAATAGTTGTTTGTTGATTTGTCTTTTCTTCGAGCATGAAAGTTCGTTTCCTGTCCCATTATTATATCAATTTAATAAAAGATACCTTTTTGAGACTTAAGTTACAGAGCTCGTATCGGGTGTTGGAGGGTACGAGCTGGCCCACGTGTACGACCGTCTCCTGTCGTGTGACCAAGCCTGGTCACGTGACGAGTCACGTGAGAGCCTCAACAACACCAGTTGATAACGACACCGTGATGGTGTCGCAATAATACGAGCTCTGTAACTCAAGTTTAAAAAAGGTATCTTTTATTTAATTGTATATTCTTGTTTTATAAGTAATTAATATCAGCATATACCCGACGGTCCGTCTCGCTTGAAACACTCGGCCACTTGATGGAACCCCCCGTACAAAATGGGCGGGAATAGCGCCAGTCCTTTCAGCTCCAGGATGCCCGATCGGTGGGCGGGGAGCCAGAATCGCTCCGCCTCCGAGTCGAAGCAGACGATCCGCGCACTGGTCATGCATCCAAGCCACTCCCTCACATATCTGTAATTTCAACCCAACTCTGAAAATGTTTAACGGGCATTTGAAATAGATCAATGTGCTAAAAAAAAAATCACAACTCTCCATACACTTGAGGCCAACAATCATCCAAGATTACTTCAAAGCAAATATTTTAATTCATATACACACCAGCCAAGTTCAAGGTCTCATTTTTAATTTTCAAATCGCGTTTTCGTCATCTTATTTAGTGCACAACGGATTGACTTCGTATAGATCTCGTCAGTGAGATTTTAGAAACCCGAATCTGCGTTCAAACAACACAAGGACGTGCGATGCCAGCCAGTATTGTCGCTGCTGACCACAAAGTAATCGTACCTTTTACCTCATTGTACCTATGTGGTGTGGTTTTTTGGGACATGAATGGCTCAGTAACGACTGGGACGTATGAATGGGACGTATGTGTGTTGAAAATCACGTTGGGAAAGGACAAATCGGCGTTTCCATGAAACGACCACCGAGTGACCACTGAGTGACCACTGCCTTAAATCCGCTAAAATCCTGTACGTGGCGAAGGATATAATTAAAGAAAGTGGTTCAAATCAGCTCAAGAATGTTGCATAAAAAAATCATTGTGTAAAATGACCCCTAGTGACCATTAGGTGACCATTGGCCAAATTATGTGTAAAACCTATATGACGAGGCCTTGTTCAGACATGTAACTGACCAAGTTTGAGACTAATTGGATACAGACTGTGGGAGCAAAAGCATTTTGTATTTTTGAAGAACCACTAGTGACCACTAGGCGACCTTTGACCCAACTTGCTGATCATCTTAGATAGGCATATGGAGCAACTTTTGAGACATGGGGACTCTTACCACAAATCCTGTAGCAATGCTACATGCTACAGACTGGTAACCTGCCATAGCACATGTAAACAAAGGCGTATTATGTTTACCAGTGTGTGAAGCATTTCATTTGTGCACAAGTCAATGGTGTAGCACTTTTTTCTGAGTCCTTTTCGCCCTTTCATTTACACGTGTAGCACTGTGTAGCATTTAATTTGTGCACAAGTCAATGGTGTAGCACTTTTTTTCTGAGTCCTTTTCGCCCTTTCATTTACACGTGTAGCACTGTGTAGCATTTCATTTGTGCACAAGTCAATGGTGTAGCACTTTTTCGTTACTTGCCACGGCCCCTTCCTTTTCGCCCTTTCATTTACACGTGTAGCACTGTGTAGCATTTCATTTGTGCACAAGTCAATGGTGTAGCACTTTTTTGTTACTTGCCACGGCCCGTTCCTTTTCGCCCTTTCATTTACACGTGTAGCACTGTGTAGCATTTCATTTGTGCACAAGTCAATGGTGTAGCACTTTTTTGCTACTTGCCACGGCCCGTTCCTTTTCGCCCTTTCATTTACGCGTCAAGGGCGGATCCAGGGGGGGGCCAAAGGGGGCCATGGCCCCCCCCCCCCCCCCAAAACGAAACCATTTTTTTTTTTTTTTAATGTGACATCGCAATAAAGGCAGGCAATGAGTACACCACCATCTTTTCCTCAAAAAAATTGGTTAAAGTGGTCAGAAATTGCCTCAGATCGCACCACAGAGCATCTAGAATCCAAAAAATTTTCGGGGCCCTCACGGGCCCCGAACCCCACCCCGTAATTTTTTAGACCCACTTTTTTGGGGGGGACCAAAATTTTTTTGGCCCCCCCAAAAATTGTGTTCTGGATCCGCCCTTGTTACGCGTGTAGCACTGTGTAGCATTTCATTTGTGCACAAGCCAATGGTGTAGCACTTTTTTCTGAGTCCTTTTCGCCCTTTCATTTACACGTGTAGCACTGTGTAGCATTTCATTTGTGCACAAGTCAATGGTGTAGCACTTTTTTGCTACTTGCCACGGCCCCTTACTTTTTCGCCCTTTCATTTACACGTGTAGCACTGTGTAGCATTTAATTTGTGCACAAGTCAATGGTGTAGCAGTGAAGAAACTAAGTAGAAAAGCTTTTAAAATGCGCCGTGTTGATGTAAGAGCGAGTATACATATTGATATATATATATATATATATATATATATATCCTGAAGAGCGCCCCTAGTGTAATGTGGTGTCCAGCCCCCCCCCCCCCCTCCCCGACCCGGTTTTACATTCCCCCCCCCCCCCGAGGTTTTTTAGCCCGTGTATCTAAGGCCAAAAAAAAAAAGGCTCCGGTTTCTGGTATGCGCGCGCGTCGCCGTAGCCATGCGCGTCGGCAAAATGAAAACGTTTTTTTTTCAATGAAAGAAGATGTCTCAAAACCGCCAAACTCACTGGTTTGACTGGAATCCTGCTGCTGCACAATTTCAACGTGTTTTTAGATTGGGTTATGATCGAGAATAAGCTTTATGTGGCCTCTCTGGACTCCCATATATTTGCACTAAGTTTAGTTGGGCACCATTTGCAGTCATCAGCCGACATTGAAGCAAAAAAGTCAGGTAAAAAAAAAAAAAGCCGCGTCGCCGCACCACTTTTTGGACAAGCTCCATACCAGAAACCGGAGACTTTTTTTTTTGGCCTAATGGTTTGTCGATAATTTTATGTAGGATCCAGTTCGTAACCATTTTCATATAACGTCGTATTTCTGAGAAATTTGGGATGAAATTGGACCGGAGAGTTGCTCTATTTTGTAATGGCGGGGGATGATTTATTCAAAACGAATCGTCCAACCTTAATTATTAGGAGCTTTTTTTTTTAAATATGGCGGACACAGCAGGAGGGAGCTTTTAATTCTTTTGAGTGGGTAGGGGGCAGGCGCGGTTCTAGAGCCAATATTTTTGGGGTGCTAGCAGGATGGATCCAGAATTTTTTTCAGGTAGGCGTGCTGAAATGTAGACCGGTTATTTTCTCCGGACACTTAGGCCTCCGAAAATCAATGGGGAGGGGGGGGGGTTCTCGTGCCATATTTTCAATGGGGATCGAGCGCTGTTAAAATCCTACAATCAGGCACACTATATTAACTCAAAGTGTACAAATGCACCCTTCTCACCACTATTAATCAGGGGGAGACCGTTCGCTTGTACGTCACATTCTTACATTTTACTAGTGCAATTTTTTTTCTATGGAATGTTTTTTTTTGGGGGGGGGGGTTGACAAAATTTGGGAGGGGGGCCTTAAGCTCCCCCTGCCCCCGTAGAACCGCCACTGGTAGAGGGCCTGAAGTTTACAAAACAAATTGACAAATTATTTCACAGGCTTCACACTCAGGGTGTTTTTCTGTTATCAAACTCTATTACTAACTTTGTCTGCTGATAACGTGTTTCTCAAAGCAACTGTGTGTTTGTTTTGATTTGCTCTTGTATCACAACTGAGTCATTTTGTTCTTAAACGCTTGGACAAAAAAATGCCACTTTGCCAATCAGTCTTGAGATAAATAAAGATTACAATTATTATCTTACGATTAATACACAGTCATGTCAGTCCGTGACAACATGATGATGGGTAAAGTCCTTGTGTCTAGCCCGAAGTCCAAAAATCATGTATTTACCGTTCATTGTTTCCTGTTTCCATTTATTCTTAACCTTTCATTTCAACCAAATTAAAAAAATTGTATCGATTGTTATCCCGAAGAATTTTTTTGCAACCCTCTTTTTCTTCAATTAGGTAACATTTGGCACTGATGGGTTCGTTTATCTTAGGGTTTGTGTCTTAAATTATTTCACCATGACGCATCCACAGGTTTCCAGGCAACAGTAAAGTGCTCTAGAAATGTTCTGTCTGATCTGGTATACCGCACATTAAACACAGGCCAGTTTAATATAAAGGTGCAGGCCAATAAAATACGCCCAAAATTGCCTACGCGGGCCAAATCAAGATTTTGTATGCCCTTACTTTTGTTTTACTGCTGGAGCATTTTGTAGGCTATGAACTTGAGGGTTTGTCCAAAAAAGAAGGGTGAAAGCCGTATAATCCTGACTGCGATGTTATATACATGTAAAATTTGGATGAAATTAGGCCCTAAAGTCTCACTATTTTGCCATGGGGCGTCAGCATCATTTCGCCAAATGGCTATGGGCTTCGCGACTACTCTTAGTGGTGATCATCTTTGCATTGAATTTTCTCCCAAAAGTCATCTAAATACCCCCCCCCCCCAAAAAAAATGGAACAGAAAATGAAAGATGGTGAAAAAAAGTTTTACTTTGATGTCCCAAACATCTTGGAGAGTTGTGAGTATTTTTCCTGATATTGAGAAGTGGGGGTTTTTATCACTGAGGTTCTATATGGCAGTTTATTTGCTGGTCTGCAACCATTTATATGGAATATGTGTATAAGTATTAATATAATATACTATTGAAATTGATAATACTGTCACATCGCGCAGGAGGCGGATCCGGGTTTGGCTCAAGAGGGGGCTGTTCAGCTGTCAATTGAGAGGGGGTTTAGCTGTTTAGCAGGCATTGTGATGCACTGTAGATCTGCCACTAACGCATTGAAGAAAGGTACCACACTCTCTCGTTATCGAAATCACGGCTTCTTCTCAGAGTTCGGCTTCATCGCTGGCTTCTGCATATAAAATAGGAACCCGAGTCCAAACAAAATCGAACTCATCTAAATTTTAGTCCGATATTATATGATACGGTGTTCCCGAATAGAGAGTGCGGATCTTTATTAAGCCAGAGTCGTCCAATAAGATCTAGTGAATCCGATTGCCAACAGCGAAACCATGGTTTGAGAAAGAAATCCAAACCAGTTTGGGACACGTTGAACTTCAAGGTACATATATTCGAATTTTAAGCTTTCTCGTAAATTCTTATAAGACTCATATGTAAAATCTGGCAGTCATTAAACAGCATTCACTTAAAACCCACCACCAACGCTATATTCATAGAAATATACAATTTCTATGAATTAACTGCTCAGAAATTCGAAATGCTTTTACTCAGTATAGAGTTGAAGCTGCTCATGTCATTAATATATCAATTTTTTTTTCGAATATACATTTTTCGAAAGGATTACATATATGAATTGGCTTACAGATATAAATGACACGAACAATCACATTGGGTCATATTAGAACAATAGTAATGATGGTGGTTTCGTCGATGCAAAGTGCTGGTGAGTACACTACTTCATTAATTACAAATCTCTTGAAATGTTGCGCGAAAATTATAAAACGTAATGCATGTATAAATATTATAACATCTACCGGTTGAAATGGTTTTGAAAATGCATAAAAGCTATCGTACACGATCAGAGGTCTTTACACTCTCTGTCTCATAAATATTCATAATATGTCAGACACTACTTTATGAATTGCGAAACTCTCTTGTAATGTTTGCGTAATAAATAATAATAAGCTATATGGCATTTTGCTTAATAAACATAGTAGTTCGAATAATGCATAGAAACCTGAGCAATATTCAAGATCTTTACACTTTGCAAATATTCTTACGAAAGCGAACATGAAAGCAAAGCATGCGCAATGAAATAATAATGAAATCAATTCGGAAACAATGCTAACACTATGTTTGCGGATCACCGCTAGTTTTTCATCATCAGTTATACCAATGGGCCTTGTTCACGAGTCGGCCATAAATACTGGATTGAGAGTGAGGTAAAATCTTCATTTTTTGGAACTTGCGAAGAGAAACGAAAGCAATGACATTAAAAATTAATACCAGTCTGCTCTGATGAATAATTAAAAAATGATTAAATATTCTCTAATGTTTTATGTCCCATTTTAAAAAAAATAATGAAAGTGAGGCTATATGAATAAATAGTCTGGCACCATCCCGTTTAACAGTTCACAATTTATGAAACACATTCAGGGGAACAGACAAAAATGGCCGACTTGTGCATCAAGCCCATAGTTCAATGCGGTTTTATTATACATCTCCATATGTCCCAGCTTCCCAAGATGCACCAGTGAGAGGGAGCAGACCAAGCGCAATACTAACCCCCTGCGGTAAAATAGCCTCAAGAACGCATCGTTCATACGCGGGACCAACACTCCTATACGGCCAATTTCACATGCTATTATGCACAAAGATCTGCTAAGCGCGGAACCTATTTGCTTAAAAAAAAACACGTTACCAGCCAAAATGCTATCCTGTGTATACTGATAATTGCGGCTGGTTCTCAACTGATTTTTGCTTGCGATATAAATCTGCTTAGCGACATTCCCACTCAGTATTGCTCCATAAAATTAGGCATCAAGCTATATCCCGTTAGTCCCGTTACTGCGCATGTTGTTGTTTTCGCAAATCGGTTTACTGCACAGGTAGTGCAGCCCGTTCAACTCCGCGTTTGTAGCGCTAATGGACAACACCTCAAAGTTTGCATCTTCCAGCATCTCACGGGCCTTCTCCCTGCCCCACATGGCCCCGAGTCCCGCCCCGTCCCCCGGGTGTGAGGACACCGGCAGGCAGTTCATCAAACTCATGGTGAATTGAGTCAGGACGTAGCCTTTGTCCTCGTCCGCGATGTTGTCCTGGAGTTTGGTGTGGGTGACCGTGTCGACAACGGACAACGTGCCACCTGGCTTGAGCACCCGGTACATCTCCCTGAGGCCGGTGTCGGGGTACGACAAGTCATGGAGCACGAAGTAGATAAAAATATAGTCGAACTTCCAGGTCCAGTCGGCAGGCATCGCGCAGACATCCTCGCAGACAAACTCCAGATTGGTCAGACCCAACTCTTTTGTCTTGACCCGGGCTTGTTTGATGACCGTCGGGGAGATGTCCAGGCCGTAGACGGCGGTCTTTGGGAAGCAAGAGGCGAGCATCCTCAGGGAGTCGCCCTCGCAGCAGCCGACCTCCAGCACCTGAATTCCTCGCTCTGACAACAAGAAATGAAATCAACGTTTGGAATATGAGACTCCAAATCAACCAAGCATGGGGAAATAATTCGTAGGGAACCTTTCCATAATCTTACCCACTGTTTTGACACATCTTTCGTGTTTCCTGCATCTGACTTGTTTCCTTATTGTGAACTTTATGAGACATAATTTCAAGCAAGGCTGACCAAATGTTTGAAATCGTCCATATTTCGAAAGCATCCTTGAATTTAAAAATCAAGAATATAGTCATAACATCAGGGTACGACTATTTTTAATCCAACAATGACTTCCATTCAGCTCCACATGGACGTAAAATTCCTCGCTTTGGCTTCTAATTTACTTCAACATAAAGGCAACTCGTTAAAACACAGGCAACTAATTAAAAACTAAAAGCAGACACACTTGATTTTTTTTGTCTAAACGCGGCATTAGCTAATCCGGGCGGCCACGCCGGGGCACGCCCCTCCCACATCTCACGCCCAAGTCTTGTTGGGTGGCTAATGTTTCTAGATAGGTGCTTCGACTCTAAACACGTCAAAGACACACACACACAAAATGGAGTCCGTCTAGGATCAACCTACTGAGTTGCTGAAGCAGCTTGGGCATTGATGGAATAAACTCCTGCAGAAACTGATCCCGGAAGAATGGTTGGTGCAACTTGTCTAGGACTTCGTCCAGTTTGGGATACTTGTCGTATTCGACACCTTGATGGAGAAGAAGAGAATATTGCTGGGTTATAATACCCTTGTTGCTTGCATTTTGAATTTGAGCCAAATAAATCTATTTGGATTGTATGGTTTTCACGGCTTTCTGTACCCTTGCATAAACCCAAGTATATGGACAGATATAGCTCAGCTGCTATAGCTGGACAACAGCATGCATGCTATTATATAGTATCCCAGAGGTCGCACTTCGGTCACTCTTCTTTACTTATGCGAAAATTGATTTGAATTTGACCTCGTGGCGGATCCATTTGTTGTGGAGGGTTAAACATAAAACCAAATTTAAACATTGAAAACAGATTTAAAAATAGAGAAATATTTGCGAAAATCTCGATCATTTTGAGTGCGCGAACAGATGGGCCTTCATTCATACGCCACATCTCCCAACCCACTTTTCTCCCGAATGAGGGTGCTGTGGAAACATTTTCTTGAAGAAAAAAAAACAGTAGATATATCGAAGCAATTTAGCAAGTTCACTTAATACCAACAAATTAGTCACTGCAAAAAAAATGTAATTTTGGAATTTATAGGGCCATGAAAGAATTTTGCACTGGAGCATATTTTTGTAAGTTGTAGCAAATATCCATTCCTCTGAAATATATGAAAGGTATGAGATATCCTATTTGGTAAAGAATGGTTATAAAGCGTTTGCAAAGAGCACTTGTTTTATGCTTTTCCTGACAAATGAAGGCGTAGTTTTGGTGCAAGACGTTCTTAGCTGGGTAGTTCACGGGACAGCCAGGCCCTTCGCCAGCCCTGAGCATAAGGGGGCCAAAGTACCAACTAGGGGGCCAATTGCTCGCCACCCCCCCCCCCCCTCCCCCCGGTGACGGGCCGGCTGGGGACAGCAAACTCGTAAATGATCTTTTGCTCAAAGAAATTAGTTTTAGGCCTACTGGTCAAAAAATGCCCCGGATCGCACCACAGAGCGTCTAGAATCCAACATTTTTCAGGGACCTTGTAAAGCGGCTCATAATTATAAGGGTTTTGGTACTTACAAACCTGGGAATTAGCATTTGTTAAGTCCAAAAATTTAACCTAATTTATCCAAGTTCGTACAGATTTTAACGCCATCACGCGGTTTTTAGGGGTCTTCTCATGACTAAAGGGAACGTTTTTGTAATCCCCACATTAATTTCCATATGATTTGATTTGATCGATTTCACTACAATTTGGCAGGAAAATTGGTTGACCATTACTATAATATGACATTCTTTGCTCCATTGCTGCTACCACTAGAGATGATTTATCATCATTTTTTTTAACTCTTGGCATAATTTCAGTATTTTCCTTCTAAATGGTTTTATATTTTGTCTACAAACATTAATGTTCTACATATTCATCCCAATCAGATAATTGTTTGTATCCAATGTCACCGCTATTATTGGTGGGCCTTTCAACCCAAATTGGCAAAATCAAGTAAAGATGCCTAAATATGGGGATATTTTTTAATGCTCTGCAATAATGTTTCATGTACTATATCAGAAAAGTACCTCAAAACAAAGAAAATGGTACAGATTGAAAGGTGAAAATTACATGGGCTTCTCGCACCAATGTTATACATACTGAGCATGCAACTATGTGGCCGTGAATTTTGTCTGAACAGGATACAGGTTTGGGAAATGATGGAAATACGTTTGACCTACATTTATGAGCGCCGACGCTTGCAAATCGGTTGCCATGGCAACAATGGGCACACTACAGAAGTGGTTTTTTACCATGGTGACTACTGTTAAAAGTTTGGAAAAGTCACACAATTTCATGTATTCAGGCAATTACAAATTGGGAGGACACAGCGGCACCCATAACGATACTTTGTTGAACCACAGAGCAAAATCTACGATTTAACGTAGCTTTTACTCATTCCAACCGATATAGGGCCAGGGCCAAGACGAATCAGATTGAAATTCATGTAATCAAATAGGCCCTCTTCTTTCGTTTTTTTTTTGTAAGTACATGTACATGTATTTCTGATAAGATTGATTTGCTCTCTGAATCGCCTGATATGTTCTCTGTTAAAAAAAAAATATGTAACAACCGTAATTTTGTTACGTTCGATCGTGTCGAACCATCACTGCCGCTGGAACAAACTTTTGCCAGGGGGTGCTGGAATATAGAACGGACAAAATTAATGCGAAAGCGGAGCGCAAAACCATTACGTCGTGGCTTAATTTGGAATATAGATGCTCTGTGGTGCAATCTGAAGCGATTCATGGCCACTATCATTTGACTTTTTTAGCAAAAGTTTTTTGAGATTATAAAGACAAATTATTTCATTATTTTGTTTACAATATACATTGTACTGTTGCCCTTAAAACGTAAACTGTACTAAAAAGTGGAGAACCCTGTATTTTTATCTCCATTTTTGGTTCCATTTAATTCTGGAAAAAGAAATGTATCACTATGCATGACATCGCATGTAAATATTATTGTTGCAAGGCTGCATTCTTACATTTAGTAAATTCCTTCGTGTATGTTTTGTTTTATTTTCCGAGCCTTTACGGCGTGGGGCCACAGGGCCAGGGGCCTGCTTTAAGGCCCCGGAAAATGTTGGAGTTCTGGATGCACTGTGATGAAATAAACTGAAGTATACTGAAACTTATCAAACCCGAAAGGATGTTTTTTGGTTCAAGTTAAAACAAATGGTTCCACTGGAAGCGGATGAATTTCTGTTCATATAAATATTCACATAGTTCTAACTCACCAAACGATGTACTCTCGATATATTTGCAGTGTTATTTGTTTGTTACAGGGAATGGCAAATATAAAAGACTGAAAGACCAAATGCATCTTTATGTTTATGATCGGTAGATGGCAAGTTTGGGTCTGGGCAAGGATTTATCGGTCTACTGAGTTTTTATGAGGAAAAACTTGAATAGCTTTTTTTATTAAAACGAAACTACACTGGAATTGGCGTAAATTAAGCATGACTAGTTTCAATGAAAGCCAATTCCACTACCATTATGTTGGAGATGTGTGTGTGAACCTTGCTATTTGTTAATGCTGTCTGCAGAATGCTAGCAACGTCAATGCAACTTTTAAATGTAAAGAATAACCTTCAGGGGAAAGGTATGAATATTTGCCCTTATTGAAAGATCGTATGAAAAAAATCCTGGCAAGCATAAATCAACTTTGCCAATATTGTCATGGCCGAGGTTATTGCTTTCGGGTCAAAGCTTCCATTGTGGCGGAAATATCATAGACATGTCATGATTTTAGATACCTTGAGAGAAATATCGATTCTGCACTGCCTGAAACTTTAGAAAATACCTCATCTTGATATTTTACAGTGTTTGTGCAAGACGTTCGAAGCGCCGTGCTTAGCCGCGGCAAACTAGAAACGAACAAAACGAAGGAGACATATTTGTAGAGCAAGCATAATGTATAGTAGCCTTGGTCAATGCTCTCGTCGTTATTCGTCCCGTACGCGGTCAATCGTCGGCATATATCCTCACGCGCTATGCACGTGCATGTAAAAATACAGCGCGAACAGCGACCTCACGCTGCCACTATTTTTTATGCAAATCAGTTGGAGACGATGTCGACATCGTCTCCAACTGATTTGCATAAAAATAGTGGCCGCGCGAGGTCGCTGTTCGCGCTGTATTTTTACATGCATGTGCTAGCGCATGAGGATATATGCCGACGATTGACCGCGTACGGGACGAATAACGACGAGAGCATTGACCAAGGCTAAATGTATAGCGGAGCGGCACAATTTCATCGTCGTAGAACACTACTGGCTGGAACACATTTTTTCTGGGAGTAGGGGGTGCTGAAGCATATTCCAGCACCCCAATCCAAAAAGTTGGGGGTGCTGTAGCACCCACAGCACCCCCCCCCCCCCCCCCGTTCCCGCGGGCTTGAATATGACGTCATTACAGCTAGCGCCCTCCTTCTGGCGAAAAGTGTGTTTCCAAATGCATTGAAAAAATACGGGGGGTACCGGGAATTGACTTGCCTGCAGGTCCGTTTTTCTTGAAGCACTCAGCCACCTCGAAGAATCCACCGGCAAGACACGGAATGGCCATGGACAACATGCTTGACTGTAAGATGCCCATACGGTGCGCAGGAAGCCAGTATCTCTCCTGCGCAGGTTCGAAGGTCACGATGTCCGAGGCTGCCATGCACCCAAGCCACTCACGGACGTACCTGACATGAATTTGATATAAAACAACATTAAAAAAAGATCATGATCACCTAATTCAGGATGAAAATCGGGCTGTGCTTCAAGTATACGAAGACAGAGTGCGAGTTCAATAACCAGCAAGTGAAAAGACAAGAGAAACATCTCATAGTGTTCATGCAGTAAGTTTCATGCCACAGAAGTTTCATCAAGAGATTTTATTATATTATTTCCAAACACTTTGTTTTTCCACTTTAACAATTAAACAAGCCTAGTTAAGGCCTGGCCTATACCACTTTTTTGTTCTAAAGGTTCTATTCATCTGAGTCACATTATTTTTGGGGCTACAATGAAGCTTGAGCAAGTCTAATTCACAAGTGACACCAAAGCCTAGTTTCCATTATGGGCCTTATTCACGAGTCGGCCATATTGAATTGAAAGTTGGGTAAAATCTTAATTTTGGGAATTTGCGAAGAGAAATGAAAGCAAGTTAATTTATAATAAATTCCAGTCTGCTTTAAAAAGGAATAATTTAAAATTTGTAATTTGAACATTCCCTTATAGTTTAAAACCATATTCCAAAAAAAATGACAGTAAAATTAAAGGTTGCATCGTGCCTGCATAGATAGTCTGGCGCCATCCCATGCAACAGTTAACAATTAATGAAATACATTCAGGGAACTCGACAACAATGGCCAACTCGTGACTAAGACCCATCTGCGAGACACTGTGCGTCTGTCTGGGTTGTGGGCGACACTTGCGGATAAAATGTTTCCATCATTATGTCATGTTTCCATATATATATATATATATATACATATATATGTGCGTTGCAGTTTGTGTCTTGTTTTCGTTGCTCTATGCGTTTCTTACCTCGATATAGAAACTAGGCTTAATTTTTTAGTCAGGAACAAGCTCGTTGCGTTTTGAACAGTTTCTTGCAGAGGACATTTTAGTTTGGTATGAACTCAAAACTGATTCTTAGCCCGGACGAATGTCATTATTTTGAACACATTGCATCATTATTACATAAATTCATTGTTTTAACGGATTGTATTTCGGAGGCCTTTTCAGTTAAAAATACAGCGCACATTTAGGTACAGTGGGTTAAAATCTATACGCACTTGGGGGACAACGCCATTAGCGTCCCCCACCCCAAAACAAATTGGGGACATGCCCCCCCCCCCCCCACCCAAGATCGCAGTCCACATGCTGGCATGTCCTAATATATGTACTATATGTTTGAAATAGTATCATTCCACACATTTTTTGTTTATAAGAAGTGGCTTTGAATGCCGCATTGCGCTCCATACGGTTTGGTATATGGGTTGATGCCCAAAGTAATTTCTTCTTTTTTAGCGTCGATTTCTTTTTGGACAAAATGGCACGGAAACAGCGCGATGTTTGGGCAGCTTTTCACACCACTGAATGCGACCCATTTTGCCCCCCCCCCCCCCCATTTGTTTTTTAATATGTTTTAACTTTGCTCAGTCATTCATGATTGCAAGGATGCGAGTGTGGTATCAACGGGTAGCTGCTAAACAACCCTTTGAGATAATTATGTTACCACATTGCAGTGTTCAAGTCTTTTTTAACGTGCTGACATAGTGTTTTCATTGCCTTTTTTTGGTATACCCTAACCGTAATGAGCGGGATATTACTGTAATGCAAGAGAAGCCTTTGAAAAAAGTACATTTCTGGGCAAAACAACTAGATTTGCATATTTGCAATTCTGTACACAATTATTTTGTTTGCAAGAATCAAGTTAAACGAACCGCTTTTGTTACCATTTTGGTAACATATAAATATGAACATTTGTATGCATGATCTTCACAAGCCCAATACAGTGCAGACAGTGCAAATGGGAAACCCAATAATAGATGGGAATCAAATGTGCCATGATGGGTAACAAGGAACAAAATAGACACAATTGCTCCCACCCTTGCCTATATAGGTGTATGGAAGTTTTCTCGCGAAATTGCATTTCCTTAGGAAAAAATGAAAATGGAAAAGTGCATGACGAGGAAATCACAAACTCAAAGGGACCCGTATAGGAATCGATCAATTTTCCACAGAAGTTTCCCTATGGGACAGTCCTAGGCCTATTGAAGTTTCTTCATGGGACCTTTTACTCAAGAACTTGCCTATGGGAATGGTCGCATTGCGACCATGTCACCAATTGGGCTCATTGGGGATACATGGGTGACCACTGCATATTTCCCATTGAAATATCTCCAAGACCCACTTATAATTATGGAAGTTTCCAACGTCACCTTACGCTTGGGAAACGTTCTATGAAAAAATTATCAAGGCGACAATAAAGGCAATTTTTTTGCAGAAGTATTCTCACAAATCCTTTTTTGGTATAACGTGTGTCCTGAGGGAAATATCTCGTGGAACTCATGGGGAAATTTCCTCGGACTGTCCCGTTGAGTTTTACATGGGGGGTGTTTCCGTGATTTTCAGTTCAGCCGCAAATTAACTCATCACCTACCTCTCCTTGAGGTCAGCTATGTCCGCAATCTCCTGGCTGGTCTTGGGGTCCCCTCCCAGCGAGATCAGGACATCGAAGAGCCCAGTCTCCACGCCCATGGCGATCCCAAGGCACGCCAGTCCACCGGTGATCTGACGCACCACGCGAGACGAGAAATCCTCCGCCGTCTCGTCGGCGACTTCCTCGGCGTTGTGATTGGAAAGCGCCATAATAGTCACGTCAACAAACGGAGTCCGCAACGTTTTTGTTTCTTTCTGTCGCAACTATCAGTTTCAGCTTAGACGTCGTTGTCAGTTTCTGTTTAGTTTTGACGGAGCAATAGCGTCACAGCGACTGAAAGAATTATCATTAAAACCTTGATTCCATTGTGTTGATACCAACTATTTTTCCATACGTTTGACCTTAACTCATCACGCATGAAGAAATATTACCACATACCAGCACTGAACGGGACAATTAATGCATTGTCGAGCCAAGGGTAGGCCTAGGTTAAAGCATTGTCGCCTTTGAGGCCAAACGTTTCAACTCCGCTACGCGTGACACCTGTTAGTTGCGAAACCTCTTCCAGACGTCCGGGACGTGCGTGTCGCTTCAAAAGCTAGGGCGTTTCTTCGTGTGGCATCGTGTGAAATCAGGTGCAGATTTGGTAGAAGATTTTCTGCGACGAACAGTGACAAGTAGCGATATGTTCGGATCACGTTTGATTCACCTTTGGTATTGTGTCAGAATCAACCGCGCGAAAAATGACAGTGGCCCAGAGAAAAGGCGTGAAGAGGTTTCATCATCAAACAACAAAAAACTGAGTTACTCTTTATTTGATGAGATCAGAGGGCAAGATTGGGAAAGAACAAAAAAGGGGGCGAATTCTTTTTCAGCGGAGATTGTTATATTTGTTTCTCTTCTCTTTGTGAAAAGAAGCCTTGGCAAATAAAGCGTGTACGCCCGGCAGGGCAACTGGTGAGAACTAGGGTTGGTTGGCAAACACGGACAGAATTAATCATTAGCTGGGAAGATTGATAAAAAAAAATACGGCTACATGAAAATAATGGGTGCGTTTGACGCATTTGAGTGGTCGGCCACTCGGGTAGGGTATAACTTTTTGGAGAGGTTTCGACATTATTTTGTTTGGGGTAAGTAGTACGTGGCATTTGGCACATTCCAACGACAGCAATATTGTCAATGAGAGAAATAACAAGCATCGTCCAAGTTGGAACTGGGTTTAGGGCGGCAGCTCCACCGCCTATAAAGTGCCATCTTCTTTGTTGTCTTTGTTCGGGACCTTTCCCTGACCCGTAACACTATACAAGGCTTGCCTTTAATATCACGATAAATCATATTATTCAGAACACACCTCGGCTGACACAGGAGAACCACCGTGACGACAGTGTTTGTGTTTTGAGTAACTGACTTATTTGCCCTTCGGCGGCGGACAATTGGAGAAAATAACGACAAAGGGGTAATATACTTATAGTTTTGAATTCATTGTGTCTTCAAAATAGAATAATTATTTAGACATTTACTTCAAGTTGAACCTTGGCTCAAGCTCAGACCTGACCACAGATTTGTGTTTCTCCAGTGAATATTTTGTAAAAAAAAAAATAAGCAGGTTTAACAGCCAAACTGCATGGCATTTCTCTGCGGAATTTGCAAGTTATATTTGCTCCATGAAAATGCAATCCTGCTCTCCGAGTTCCATGCTTGGAGAGTGGGCTGCAAGCATTGTACGCCGCCTTCCGCCTCCCCCACCGTCTACCCCTCACTGTCCCCTCCCCCATACAAACTTACCTCCGACCCCTCACACTGACACCCATCCATGTTAAACCTTATGGTGAGGTATAGTATGTGGGGTACTTGCATTGTTCTAACGTTATCCTTCTTAGAAACTCCCTCGTGGGGCACCTTTTTGATTTGTTGTTCATGTTATTTTATGGATACTTCCAACAAACATACACTTCCTGCACCTGTATATAAGTACATTTTGTAAAGTGAATTTGAAATTTCTAACATGTCGGCCGTCTAAATATGACATGGCATCAGAAGTAATATTCACCACCAGATTATTGTACGATGTGAATACATTAGAGTACAGTTATTTGTATAGCTAGAGACAGTACAGGTTGGGAATTCAGGGCGGATCCAGGGAGGTTGGGGAAGGGGGTCAACCCCTCCAAGCTGTGTCCCCCCCCCCCCCCGCCAGCTCCGACCCCCCCCCCCCCCCAAAAAAAGTTGTTTTCTTCGGAAATTCCTTAAAAAATAATGCAAACCCCCCCCCCCCCCTGACACCCCAAAAATGAAACTGGTAATAATGTCCGCCTGTGCCCAAAATACGGACAGAGCCAGCTTGGTTTATAGAGTGTTAATAATCGTCACCCCCATTGAAATTTTTGCTGCGCGGCAACCCGTGGTCCGATTTTTATATTTTTGGTATCAAAATATGCGCAAGGCTCGAGGCTACAAAGTCATAACAGCTCGGGTCGCGAAAAAAACATTCAAGGCCATCGCGGAAAAAGTCGAGGGGGGGGCGGTTTCCGCCCCCCTGCCTTTTAGGGTTAAACAATGGTGTAGCCTAAAACTGCACATGTGACGGGCTCTTGGCTCGATGTCTCATTCAAAGGTGAAGAGCAATTGTATTCCTAGAAAACTAGCAAACGAAAACAAACTTTATTTTTCGCTGTGAAACTGGAACGTATAGCTTGGGGAGAGCAGCTAAAATTTCTTTTAATACGATTGTGCTTGTGATGCTGTTCCCGGAATTAAAATAAAAAGGTCAAACAATAGCATCAAATACCGTGGGGGAAAATGTCCCAAAGTGAGTGTGTGGCTTCTACACGGTGCGGGAGATTAATGAAATACCTTCAGCGTTCAAGTCCAGACCAGTAAACTTTAGACCCAAAATTGCCCACTCGGACCAAATCATGATTTGTATACTTTCAATTTCTCTCTAAAAAGAGTGTTCGGTGGCAGTGAAGGCTTCCACTCCAAACCGGTCTCCAAACCAGTCTTTGAACTTGCATTTCTGAGGCATTCGGGATGAAGTTGACCCGAAAATCGCTCTGTTTTGAAGTCGAGTGGAAGGTTAAGTTTTCAAAATGGCTCCAGGTTTCACGGGCTTTACTTTTAGGGTGATCATCTTTGGAGAGATAAATCATTAAAAAAATCACATGTCCACCTCCCCCCCCCCCAAAAAAAAATTATATATATATATATCAACAGAAAGTGAAAAAGTATATTAAGCTATAATTTGATGTATGACTGTAAAAACCTGTGAGAGTCGCAATTAAGTATTCTTCATGATTTTTTTTTTAAATGGGGGTACTTTTTGTATTGGTATCTATGGGAGTTGATTTACTGGCACTGCCCTTCACCCTCATCAGCGTGCGTGCTGTACGCCATCGAGCGTGAGCTTTATATTGGGTAGGCTGGAGAACCTTTTTTGTGTTGGCCCGAAAACTTTATTTTGTGCAGGCCGGAAAAAAAAGTGTGAGAACTGTGCCTTGTCTGCAAACTGTACACTCTCGATAAAAACCGTGCCTCCAGTGGTTCGGTTTAGTATAAGCACCTGGAGTAGTGCAGTATGTAGGGCAGAGTAGATTATTTTGTGACCCGGACATGCCCAAAGGCCACCCTGGAAATTGGAATCAAGCAACAAAGTGCGACTTATCTCCGCGTTGCCAAAGCCTTCACGAGCGCGTGCGTGTTTTAACTTTCCGAACTAGTTCATGTCATGTTTGAACATGGTTAGAACACTTGCCAACAAAGAACAGAGCACTTTATCTTTTTTCAAGGGGCGTGTTCTAGACAAATGCCTAAATAAACAAAGAATAGTCTTTCTTTAAAAACTGGGGCAACATTTTAGGTATAGTAAAAGATAAAAGACAAATGAAATTTTTTTACAAAAAACATGTCAAGTAAGTATTCAAATTTTTTTTAATTTTTGGATTTTAATTTCGAACGAATTCTCCAAGAATATGTCCTCCAATGAGTAATTTTATTCAGCATTTAGATGCAATGATTTTCTCGAAACGAGTTTTGTACTTATTCACACTCGAGCTGAATTTGGACTTGGCCCGAGTCGGGTGTTGCTCTTTGGTCTGTGCAGTATATTATGCATACACATTCACACCCACGTTTACGTTTTAACGTATACCTAGTGTGGACATTCCGTTGTTTTCGTGTAGTTAGGAAAAACCTGTGAAAAAAACTCATTTTACTCACACTGTGAAAACTCTTTCAACCCATTTTTTTTCTATGATTCCCTTTAGTGTTTCTCTTCCTTTTGCCACGCATAAACCTAACCCCAAAATGCCTCTAAACCTGTCTTCCAGAGAGGGGAAAACCTTGTGTGGACATGGGCAAGTCCGCACAACATCGCTGCTACCTGGTTTATGTGTGGATATCTTTTGTTTGGAAGTCCAGACAGTGAATGTAAATGCTTGTACACCGATCCACGAAGTGCTAGGCATGGCACTTGTTGCTTTGGACGTGACGCTGATGATGGAATTTAGGGCTGGGTTATATGGCAGTGTGTGTTGTGGATATCGACTTCAATCCGACTTGAGACCAACAAAAAACAATATAATTGCGTGGACCGATGTTTTCTGTTCACCGTCTCATTAGAAAGTTCATAATTTTTGTAATCCTCACAAATGATCAATCAAATTTTTAAAAAGGAATAAATGTACATGTACACATTATTTATAGAATCTCTGGGTGCAACTCACAGGAATTAGTTCCCGCGGAAATTTAAGGAGACCTACTAGTATGTTGGTGTATATGTGCACAGTGAGCCGTAGGGCCATGTGTTTCAAGTCAAAAAAAAAAACTTTCGAGAGGGGAAGGCACATGTTTCCTCTCTAATAAAAATCACTTTACTCTATGCTATCTTGTGTTGGTAATTCTTAGCTGCGGACAGCAGCGTCGAGTTAGTATCAAACAGTTAGTGAGTTAGTAACAAACATTGCAGTGGCAGCCTTGCATGGCTATATATCAACTCGTCCCTCAGGCCCTCCCTTGTGTCACTTTTATGGGTCTCCACTGACCGCCTACCGCCCCAACATGTCACATAACCAAAATGGGGTCACTATGGTCCCAGAACCTGATTTGTGTTCTCAATCAAAACACTACTCCTTCAAGAAATTACATGGCACAATCACGTCACTGATGCATGAACACAAATTTGTTGTCCCGCAGCTCCCGAGATCATTTCGAGCTTGTTTTATTTATTTTCAGCTATGAATATATAACTTTGCTTCTTAAAAGTGATGCAGATAAAATACAAGATTTTACTCATTATATTGCTTTAGTTAACAGAATTATATTGGAATGGATTAACCAAAAGGCACACAAATCTACACACACTAAAATGACAAGGCATGGGCCAGCTGCGATCACAGTGTCTGGGTTTTTTTAAGAGTAAATAAACCTATAAACTGCATTACTCTTTCGTGTGAATATGACACAATACACAATCTTAATATATATTTTTTATCTTCCATCGTGTTTTAACACGTCCAAAGTCCTTTTTTTTCCAATCAAAATCTCAATCACAGATTTGCAATGCTGAACTTCAGCATTGGTTAAAACCAGCTTGGCCCAATTTCATGGATCTGCTAAGCGAATTTGTATGCTAATTAAGAATCAGCTGGGCACCAGTTAATAGCAGTGAGCATTGCATGACATTTTGGCTGGTTACCCAATTTTGAAGAGCAATTTTTTTTTGTGCTAAGCGAATTTTCATGCCTACCAGCTCTGTGAAATTTGCAGATCAAATATGCACAGGCAGTTACCCTCCAAGTTTACTCTAATAACCTCTAGAGACCGTAGTAAGTAAACTTTTTTTAAAGAATTTGAATGAAATCCAATTTCTAAAATTGTTGAGGTGTCAACCTTTACCAGCTTTATGCTTAGTCATAAAAGGTCAATACCAAACTTTTTTCTTACTCAGACTTTCTGGCACTGATAGTTGAGAGAATTTCTCGTCGCCAAAGGGCTGACTGCGACGATTTCGAAGTGGGCCGCCTGCATCATTTCCATGGCTTTCTCCCGCCCCCACAGGGCCCCAAGCCCTATCCCTCCTTCGGCAGACAGGGACGTCGGGACGCAATTCATCATGCTCAGGACCGAGGCATACCTGGTGAAAGCGGCTGCCTTGGAGAGGTTATCCTCGAGTTTTGAATACGAGGCAGTGTCAATGACCGACAAGGTCCCGCCCGTTTTCAAGACGCGATAAATTTCGTGGAGACATTTCATGGGATGGGGCAAGTCGTGGAGGACGTTGTGCATGAACACAAAGTCGAACTTGTCAGACCAGTCCGCAGGCAAGACAGTCCCAGAAAGACAGAGGAACTGGACGTTTCCCAAACCCATCTCCTTGGCTTTCTGTTGAGCGTGTCTGATGCCGTCTTCTGTGATGTCGATTCCATACACCTGACACTTCGGGAAGCCCTCGGCGATGACTCTGGTTGATACTCCCTGGCTGCACCCGATTTCTAGAACTTGGATTCCTTGTTCTGTGCAATTACAACACATCAAAACAATGGATTACCAAACATGCCTTGACCTTAGTGGTAGCCCACTAGCCAAATGTGAGTAAAAACAGCGGCTGGCTATAGTCAAAACCATTCTCTAAGTAGCCCGCCTGGTGAGTCAAAATTATTGAGCTAAGGCCTGAAACTCTTCCGCGTACCCTAAATGTAATCTAATGTATCCCAAATGTAATCTAATACTAACTTGCCATCGGCTTGTTTCGTGCCGTAGCGCCGACGAATCTAAGAAAAATAACTAAAAGTTCTATTGCAGACTAGCGAAAAGGCCCAGGGGCTAGATAAGAGTCTGGTTTACTAGTCTGGCGGATTAGTTAAAAAAAAGGTTAGGGGCGAACCCTGCCAATAAAAACCAACAAATTACAAATAGATAGACGACAGCTTCAAAAATTCAGACGCTATTCTTACAAGTTGCCTCAAAAATGGATAGGTGGTTCTTGACGTTGGCACACAGGATTTTTTTTCTAAAGCTTACATTTCAAGAGGGTCATGATAAAATCCCAACTAAAACAATTGTTTTTAAGTTTTTAACAAATATGGACCCTCCTCGAAAATCTACCCCTACACCTAGAACAATAACAGTCATGGTTCTCAAAACTTGGTATTTTAACAGTCCAACTTACGCAGTTGTTGATAGACCTTAGGCATAGTGGGGAAGAAGTTCTGCACCAAGTGCTCCCTGAAGAATACCTGGTTCATCGCGGTCATTAGTTCATCAAACTTGCCATACTTGTCATAGGACACACCTGAGGAATCCAACCAAATATTGACAAACGTTGAGTACTGCCAAATGATGAAGACAAAAATAACATCTGGCATCAAAGACAGCTGGCGACGACTAATCTTTCATAAATCAAATAAGGTTTTGCCCTTCACCGACGTATAAACGCTGTATACTCAGTGTGTTACCTCCTGAGTGAAAGTTGGAAAAAATCACTCGGGTGGGACTCGAACCCACGACCTCCTGCTTTCTAGTGCAGATGTCTTACCACTCGACCACCGAGCTAACGGGATCGGTTGGCTGGTTCGAATCTGATGTACATAGCAGCGGGTACCGCATAAACTATTATAAGATGGAATTTTGCGTCGGGTGATATAAATCAAATAAGGTTTTGCCCTTCACCGACGTATAAACGCTGTATACTCAGTGTGTTACCTCCCGAGTGAAAGCTGGAAAAAATCACTGGGGTGGGACTCGAACCCACGACCTCCTGCTTTCTAGTGCTAGATGTCTTACCACTCGACCACCGAACTAACGGGATCGGTTGGCTGGTTCGAATCTGATGTACATAGCAGCGGGTACCGCATAAACTATTATAAGATGGAATTTTGCGTCGGGTGATATAAATCAAATAAGGTTTTGCCCTTCACCGACGTATAAACGCTGTATACTCAGTGTGTTACCTCCCGAGTGAAAGTTGAAGAAAACAAACACTCGGGTGGGACTCGAACCCACGACCTCCTGCTTTCTAGTGCTAGATGTCTTACCACTCAACCATTGAGCTAACGTGATCGGTTGGCTGGTTCGAATCTGATGTACATAGCAGCCGGTACCGCGTTCACTATTCATAAGATGGGATTTTTGCGTAGGGGTGATATAAATCAAATTAGGTTTATACGTCGGTGAAGGGCCCAACTTAATTTGATTTATATCACCCCGACGCAAAAATCCCATCTTTTGAATAATCTTTCATAGTTTTTGTTTAACCTCGCGCCTCAAAATCAATTTCTTCACCCACGGTCCAACGGCTCTACTGTAAACTACAGTACACGTTTAGGGTCCAAATCCACACTTACATCTGCCGTTTACCAATTTAGGGTGTTATAGTGGTCAGACAGACTGCAAACAGCCATTACTTGAGCTTGCTGACTAGTCTTGTTGATAGTATGATTAATTATCCATGCAATGTGTTGGGGCCGGCTATTATACAGGGTGAGTAAAAAAAAGCGAAACCCTAATGTTGGGACTATTGTTTAGTGAAGTTCTGCATGTGTACATGACGTCTATGCGAAACATTTTTCGCTATGCGGCAACCCGTGGTCTGATTTTTATGTTTTTGGTATCAAAAGATGCGCAAAGCTCGAGGCAAAAAAGTCATAACAGCTCGGGTCGCGAAAAAAAAGGCTTAGAGGCCTTATCACGGAAAATGTTGAAGGGGGGGCGGATTCCACCCCCCCCCCCGGCCCCTTTAGGGTTAAGTTATGGAATTTTAAACACAACCACTGTTTTAAAGTTCTGTCCACGGATCACAAAAAAAGGTGTGCGTTCTTTCAGCAAAATGAAAACAATTCACACTCGTCCCTATGTGATTTGTTTTCGTTTTGGTAAAAGAACACTTACCTTCTTGTATAATGATTGTATATAACATAAACATGTGGTTCTTGTCAGAGGGGCTGGTGTTTTTGGCTGGGACTTTCAGGGTCAATAGTTCAACCCATGCTTAGGTGGCACTCACAATGTTATTTGGCTATGTTTGAATGAGGTATGCACTTACATGTACTTCAGCATTGATCCCCTTGAGCAAAATCTAACCAATGAGAGTTTTAAGAAATCAGAGGTTACCAATGCATTTTGTGGGTGCTTTACGCATCACGTGAGGCAAGTCACTAACTGAAATGTCTGCGCACATGCAATGGACCGATCCAGTAAGCACCGCCCTATGTTATTCTGACCAATCACAGCCGTGATTTATGTCCGACATGCGTGCACAAAAGTCTGACATGTGTGCACGCGCGTATGATGCGCGCGGCAGGAAAATGCAGTATGGCATTGGAGAGGAGCACGTGTTAATTTGCCCACGTGCGCAGTGGGAGGGGCTTACTGGATCGGTCCATTAGAAAACAAAGCTGCCTTAAAGAACATGGCTCGATCACAACCCTACAACATTCGTTAGGCCATCAACCATACCTGGGGGCCCATCTTTCTTGAAGCACTCAGCCACATCAAAGAATGCAGCACACAGGTTAGGGATTGCTTGCACCATAGCAGTGGCTTTAAGCGAACCGTCGGCACAGTGGTGATGCGGGGGCAACCAGTATGTCTGGCTCGGCGCATCGTACACAACGATGTCAGTCGCTGCCATGCTGGCTAGCCACTCTCTGACATATCTGCAAAGAACATAATAATATGGCGCCGATGAGGATACAGTTCAGGGCAGTTAGCTCAGTAGAAATGTCGCACTCTCAAAGTTAAGCAATGTTGACTGCTATCAGTACTTGTATGGGAGACCACACATGTATTGTATACATCAGTGTGGCTACATATCTGTAGGAGCAGAGGAAGTTACTGCATTTGAATAAGTTTTTGCACCGAAAAAAGCAGCATCTCGTTGTATACTCCCAGGAGAATTTAACTTACCAGAGCAATGTACATGTTATATGGACCACATAAGCAGGGATAATGAGTGACCTAGTAGAAAGAAACTTGTGCCTCGTGATCAGCAGGTAAGGGATTTAAATTCTGCTAGCCACATGTTGTGTCCTTGGGCAAGCCACTTGACTCCCACTTGCCTCTCCACCATGGTGTATATAAGAAGAAGGCAAATTCTCAGTCATTTCATGCCAAGGAAACCGGAGATAAGCACTAGCTTAATTAAGGAATCATCTGGACTTGAGGCAGACTCTTCTTTCAGAAGGGGTGGAGTGGAAGATCTCTGATATATCCGGGATATGTTTTGAATTTTTTTCCGGTAGGCCTAATTGGTAACAAAAAATTGAATTGGTAAGGTGGAAAGGGTGTTAGCCAATAGCCACCCGAACCGATCGATGCCCCTGAATCCCCCGTTGGGGTACTAATGATGTAAGATATTTCTATCTCTGCCAATAGCAATACAGAACTACATGCAGTCGAACCCTGATAAGAAGAGCACTGTTAATACAAGGTACTGCTTATAACAAGCAAAATTTTAGGTCCCAAGTCTTTGTTTTTCTTTGTTTGCCGTAACTGTTAACACAAGGTACCTGTTATAACAAGGTAATTCATAAAGTCCCAAGGACCTTGTTATAAAGGTGTTCGACTGTACATGTTATTGTCACACCTGACAATGAAGTGTTAGTCGCAATACCTTTCTTTGTAATTGCCAGCGTCTGCAATCTCCTGACAAGTCTTGGGTTCTCCCAGGTCGATCATCACCTTGAACAGCCCTGTCTCTATACCCATGGCCAGACTGATGCAGTTCAGGCCGCTGACCACCCGCTCCGATATGCGGGCAATAAAGTCCTCCTTTGTTTCAGCAGACGAGCTGTTGCAGTTGCTGTTACTCGTTGCCATTGCTCATGCAGATTCCTTCGATTGACTGTTCAGTTGCTTTCCGCTCACTTACACGTATGTTTCACAATGCTGCCGTACCTTCTGTACCAAATGACACAAATATAAATCAGAAAAATTACACAATTTGCTGTACAAATAAACACTAAGATCAAGTACCACTACTAAAATGGGGCAACGAGCTACTGGATGTTAGCTCCAGCAGATACAGGCTGCCCTATGCCCTAATACTAGATTCAGCCTAAGTTTTAAGATATTGGACATGGATATTTAGCCGGATATTAAGCCGCTAGCGAGATTGCACAGCGCCTTCTTTGACGCGTATACGAGTAGGCCTACATTGTAAAATGTATTGAAATTAAGCACCATCATTTGTGTAGCATCCTGTGGCCAAGTGGTAGCGCGTGTATATCTCATGAGTGAGAGGTCCCTAGTTCAACTCCAGGCGAGCGACATTTTGGATTCTTTTATCCTTTATGATACGTCTAAACATGCAGATGTGCAAGCCGCGCGCCAGCCAATCGGAGTCGACTTTACTAAACTGTGATGTCATTTATTCCCAAATCATGACTAATGGTTTGATTGGTCAATTCAAATGCAGTGTTTTGTATAGTCGTGTTCCCTAACGTGGCGCACTTCGAAGCTTACCCAACTTTCCTCGTGTAGTGTTGCCAAACCTCTTTGTTGACAAACCTCAAATTCATGCAGTAAAATAATGGTACTTTTACCTTATTAATGCTTGCTATTTAACCTCCGTGAACAATTTCGGTTTCATAAAATTTAAGCCGAAATTAAAAAACGGTGGCGTCCGGAAATTGGGCACAAATTGGCGGAGTGTTCCCTAACGTGGCGCACTTAAATAAATCTTGGACAATTCCAAATTAACATTTAAGAATTTCTGTAAACTTGATCAATTCTGATAAATCATTATTATTTCTACTTACATATCCAGCCAGATGTTTGTCAGAAAATTATTTTCTTATTTTTCGGGCATTTTCAAAGGTTTCACTTTGCACTTGAAAATAAAATCGGAAAATCACGCCAAAATAAATTTTCTTTTAACTTTGTAGCGGGTAAATAACTCGAAATTTATGTACGGGAGTGTTTTAGAACTTGATGAAATTTCACTTTCTGTGAAATTTCAGTTAAAACTTTTGCTCTAGGTAGGCGCTACAGGCGAAAAATCAAAGTGCGCCACGTTAGGGGCCGCGCCACGTTAGGGTACATCAACAATAATACAACAGCTGGGCGCATATCGCATAACATGGTACAGAGCGTGTGACACAGGTGTTTTTTTGTATCCATATCTATCTATGACGTGCAACAGGTACAAAAAATGTTAGGCTACTGTACAGCAGTGGCGTAGCTAGGATTTTTGTAGTGGGGGGGGGGGGCACGGGGGGGGGGGGGCATTAGAATGTCATGGTGCGGCACATATCGCAAACATCCTATACTTTTAAGTTTTAGTAGTTTTTCCCAGTTGGGCCGCATATTGCAATAATTAATATCCATTGACATGAATTTGAAAACAGTAAAGTAGGTCTAAGCATGGAGAAATAAAACAAACGTTTGATCCAAAGATCGTTGTAACTCCCCGTGTTTTATTTCTCCATGGTCTAAGCCTTTGCCTTTTGGCTAACTGAAAAAGTACAACTTACAAAAAACCATTTTCATTTCTGGTCATGTTGGTTGGGGAAGGCAAATGGGCATTATTTTGGTGGGTGGGAGGCACCTGGGGGCACGGAAAATTTGTGGGGCCACGTCGTCCCCCCCCCCCCCCCTACTGCTGTACAGCCGACGGCGGCAGCCGAACGGCCTCGACTTCGTAAAGTTTGACACCGACACTGACAGCCGACCGCCTCCTAGCTCCCCTTTCAGCTTTAGTTACCACAGCTTACCCAGTGCAGTGGCCTACACACAAACATTTTTCTTTCGAGAACTTCCTTAAGGCCACCAATTAGACGATGGTGACTCAACTCGGTAAATGGGAAAAGTCCTACCTTCATAAAGCAGCATTTATTTGCAATATGGTCAGCTGCTAGCTACGCCAGCTGTACTGACGTGACAACTTCACTCATAAGAGCGCCCTCAATTTCAAGCGCGTGCACAAAATCCCTCAAATCTGCACGAGGGGGGCTGGCCGGCCGGGGAGGGAGGGCGACATCGATTATTACTATAGCCGTTCTATTCACGACTACAAAACATCCACCAATCACCTATGTACTCACTCAGTGAATTGAAATCGTTGTCGATTTTCGAAATAAACCAAGAACGAGCCAAAAAAAAAGGGGGAGATATAACTGTATATAGAAATTGGCCACCTATAAAACCAAGTGCTGGTTAATTGAGTCGCACTAAAAAAAAGACAACATAGATTATAATTATATCCAATATATTTATTATGCCACATTGCAGATACCTTATTAAAAGAAAATCAATATTCAAATTCTACAAAGAAAACAGTAAGCACTGGACTATATCGAGCAGCTGACAAGTATACATCTTATTTACAATAAATTATAGCAGTCTATTTATATTTCCATATTGAAATCAAATACATAAAAGAGTGTAGTCAAAGATTTAGAAAAACACCTTTAAATAGCAACTTTGTTATAACGAATGATTCGGGACTTTGGATGAAATATGTTGGAAAAGAGACCATTTGAAGAAGTCATACAAGTAATATTTACAAAGTTTCTATTTGAGAAAACAAACTTGGACATAATTGTGTTTAAAAACCAAAGACGATCTTCCACCTAAAACCAAATAAGAAAATCAAAGATTTTCATGCTTTAAAAGTTTGAAATCAACTGGCGAAAAAAAAGATATTTAAAAGTGATAAAGAAAGTGGACAAATCAGAGTGCGTGCATCTTTCCATCAATTTCCCTCAAATTTTGTGAAAAACCTGAATGTAACAACGGAAATATTTTATGCAGTCATTTTTTTTTATTTTGCAGAAAAAAATGTACTTCTTTCGAGTTGGCATCAAGCCCTGATACTAACTGGGTTCAACCAAGTGCAGAGGATCCATAGTTCATCCTCCCTCAAAATCCACCAAAATTCTTGTTAAATTCTTTGCAGGATTGAGGTGGCTTTGGATAGCATTAATACAAGATATGAAACCACATTATTTGATATCTTTGGAATGGAGACAATGAATTCTTCTGAACATTTATTTGTACCCCTGTTGTGTTTGTAAATAAGTTGAGTTAATTTATTTTTTTTAATCCTCAAATGTTACTCGAAGTTGCATGCAGCTTGTATAAAAAAAATCACGGTTGTCTCGCCTGTACATATGCTATAAGAACACAAATGATAACCATGTATAGAAAGTTGGACAGTGATGAATATTCATAAGTTACTGATAACAGAAATGTCCTGCAGCCTTCAATGGGCCTGAAATCTCACCAGATTCAAAAGCATTAACTTAATACAAATGTTTATAATTATGAGATTGTAACACCAAACTTAAATGTTTTACATCTGCAGATTGTATGGATTTGTTTTCTTTCATGCAGACACCATAAGCTGAGGGATCCATTCATACTTTCCGATTTTATTTATTAAAGGGGACATCGTCCTGAAGTTAGCCGCATGTGTTTAAAGGGAATGTACATGTACATCATTGGCTTTCGCTGTAATTTTCAGAAATGAACTAGTTAAGGGGTTAGTATAATAAAACAAAATATTGTTACACTGACATGTTTGAAGTTTTATGTCCGAAAATGCTGGAAAAACCAAGAAAAACAAAAATGTTCAAGTAGTCTGGCTACCTGACTCCACTAAAAATGAAATGGATCAATTTATAGATGCCGGAAAATTGTAAGGTAAGGGATCCAGTCTAGCTGGCCTGCACACGTTCATGAACATGTAACCAATAGCAAACACAATTTGGACTGAAACAAATGGTAAATATGGAGCAGTAGCTGAAAAATAGTTAGGTTTTTCCAACGGTGGTCGGCCGACCACCGTTGGAAATGTATACAAAAATACCATTTTCTTGAAAATGACTTCACACCAGGTGCCATAATTTTACAGAATGCTTAAGACTGTCATTTACCAACATCCTAGTAAGGTATTTCGTAAAAACTTGGTAGTTTTATTTTTTGATGTTTGCACATGTTGTATTTTCCCTTTAAGATTGTTTACTTATCCTATTTCAAAAGTCTGGTTGAAAGGAAACTAACCTAATGTTGCCCTGTTCTTGAGAAAAAACACAAACAAACCAATTGTTTACCTCTGATGCGACGAACACTTTGATGCATAGGTGTACGTATCAAATATATGTCTCCTTCTTGGACACTGCCCCAGCCTCTGTCAGACGATTCAATGTACGTGTACTTGTACGCATACTGTACTTGTACGTATAATGTGCAAGTACACACAGTACACACAGTACCAATACATGCGTTGTTTCCTGTATGTCATCAGCATGTGATGCAATGGTGAAGCATGTGCAACCGGATTCACGACTAGCACCAAAACAGCTCCATTTTTGAGAGTAAACATTCCTCCTCCCAAGGATAACACAAAAACTGCCAATTTTTAAAGGATGGTTGTGTGGATGTTTATATTCTACTTTTAAATGCTCTTTCCAACTGTTTCACTTAAAACGCATTTTGTAGCCCGATTGGGTGCTTTCCAGGACGCATTGTCCTTTAAGGAAACTTAACAAGAAAAAGACAACCCCCCTCCCCCCAAAAAAGGCAAAAAATTCAGCTTTAAAAATACTGGTGGAAAACGACACAATAATATTTATAGCATATATCCCAAAAGTATTAACATCCTTTCCTTTTCAGTACACTAAATCCGACAAGAACTGTCCAAATTTAAATATTAAATAGGAACCCACATGATGTAACAGAGAACAATGATGCGAAACCCAGTGACAAATCAGAGATTTCCAAAACTACCCCAGGATAAAACTTAAACCACTATTGCTTCCTCCTACAGGTGCATGGTGCCATCACTACCTGAACCCTAACCTTCCCAAATCTTCCAAAAATCATCTTTGCATAATGTTTGCAAGATTGAGGCAATATGGCAAAACTGTGTGGCTGATTTTGGAGGATGCACTGTGTCCAGGTCTTGGGCCGGACCTTGTGTTGTTTATGCTCAGCCGTGCATAAATTTAGGCCTAGACTGTACATGAAATCCTACGCACTGCTCCAGGATGTCACTGGCTCTGCCTCAACATAACTGACAGTGATTGCTTGAGGACTTTGCAGGATTGAGGCAGTGGTCACCCCTCCCAGGACCACATTCAAGAAATAACGGAGGATTTTGGAGGTTTGAGGCTGTATGCAATTTTTACATGGCGGCAGTTGGAAGATTTTTGCAGGATTGAGGTTGCACCCTATTAAACAAAATGCTCAGGGATTTAGGGTTAAGTGATGTAAGTCTAGGTAAAAAGTGCCTTTGCATTTACATTTGCCAAATAAGAGAGTCAAATTAAGCTTGTGACAACCTTTGCTTTAAAGTACAAATGCATTTTTGAGGTTTCAATTTGGCCTTTTTTTTCAGCTCTTTGCTGTCAAGACATTGAGAACCTTGTCCTCGTTGTTTCCGTGGACTATCAGCTCCCGTTTGATGTCCTCCGACTTGAATCCCAACTCTTCGAATCGCTGACTAAGGAGGAGGAATTCTTCAGCCTGCAGATGGGTTGAAAAAGGAACAGGAAAATTAGTTGGAAGTACCTCCAGCTTTTATGTTTGAAAGCACAATCTCTTTTATCTAGTTTTGTGCATATATCTAAAGGTACACTTGACGGATCTCTAGTACATCACAACCTTGTCTGCTCCCAAATCCAGTCAGAAATAATAAGGGATGTACAATTACAAAGGAATGTCTGTGTCACTTTTTTACTCCAAAAGATTGTGAGTTGACTTGGGACAGGATGACTTGTGATTGACTTGTGGTGGACTGTCCCGAGCCAATATGGCCCACAAGTCTTGCGTTTATCTCATAGAGCTATATTAAATGACTAGAGCGCTAACTCGATGTACAAAGTAATGCCTGATGGGCGCATCCATGTTTGTGCGCAAAGCTATGGAAAACTTTTGTACAGCTTTTGTACGGCTATTCGCATATCTGCATTTGTATTCCATACCGGTGCGTCATCGAAGCCGATACGCCCAAAACCGAAATGCACGATCAGCAAATGAGCGTTTCATTTTGCTCTACGCAAACAGCGCAACGTGTGCGCGTCCCTCCGCTGCAGATGCTTTTCGCCGTGACGTTTTTTGAACTGTCATGACGCGCTAATAAGTTGTTTGCGTATGTTCTACTTGCGTGTTGCATTTAGAGTACACTTTTAAAATTCAATCCATCTATTTTGATTGTGTTCTACAAACACGCACATAAATTCAAAATGTCTGCGCCCAGAGCGGCTTCAAAAGCGTCTCCGTGCGCAAGAATGAAGGTTAGCGCTCTGGTAATTTAATATAGCTCTATGGTTTATCTCCAGATTCACTGGCATGAACGACTGAGAATGCTTCTCTTCCCCCTGGATGGGATGCCAGTCCATCGCAGGTTCCTCCCCAGCTAATGCCGGTACCCATTTATAGTCCTGGGTGGAGAGAGGCAATTGGGGGTGAAGTAGCTTGCCCAAGGACACAACATATGACCAGCAGCTGGATTTAAACCCCTGACCCTCTGATCATGAATCATAAACACTAACCACTACATCACACTCCCCACAAGTGATGATTTGTGAACCAACCCAAGTACCTCCATTACAACACTACCATACACTCAGCAGACAGACTGTGTGTCTCGCTTACCTTCTTCAGGTCATTGTTCTGCAGATTGAGCGCGAATTCAACTTTGTCTTCTTGGAAACCCATGCTGCATAGATGATCCACAGCACAAAGCCACTCCACGACCTGTGGGGTAAAAGGCGCAACAGATTGTTGTAGGGTGTCCATTTTCAAATAATTCAGTATTCAATTATTCAAATCTGCATTTGACCTAATAGTTGACCTTCGAAACGTGATGATCAAGTTTTACATGCGACAGCTGCAACACCAGTCAAAGGTGCACCAAAGCGCGCTGGTTAAAATTTGCGTGCGGCGATCGGTATTATGGGCCGCTGACGTGTTTTGCAGTAAATAGTTTATAACCGTCAGGGGCTTTAACTTGATAAAAAGATGGGAACAATGAACCTCCGTCGACACAAAGTATGAGTACCTGCTTCTACTCACGCCAGGACGAGTACCAGAGTGGATGAAAACCACAAGTGGAGCAACGAGTAGCATAAACTACTCGCGAATACTCGAGTAATCGAGTTACTCGCCCAGCAGTGCTGTACACATCTAGGTTTCGTAAAATGTTGATGAATACATGACTCGTAGAGAACCAAGATTAATTTGGAAAGTTATGGGGCAGACAGGGTTTCTAGTAATGGTGTTATGTTCAGGGACCTCAGAGCATTTCCCTACATGGTTTAAACCACAAACTGACATGCATACATGTACCAATGCTTAGCATGATACTGTATTTTAACTGCGATTGTACATTTGAACCAAGTACTTCTGGAGGAGTCACAATTTTTGTTTACTATTTCAGACTTCTGTGGTATTTCTTACCAGTCTATCATCGTGCCCAAGCTCACGTACTGCCCTTGCTGTACGGGATCGAGGGAACCCCATCGACGCAATCGTCAACACAAAGTTCCTATCCTCGGAATTCATGCCGTCAAAGACCGGATCCGGCGAGGCTTGGCCGTGGTCCACAGAGTTTGTCCGGGACTGGTGGGGGGAGGGCGGGAGGGGGGTGTACCGACTCAGATTCTAAAGAAAAGACAAACACACAAGAGAACAATATCATTGATTAACCTTCCTATGCAAACATACATTCTGTGGAAAGTTGTCCTTTCAGTCAAAATCAATCAAGTGACTGTTTTCAACAGTTAAGAGCTTCCAGTCTACATAAAGCAGGATTGACTGGCTGTGACTGTTTATAAATGTAACTTGATGTAGCTATGCTTCGACTGCAGGTGATTGATAAGCCAGCTGTGCCAACTTCTTGCCTGCTTTTGTCTGCTGATGGAATTTGACTAGTGACAGTGCTTGCTTGATATATGATCTGACTGTTGGTGACTAGCTTGTGTAAAAGGCATGGCAATGGGACAGGATTGATTTTTTTGGACTGTCTGTGACTGTTCAAACAGCAGGAGGGTTAAAGTGAACGCTGTAAGTGGTGGCGCAGTTTTCTGATGTAGAGTAAGGTTAAAATAAGCCAATGAAACATATTTGTGTTCCTGAGCAAGATAATTGACTGTAATTTCCTGTCTCAGCTCAGGAGCAAGTGGGTTTGCGAGGCGAGCGAGTTGGCTACTATACATGGTTAATGAAAAATGGGAGTGGTTTCTCGTAAATAGGTTGTTTGTTCATTTTACAGAAGGTCACATAAATAAAGGGTTCGGATATTAGTCCAGTAACAATTGACCTGAAAAGTACCCAACCTTAACATTTTTAGTTAACCAAATGTTTACTCAAAATCCTTTACATGGTTGCCATCCCAATCCCCCCCCCCCCCTTTCACTACTATCAAACGGTATTCGGTGGAAAAAGTGGAATTAGTTTTTTATTATCTATTAGGAGCATCTCTTTCCAAAAAGTTTTACAAGTTTTGAGGGTGGGAGTAATTTGGCATTTTGATGGTGATGACAATGATTATGACAATGACGATGACGACAATGACGTTCTTAATAGGCTTTTATCGTAATCAATTTGGTCATAATCTTCACAAAGTTTGCACCTTTGCTATTATATTTTAAGTTGAAAACTTGCAAGGATCCTTGCCCATTCATTCAAAGGGTAGGATTTCGCTTAGATGTCGGAAATACATGCCTTCTAATAATTATATATGGCACATCCCTTTTGTTTTTTAATTAATTAACATATTTCCCCAAGGTTGATTTTGGTTGAATTGTTCGGGAGATGGCTTGAGTCCCAGTAAACGCATTGCCACCAAAATTTGCCTGTTAACTAAAATGTTGGGGTCCTCCTCAATTCTTACTGGACTACTATAGTGAATATAAAGTAATAAATCCATGGTAATTATTGCAAATGTTGTACATGTAAATGCAAATTTGATAATGATTTGTGAATTGATCAGTAACCATGTAAAATATCATCCATTATCCATGTGACACATCATCCGTTATAAAGTGGGGAACATTTCAAATGAGTCCTTTTTTAACAACATCTGGTCAAATCCACCGCCCTACCATTAGTAATTATGTATGCTAATTTTTCCCACAAGTTTGTCATTTTCAGTAGTCCAGATACAATGACATGAGCAAATAAATTCTCTGTTTGACGAGTGGTATGTTGGATTGGGTTTAGTGACTATGCCATGAAACGTATGTGTGCTGACTGAGTACAGTCTAACAGATGTTGTATAAGGCCCCCTAAAAAGTCTTCGGTTTCTGGTATGGAGCTTGCCTCAAAAGTGGTGCGGCAACGTGGCTTTTTAATACTTTTTTTTCCTTCAAATGTCGGCTGATGACTGCAAATGGTGCCCGACTAAATTCAGTGCAAAATATATGGGAGCCCAGAGAGACCACAAATAGCTTATAGTACTCGATCGTAACCCCATCTTAAAACACATTAAAATTTGTGCAGCAGCAGGATGATAGTCAAACCAGTGAGTCTGGCGGTTTTGAGACATCATCTCACATTGAAAAAAAAAACTTTTTCATTTTGCCGACGTGCATGGCTACAGCGATGCGCGCGCATACCAGAAACCGGAGCCTTTTTGGGGGGGCCTAAGGCAAAAATGACTAATCTTGTTTTTACATTATGATTAAATATGAAAGATACTAAAGTGCAGGTGAATCCCAACCTGGGCCATATCACGTATCTTGATGTACAAAGATGTAAAGTTCCATCATTTATAATAAAAATGCACATCACTATGTTACAGTCCATGCTGTTTTAGAAAGGAAAAGTCACAATACTGTGTGAAAAAAAATTACAAAAAGAAACACCCATCTTACAGTTTTACAGAGTTACAAACCCATGTGCACATTTATCGGACACAAGACACCAAACGAACAATACAACAGAAATAAAGGAATTGTGATATGATTTCAGGTACAGACTTTGCCATAGCCTTCATTAGTAAACGTAATCCTGCTTGAAGCATTTTAGTGAGCACCACATTTAACTCAAAAGATTCTACTAACACAGGTGGTAACACCTGCTGGATCAAACAGACCCAACTGCTAAAACACAACATCTTGTATGCTCTGACAGAAAGTCCCAACTATTGGGAATTTGCTAGATTCAGCAGGGTTACAGGAAAGGCTCTTTGTGTTACTAGCGGGACTAGTAACTCAAATACAGGGTTTATTGAAAGTGTGTATTAGAAAGGTGAAGGGGAAAGAGAGGTTATAATGTGCACAACAATGCTTGTGTATGAAGGGAATGGATTTTTAATTCACGTGTAAACATGGAGACAGAAACAACATGTGACATAGCAGGACCAATGAAATGGATTTAAACTGTCATTTCCCTTCACCAATGTAACGTTATGAGCACTGCGAGCTTGGCACTTTCTAAGAGCTTGTGAGGAAATGCTCCCCAAGCTTTGATGGGATTTGAACCATGACCCCCTGCTTACTAGTCCAAACATCGTACCACTCAGGTAAGATGCGCGCTCATCAGGTAAGAGCTCTCACTTAGCTGGTGAGCAAACTTGTGAAAATCTGCCCAACAAAATCTCATGAATCAGAAAAAATACGGCAGTTGTAGCATTTTTCACAGCACCATGATGATAACAAAAAATGGTGATGCAGGGGATGCAACATGCATGGCTAACCTCAAAGTCAAGATCTGGGAGAGGCGTACAGCTGATTGTCTCAAGGGAAACACTCTAAAAGGAGAGGAGCAATTGTCAACAAACAAGCATTAAGACACGCCACACAACGTCATTGTCAAGCCCAGTGCAAGTACTCATTTCATCACATGTCAATCATAATTCAAGTCGCGTCACGAGCTGTTAAAGCTACAGTCCATCATTTGCAGCTATCCAAAAAGTAACTGACGTAATTATTGTTGAAAAACATACTTAGTTGAAAGATAGTAAGGGAACTAAACTCCCTGTGAAGTTATTCTTTCTGGCAAGCTGTCATTTTGAAGAAATCAACAAAAGAAGGCCTTTTTTCTGTTAGTAGTTCGTTTTTTTTATTCGACGAAGTGCGCACAAGCGTTGACACGACTCACACGCGCACGCGGTTGCTATAATTCACCGGATCAGTGCGCGACATTGCGTAGCTGCAATGGGCTCAGTAAGAACATGTCTCAGATGCTGAAATCAAGCCCAATTCAAAACATGATTCAGCAACTTTTGATTTGAAATCGAGATCCTAGAATGTTGTTTTTCTTGAAATATGAAGCTGAGCTGAAATTTCATCAGGTTAGTTGTTCAGCACCTTTCTTTAGATGATGAGCACTTTTGTTGCTTCAAACGAACAAAATGCACAAATAACAAATGATGGACTGTACCTTTAAAATGAACTGTACGCAACTGTGAATGGCCTTGTGATTCACGTGTAAGCAGGCTTGTGATCTACTAGTAATGGACTAGACTACAACACTGCCAAACGGTGACATAATCAGGGATTGCACATGTAGCCCAGTCCATCACAAGTCCAGTCACAAGTAACTCACGAGTCCAGTCACAAGTAACAGTGGCCGAACAACAGCAAAGGAATGCCTTTGTCAAAGCTCATTTGCATAGCTCGTGATTTGAATTGGGATTGGATAACTTGTGATGGACTTGCAGGGACTTGTAATGTACTTGACTATGTCCCTGAACTCAATGGGCACTAGTGAGGTGTTCCATACACAACGCAGCAAGAAATACTCAATGAGAAAGCATGTACATGCTGTACTTGTATTAATGCTCACAGAGAAAGCATGAACTGGTTGTGGGAGGCAGATTGGAACAGTGGTACTAAGGTCGCCTTCCAAAGTCCCTGACCCGGGTTCGAAACCTAACAAGGTTAATGTGTGCATTTGAGGTTCTTTTTTCAGTCTCTGTGTGATTTAGTAAGTTTCCATGGAATATCATTCCGGGATTTTCCTCCCAACTCTTAAATGGAGCATTTGTTCATTTTCTTCTTCCTGTATTCTGGGCTGCAGTGTCTAGTGTGGATTTTTGAGAACCAGGGGGAAGGGGGAGGGAGTTTCATTACAAAAAAAAAAAGTTTGCGAAGCAAAAAACAGTTAATCCGCTAATAAGTCACACAATGTATAATGCTTTCGATCGATTCTCAACTGACTTTTTCCCCTTAACACAACAAATTTTTTCAGCAGTATTTTCTGTTGAGCAGACCCATCAATAAGGGTGAACACCGTATGGGTCCAACTACTCACCTGTGGGTAACTCGGAGGGAGATCCATGGGACTAATCATGGGGTTACTCGCTGAAGTAAAGTCCTGAGAGTCATAACTCGGGGGCGGTGACCTGTTACGAAGGGGCTGAACCGAATGATCCGTGGTGGGACCTCTAGCGATCAACCGAGATGGCCCACCATCCCCTGGACTGAATGCCAAACCATTGTCATTTATAGTTGAGTTAATCGGGGGAAGGGGATTCCGTACGAAAGGGTCCGGGTTTCCTTCAGGGGATTGAGGCAAGGGGTTCAGATTGGCTTGGCCCTTGGGTAGTTGAGAATTAGGTCCATTCATCCCAGTCGATAGTGTCTGCGGTTTGCTAGGGGGCTTAGGTTTGTCCGGTTTGTATGAAACAAGTTTTTCTGAGGCCTGTATGCTAACTGTCGCTGTTTCTGTCACTTCTGGTGGGCAGGAGTCAACCTCCATGTCAAGGGAATGATCAGGGGAGCGTAGCGGCTGTTCAGAAGTCACGGATCCTGGTTGGGCAGGGACATGAGTAAAAGCAAGCACGCTCTTAAGCTCCTCAAGATCATCGATTGTTTCCAGTTCCGTTGACTCGAAGGGATCCGAAGCATTGTTTTCAAAATCTGCAAAGTCAAAGTTCTGATTGCGGTGCGGAGCCCCGGCCGGTAGCCTGCTGGTACTGCTGGGTGTGTTAGCGGTGGCCAAGGGTACCGGCTTCATGATGTCACCGCCCAAGCTCGCCATTGGTGGAATGGAGTGATTTTTGGGCTCTGATTTACTGGTTTTTGCAGCGGTCGGTTGCAAGATTCCGTTAGGGAGCTGGACAGGGCTTGTTGCCGCAGCGCGCTGTTCTTCCCTCGCCTGTTGCTTGATTGCCTCCTTGGCTGCATCTGAGGCTCGCTTGGCGTCGAGAAATTGCAGGAATGTGCGCTCCGTCTCAAAGGAGTACTGCAAATTGGAAACATAAATGGCAAAACTTCAGCAATGAATAAAAAAAAAAATTCAATGCCATTTCTTCCCTCACTGAATTTCACCTTTGAATAAAATTTGTAAATCTCCAAGGAGAACATTAACTTTTCGCATTGCTGTTGCTTTCCAAAATTTGCTGAAATCCAACATCTAACTGTCCAGTACTTTTTTAAGGGTTATGAAAATTAAAACACAGCCAGTAATAATTTACTAACATGACTAAGCAATGATGTTGGGCCCTGTTGTCCTAGTTTTATTTTCTCACCTGGGTTGCATTGAGTGTTGCAGATGGGTTGGGTTCCTTGTAACCCGGAGGTAAGGTAACTTTTTCTGGGGGTCTGAATCGCTCCCCAAGACGCACCTGAATGCCTTCCAAGCTGGTCACTACAAATTGGGTAAATTGAGCAAAACAAAACTTCATTCACAATCCTTACAGTTGGTAGCCCAGTGGTAAACATTTACGTGTATGGACCATATCACCTCTGACATCATGGGTTTTAGGGAGCGTCTCATAAGTTGGAACGCTCGGAACGTTCTCATTGGAACGGCGTGTTCCCGAACTGGAACGCTCCGGCGTTCCATTGGGAACACGGGACCGTTCTGTTGGAACGTTAAAATCCCTTTGCGAGAACGGTCCAGCGGAACGGTCGGGAACACGCGTTCTATTGCGCGTTCCAGCAGAGTGTTCCTAGCATAGCCCGTATACGATGGCCCAGTTTCGAATATTTGCCCATATTGCGTCAGGAAAAATGGCGTCGCAATCTCCGGCAAACCGTGCGTCACTGAACGGTAGCTTTTGCCTGTTTTTGAGGATTTATATATAATATTTGGACGTGATTATGAAATTTCTGTGATGGTTTGGGTAAATAGTTCAACACAAGGTACGAGTGATTGTTAATGCGGTTGGAATCTTGGTAAATCTAATGATGTAAATATCGTTTCTGTGGTGAAACGTCGGTAGCCCCGAACCTCACATCACTTGCAATCGCTACGCTGTGGTGAGTGTGTATTCACGTCAAAGTATACTTGTGCAAGAACAATATTTTGTTTAATAATACTTTGATAATGCATACTAGATTAAGGGAAATCTCCCCCAAAAAATCGTAGATAGAGAAGGGGTATGGGGATTTCGAAATATGTTAAGTGAATTTCTGTTAAATATAATCGATTACGAAACACAGTGGCTGTTGGTACGGAAGATGTGAAGTTCTCTGGTGAAATTTCACCATGAACTTTTACATCACTACGTTGATTGTATATTCACGTTTACAATTAATACAGGGCGCATGTTTGTAGTATGCATGCAAGAACAAAATGTGTCTTTGACACTAGTGCGTAATAGGTTTACTAAAATCACCCGACAAAACAGCGTAGAAAGAGTGAAGGATTTTGAATTACAAACAAATCATTTCCAAACAATATAGCCTTCATCTCGAAAACAGCCCCGCTGATAAAATGAACGAGAGGGCCTGTATGTTTTGTCATGGTTCTATGCGATACTTTTACGAAATAGAAATAGAAAAAGATAAAGCAGAGCTTACTATTGACGATATACTTTTTGTCAGACAAATTCCACGTTTGAAACTAAACTCTGACTCCAGGTCCTGCTGCACGGACGTACTCACGTATACCCGAGCGCGAATACCCATCCGTGCAGCGTTCCGCCGGGAACACGGTGTTCCCTCCCCGTTCTAGCTGGACCGCAGCTCGGTGCGTTCCCTTCAAGCCGCGGAACGCACCCGCGTTCAATCGGGAACACGGCACGTTCCCGATGGAACTCCTGGCGTTCCTACGGAACGTTCCATTGGACCGCGAACGTTCCCGACTTATGAGACGCTCCCTTAGGTAAGCATCAATATTGTTTTAATGTTCCATTTCAAATGAAAAGTAGAACAGTTTGTTAAAAGGCAGTCAGTATCATGCGTCAGCATCACAAATTTTGTAGACATACGTGTGTTATCGTCATATGGTGTATACAACTTCTTTCAGTAGGGTCTATTCATAGAGCTATATTAAATTACTAGAGCGCTAACTCGATGTACAAAGTAATGCCTGATGGGCGCATCCATGTTTGTGCACAAACCTATGGGAAAACTCGAAATTTTGTACGGCTTTTGTAAGGCTATTTGCATATCTGCGTTTGTATTCCATACCGGCGCGTCATCGAAGCCGATACGCCCAAAAACGAAACACACGATCAGTAAATGAGCGTTTCATTTTGCTCTAAGCAAACAGCGCAACGTGTGCGCGTCCCTCCGCTGCAGATGCTTTTCGACGTGACATTTTTTGAACCGTCATAACTCGCTTAAATTGTTTGCGTATTTTCTACATGCGCGTTGCATTTAGAGTACATTTTTAAAATTCAATCTACTATTTTGATTGTATTCTACAAACACGCATGTGAATTCAAAATGTCTGCGCCCAGAGCAGCTTCAAAGCGTCTCTGCGCGCAAGAATGAAGAGTTAGCGCTCTAGTAATTTAATATAGCTCTATGGGTCTACTTCAGATGTACGCTATTAAACAAGCGGTCCAATAGAATGCTCAATCCAATTGAAACATCAGTCACTTTCCAAAAGTGACCATACAATTGCTTTTTCACTCTTGAAAAAATACTTTGAAGAGAGGTTGCTATATTTTTGAAGTTGGGATGCTCCCTTTAACAGGTACACAAATTCATGATTACATATGCTCTGTTTACATTCATGGCATTTGTTAGAATTCCCATATTTTTTTTAATGTCACAGCAAAATGAGGAAGAGCACGGTGTTCAGAGAGCAATAAATATTTCAGACTGGCACAGTTCATACCTGAGAGAGATCGTCCCAGCGACTGGGAGTGGTAGGCCATGACAACTGCACTCCTCGCCTCCCAGAACTGATACTTCACATGTGAAACGGCAATCCGTTTTGATGTGTGTGTAGCCGAATGGTGGTTCTTTACTTCCTCATGCAACAGCAGTTACAGAATAGTTAGGCAATTTGCAAGCAATCTACCTGATGTTTACAGTGACTGACACTTTATTTCTTGAATCCTGTAAGCAAAACCGACAGTCATGACTTTCCAAGTTCAGTGAGCTTTCCTACCAATTATGTGTCTGTTACGCCCCAACTACCCGTAGGCCATAGTCCCAACTTGGGCAGTCCCAGCTTAAAGGGAATGTACATCATTGGCTTGTGCCGTAATTTTCAGAAATGAACTATTTGAGGGGTTAGTATAATATATCAAATATTGTTACACTGACATGTTTGAAGTTTTGTGTTCGAAAATACTGGAAAAACCAAGAAAAAAAAAATGTTCAAGAAGTCTGGTTCCCTGACTCCACTAAAGATGAAATGGATCAATTTATAGATGCCGGAAAATTGTAAGGTAAGGGAACCAGTCTAGCTGGCCTGCAGCCGTTCATGATCATGTAACCAATAGCAACTTTTGGACTGGAAAAAAATGGTAAATTTGGAGCAGTAGTTGAAAAATAGTTAGGTTTTTCCAACGGTGGTCGGCCGACTAATAAGCGTCAACACAGCGTCAACACACGCAGAAGCGTCAACACAGCGTCAACACAGCGTCAACACCTCCAAAGCGCATTCTAAATTGACGAAAAGGGCATAGAACTGTAAAGTTTAGACTTAAAAAGATTTTCTGTGGGTCAGAGGTTACATTTGGTTACGAAAATGGAGGTTTTTTTTCACGCAAAAAAACATATCTAAGCAGCACTGCCATTGTCCGCCATCTTGCCTTCGCACGGAGCTTGGACTACACCATTTCAGATATGGATGTCAGGATGTGCAGGTAATAAAATTATCATGTCGTCTTATGCGGATTCACACGTAACGACCGCCCTCTGTTGATTTATTATATAATGTTATTACCACTTTTGCGTAATGGTATCGTCCGCGCTGACATGGCAACATGGCTGCCGATTTGGGAACTGCACGGAGAGCCAATTTTCTTGAACTGAAAATTGCAATTTTCAGACGTTTAACCGATTGATTTTAAGCCAAAATTTCATTTTTGCCCATACTTGACGGTTTGAATACTGGTTTTGTCCATTTGAAAGCCCTTTGGAGGTGTTGACGCTGTGTTGACGCTTTTTAGTATGACCACACTTTGCTACCATCACGTTAGCAGTTTTTCCAATGGTTGTAAATTTTTTTTACAGTACCTAAAACCACCCAAAAAGTTTTTAAAATGTGAACAGACATGTAGGCTTATACATGTAATGTGTGTTGAATCATTTCTTTCTTTCTTTTTTTTATTTTTGAAATCACCCTCAAATTTCCATTAAAAATAGACGGAAAAAGTGACCTACGTTTTCCAAAATTTGATGGAAATTTGAGGATAATGTCAAAAATCATTATAAATAATCAATAAATTATCTTTAGCAAAAGGCTGCATGTCCATTCATGAGTTGAAATTGTTCTTTCTTGATTTCATATATTTAACAAAAAAATACTTCCATGGGAAAAAAAACTGCTAACATGATGGCAGACAAGTAGAATATGCAATTAATAAAAATAAAAACAAATAAAAACTTAAAACATAAACTAGTCTCTCGTTCTCACCTGCTTTGTCTATTTTCTAACAAAATTGGCAGGAAAAAAATGTTGCAACCTGATGCCACTTTTTCCTATATCATCTCGGTTTTGTTAGGGAATCAATAGGCATTGATAGGTAGGCCTACTTAATACAATTTTCTTGACTTTCCATAAACTTTGTACACAATCACGGAAGTGGCGTCAGGTTGCAACATTTTTTCCAAGAAAACATGATGACTTCACGATTATTGAGTTTAATACGCAGTGCAACACTGCTATGCAACCTGCAGCATACTGAAGCATGGCAGTGCAAGTTGATCACATCACTCAGTGTCACCATCGTCATGTTCAGAATAGCTACACAACCAAAGCGGCAATACCTGCGAATTCAGACCTAGGCCTATGAACAAAATTATTCTTTCTGGAAAAGTAGCCCCCAAAACCATGTTAAATCTTACAATTTATCGTAGGCCTTACCACTCATTCGCGATACCCTCACTCGCCAGTGTCGCTTCCTTCTCTACGATTTTCGGCAGCCATTTTAGTTTCTGCAGTGTCATTATTTATTTTTAGACGTGTATATGATGACATCACTGCACGCGACGTACATGTACGTCAAGTTGCGCCACTACACAAAACATGGCGGCGCGCACATGGGATCTTTTGTGTTGACATCCGGCGTGGCGGCGCGTACAGAGTGAATCAAAAAAACAAAATACATGTTTAACGAAATGCGATACGCCTTTCCACTTTAAAATGAGACATCAATTGTCCACATCTGATACTTTTTAACAGAGTTATATGAGTAATTTTCCAGCCTGACCATGGGACCGCCGTTTTCAATAAGCCTCAATTGCTCTGTGCATATGAATGTGCCAGCGAGTAAAAACCGTCACAAACCGATAGCATTAGCAATTTAGTGTTTAGAACTGTCATGACTCTCTAAATAGGCCAGGCAAAATATGCCAAACCTTTGTCCCGATGCCTAAAATTGAGCGGAACTTACATGGCGCAGTTGCGGACAAAGTCACATTAGAATCACACTCTTGGAAAAAATTGTCCAGTTAACTTATTCTTTATGATGGCCTATGAAGGACCAAAAGTGGACAACCCATTTTCTTAAAAATCTGCTAGAACAAAAACAGAATTATGGTTGAAATGAAGTCCTCTTTCTGAATTTTCATTTTTCTATTATCAAAAATTTGGATTAGGCCTAAGTTTTATTTTCTTGTACAGAAACAGAGTTTACGTCCGAACCAAATTTCCGAATTTCTGCTAGTAGAAAAGCGGAAATTGCGTTTACGTCCAAACCAAATTTCCGAATTTCTTCTAGAAGAAAATAGGAAATTGCTTTTACGACCAAAGCAAATTTCCAAATTTCGACTAGCAGAAAATCGGATATTGCGTTTATGACCAAAGCAAATTTCCAAATTTCTACTAGCAGAAAATCGGAAATTGCTTTTTACGACCAAAGCAAATTTCCGAATTTCTATTAGCAGAAAAATGAACGTGTGATGCCATAAACCAAATTTCATTTGTTTGTATTAGTAGAAAATCAAGGTGGAGATATTTTTGGGCTACTCCATAGGTCGTTTGGGGTTAGAAACCCTCATCCGAGTCGAGTAGGTCGATTGATTGTGTGTGTACCAAAACGTAATTGTGTTTGATGATCTAGCCAACAAAAGTCGGAATGACATAAAAGCTATTCTTCTTTTTTTATAAACCAACGCTAAGGGCGGATCCAGGGGGGGGGGGCAAAGAAAAAATGTGGACCCCAAAAAGTGGGTCCCAATAAACATTAATAAGGGCTTGGGGTTCGGGGCCCGCTTAACGGCCCCGAAACATTTTTTTTGGATTGTAGTAGCTCTGTGGTGCGATCTGATCACTTTAACAAAATCTTTTTGAGGAAGATGGTGGTGTGCGCAATGACTGCCCTGTACTGCCACGTCATTTAAAACATTGGGTTCGGGGTTTTTTGGTGGTGGGGGGGGGGGGGGGGGGTCATGGCCCCCGTTGGCCCCCCTGCATCCGCCCTTGGCAGACGCCAACTTGTTCTTTTATTAGTAGCCTATATTTGGCGACTAACCAAACTTCAGCTGCGTTCGCTCTCTGGACTTCTTTTTAAGGAGACTGAAAACAACCCCCTAGTTTGCTCAAGGTTTACTAAGATAAAAACTCATTAGTCAAGTTCCTCCCATATCGTTTTTAAATATTAATTTTCTTTAAGGCCTATGATTAAAATTCTGCTGATGAGGGTTTCTTACCCCAAACGACTTATGGAGTAGCCCAAAAAAATCTCCACCTTGATTTTCTACTATAGTACAAACAATTGAAAATTGGTTCATTTTTCTGCTAGTGGAAATTCGGAAATTTGGTTTGGTCGTAAAAGCATTGTCCGATTTTCTGCTAGCAGAAATTCGGATATTTAGTTTGGTTTCGTCGTAAACGCAATTTTCGATTTTCTGCTAGCAGAAATTCGGAGATTTAGTTTGGACATAATTGCAATTTCCGATTTTCTGCTAGTAGAAATTCGGAAATTTGGTTTGGACGTAATCGCAATTTCCGATTTTCTGCTATAATATAGCAGAAATTCGGAAATTTGGTTCATTCGTAAACGCTCTTTCCGATTTTTAGAAATTCACAAATTTGGTTTGTCCACTTTTGGACCGCCTATGTACACGAAAATAAAAATCTAAATTTTTGATTCAGAAAGAGGACTCCATTTCAACCATAATTCTGTTTTTGTTCCAGCAGATTTTTGAGAAAATGGGTTGTCCACTTTTGGTCCTCCAAAGTCCGACTGATAAGGTTTACGCACAAAACCATGGGCCAATGAGGCTTTGCATAGAAAGGTGGCCGAACCATTTTTTGGGAAAGTGTGCTGGTAATGAGGCTTGAGCCTGCATGCTGCCAACATCACCAATGGCATCCCTACATTTGCTCGTGCGAATAGGACCAATTTTTGGACCTTAATTTTATCAAATCTGCTCTTAGATAATGGCCCAAAAGCTAGGGAGATGATCCTCTGCTATATTTGCACGATTCCACCGATTTTTAAACCAGACGGTCGCGTTTTCTACAAAAAATTGTGGGGTTACTTTTTATGCAAATGACTCGCGAATATATTTTTGAAACCCTAATCACTCGCGAATTTATTGCGCCCGCTGTCGGTCTTATATTGCCATTCGGATATATCGTCTGAATAGCCCCCCCCCCCACCACCACCACCACCACACCGAAAAATAATAGTGATAAAATACTGTTGAAAAATGTGCTCGTTCGTTCAGAAATTCATGAAGCATAATATCCAAACTGATTGGATGTTTCCAAAGTGTCTTTCCCAATTGCAAAATTTCTTTTTAAAGCCCACTACAGGCAGCATTAGAATCACACTCTTGGAAAAAATGGTCCGGTTAACGTATTCTTTATGATGGCCCTTGCGGTTTTGCCGAAGTCAATTGAGTGTGATCGTCCGACTGATAAGGTTTACGCACAAAACCCATGATGGGCCAATGAGGCTTTGCATAGAAAGCTGGCCGAACCATTTTTTGGGAAAGTATGCTGGTAATGCAAGGGAAATCCCCAGTTTGCAGTTAAGGATTGCTTTAAAGTTGGCAAATTGAAATTCTGATAAATCACATCATTACAAGGGTGTATTTCGCTTGCTTCTCAAAGGTGGGGGAGACATATATCCGATGCGAGCGGACGGTGAGATCGGCAATTTCTTACCACTTTAACCATTTTTTAAGCAAAAGATGTTAGGAGTAATTGAATCAGCTATTCTGAGTTTTAGAATCAAATATTGGATACAATTTTTATTCGGAGACGAAAAAGTGTGCGGGGGTGGACAAACGACATCCCCCACTTTAGAAAAAAATGTGTCTGTATACATAATGGGGTTACCCCCGCCCCTCCATATTTCCTACCGATCGATGCCCATGCATTATCTCCACTCCGTCGTACTCCTACCTAAATACGAAATTGTCAGCAATTTTTCCTATTTGGAAAAATGTCACAATTCAATTTTCTGTCAAGTTCATAACGGGATATGACGTCGTAACCTCAAGATTTATGATCGTTCAACTGAAGCCCCGGCGCGGGAGAGAGCTGTTAAACGGAGAGCTGGATAGTGTTTAATCAAAACTTCGGGAACAAATCCTCTGATTGTCTTAAAACATAGTATCATCGACCCTGATCACAGAATGGCCATTCTTAATTTTCGCTAGATCAGACTAAGACCCATTGGCGCCATGCCAAGTGGGGCCAATTTTGCATTTAATCACAATTTTGATAACAAGAACGAAACCAGTATTATTTGATAGCTTGGAACTTTTAGATTATGGAAATATAACTTAAGAATGATTTTAGATCAGACTAATTAACTTAAGAACGGCCCGAAAAGCGCGGAGGGTGGGCGTGGCTGTCACCCCCTTCTTTTCCTTTTCGCTGATACCGTTGCAACGCAACGGTAGAGGAGAAAATGAAACCAGTTTGTATTGATGCCTTAACACTCATGGAATATAAAAAATATAACTTAAGAGTGCTTTTAGGTCAGACTAAGTACCTTAAGAGCGGCGGGAAAGGCGCGGATGGGGCGGGGCCTCAACCCCCCACCACGTACATTTTGGCTCATATCGTCGCAAGGCATTTGTTAAGTCTGTCAAGTTTCTTTCACAGCTGTTCTGATGTCTTGCGGTAATTGTGACACCAAGTTTATGAAAATAGGGCATAAATTCGTCATGAAATGTCCATTTTCCAAAACCGGTAGGCCTAAATGTTAACTTTTCCCATTGAAAATGACATGCACATGAAAGCGTGCATGACAGTGCCGACTAACAGATCGAATTGAAACTGTGCAAATGTACTACAAAATTTAAATGGGTAAAATGAAACAACTTTTACTGATGCTTTGGCACTTGTGGAACATGAAAATATAACTTAAAGATATAGTCCATCATTTGTAATTTGTGCATTTTGTTTGTTTGAAGCAACAAAAGTGTTCAAAATCTAATGAAGGATACTGAACAACTAACCTGATGAAGTTTCAGCTCAGCTTCAGCTGTATATTCCGAGAAAAACAGCATTCTAGTGGAGCTGCTAAGCGAAAAATCGTGCACTTTGTGGTAAAAGCATGAAATTTGGTATGCTGGGTAAAAATGGGCTAGAAATCATTTTAAGATCGGGACCCATCCTGGATTTTGCCCATTTTGGGGGCGGAGCTTGATTTTTTGAAAAAGGGGGTGCAAACAATAAAAACTCATAAAAACTGTACTTAACATCCATTTTTCTAGTTTTTCCATGCTTTAAAAATAAACTTCAACATAAATAGGACATTCTAGCATTTAAGGGCCTGTTTCCACCCATTTTGTGGGCGTGGCCTAAATGTGTAAAAGAGGCGGTATATATTAGCAGTTTGGTTCAATTATGGAAAATACCGTTCAGTTTGGTGGTAAAATCTTAAAAATCGGCATGTTAAGTCGAAATGGGCTGAAAATCATTTTAAGACGTGGATTCATTTGAGATCTTGCCCATATTGAGGGGGAGTTTGATCGGTTAAAAAGGGGAGTGCAAACGAATAAAAATTTAGAAAAACTGTATTTAACATCC